GGCTATCTACCGACGCACTTAAGGATAACGACACGTTTCAGCGTGCCTCATACGGGTTCACGGTATTTTCGATATTAGGCCCTCTTATTGTTGTCATCATATTCATGTTGGTACTTCTGGTGGTAGTTATTCAAAACTGGCTCCGTGCCCGAAGAACGCCCCAAGGGACCGCACTTCCTATGGCAGTTCCATCGACTGGGCTTCAGAGGGGGATTGCGAGAGAAGGAAACAGGAAATAAATCATGCGATGACATCTTCAGATGAGAAAATGACACCTTTCAAAAACTGTATTTATTCCATGTTCTGGTAGGCTTTTTGCGTACCGAAGCGGAGAGGCCCAACGAGCCCTCTGCACCGCCTCCTTACAAGATTGGGGGCCCCAGATACGTTGAAGGCCCTAGATCGCAAGACTAGCCTCAGTGGCAGCATGTCACGATTGGCACCCGTAGATCGCAAATGGCACGCGTATGTCACATTGTCTGACTACAGCATGGGATGGGCACCTCAGTTCTGAGATCATGCCATGCTGTGTTAAGATGTGTTCAATTGCATCATGCTGCCTGAGTCATGGCAAGGCTGTCTGAGGGATTGTTCTGCATGGAAGCTGAAATGAGAACAAGTATTTCTTGCTATCCTTGCACACATGAAGTGCTGTAACTGGTCACCCAGCACCATCAGGATTGCAGGTAGCAACAACCTAACTTTTGTTACACCGAAAAGCCCACCAGAATCTCTCTGAAGAGAGGATCGATTGGTTTCTATTGAAAACATGACATTTGGAGGTTCTCACTTTGATAGGCTTGCAGCTGCGGATGCCTAATCCAACCCTGTTCCATCTGTAAAGAAGGGTGGTCAGCGAGTCCGATGGATCGTCAGAACCGCCTTCTTTACCTGCGACGATGGATTGCGCCACATTCTCAGGACTTCAGTACTTTTCCACTTGAGGTTTCAAAGCCACTTCAATAAAGTATTTATGGGCCTCATCCCTCACGATCACGAGCGCTTCTAATTGTGTTTATCAGGAAGAGCGCCATCATAAATGCACATTCGCTGGTATGCGTTTTTGAAGCTTCCTGTACCTCAATTCTCTGGTATTTCAATATGGCGAGTGGTACGGCCACTACCCTTGGCACAATCGCTGGCGTCATCGGGTGCATCACCGTCGCATTGAGCCTTTTTTGTACCTGCAGGAAGACGTCAACAACACCCCACGCTCGTATTGTGGCTAATCAAATCGATCTCACCAAGTTGGACCTACCACCAAACGCAACAGCAGCAGATGTTGAATCTACGTTTAGGGTTGGTTGGGACGCGCATCTTCAAAAACAAGCAGGAGAACGATTGGAGCTTGAGAACAACACTTCATATGGCGAGCCTGTATGGCTATCGTTTTATGCGAAGAGGGGTTCCTGGAAACATTGGGCTCTGCTAATGCACCAGCATAAGTATGAGCTTCGAAGAATGCGAAGCATGCCGTCCTCTGCGACTGCAGAAGATCCTGATCTCGAGACCGGTCTTGGGAACGGAGTGCAAGTAGAGGTTGATCAAGAGCCAATCGACGACTTTCGGAACTCTTCAGGCTTCGGGTGCTATTACAAGAAGGTCATAAGCAAAGATCGACTTTATTCTATGGCGATGAAAGCACGCGCAGCAGCTATTGAAGCTAACCGCAAACCCGAATTCCAACATCCCAAGCCCGAAGTCGGACTGCTGTACATAGTTCACATTGGTTGGACGAACAAGTCAAAGGCACAAGTTGACGAAGTATGTCTGAATGTGGAAAAGAGTTTTGGCACTTATAAACATATGAAAAACAACTGCCAACACTTTTGCCGCCGGTTGGCGGCTGGTGTTGTGACAAAACGGTCACAAGACTGGGGATGGTTCCAGTACATGTCTTCAAAGGATTATGAATACGTGGGACCCGAGACGATAGGCCCTTCGGGAGGGGTTGCAACTCTATGTGCGGAAAGGTTAACCAGACTGAAAGATAGCGGCCAACTTCCGGATCCACTAACGCTACGCATTGTTGATGAGCATATTGAGCGACTGAAAGGGTATGTGCGGCGGATATGGCAAGACAATCAAGACTTCGTAAGCCGACAGGCGCAAGCTGCTATGCAATATGATCAGCAGTTACAGCAGTTACAGCAGGACCAGCAAGACCAACAGAACGATGGAAATGGAATAGGTGATGGAGGCGGGGCTTCCGGAGGTTGAACGAGGATGTTTTTGTATAAGTAGTTGGCTGGGTCCGAATTGAGCAAGAAGCAGAGCACATAAATAGTCTAGCGTGGGGCATGTGACAAGTTGGAATAATTATTTGACTTTATGCGCGGGTGGGTTCTGGTTCAATTGCACTAGAAGTTCAGTCTGAACCTTCTACAACGTCTTTATTTGTGTTTTATTCTCATGAGAATATTGTTCGGGTGTTTGCCTTAGGATGTCGTATGACTTAGAAATATTGGTGTGCTTCAGAGGCAGCGGTGTGTTGAAACGGAAAGAAACTTGAATGGCATGGGGAAATTAAGAAAGAGCACTAAAGAGAAGGTGTGGAACTCCAACCCATGATGGACCCTGCCACCATACCTAGGACATGCGAGTTGTTCAACATCGTGGATTGTGGTGATCTCCTCAGTATCGAGTGCTAATTGTCTCAGAAATATCCATGATTCTCAAAAAGGAATCTCTTGTCAGAATGTGCCTCATAATGGTGACTTCGGTACGCGTGTCAGATCGCAGCGGTAAGAGGCTGAGCTCAAACCTTCCACTACTGCCACAACTGCATTCTCAATCACTGCAACTTCTACTGAGGGATTCTGATCTTTCATGAAAACCTTGAATGCCACACTTCTTGAAAAGCCTGTGACAGACCTATCAACCTAGGCACTATTGATGACACTATCTTACCCTCTCTATTACACCCATTCTTGCTCTCAGTGGCAAGAGCAATACCCATATAGTGATGATATATTAAGAGGCGATGAAATCTCATAAGCAGTCAGATATACTTGGAACATGTCATGATTTTGGAGGCATGACGTCGGCCACTTGTTCGAATGGTGGCCCGCACGACTGTGTGTCCAGGGGGCAGGGTCTTACACCAGTGAATTCGTGGAATGAGGCAGGAGACGAACTGCCGACGTGCACTTCATAATATTGCTATGCCGGATATCCAGAACTTGCAGTAATACTCATCGAAGAACTTGGGATCCCGTCCGCTCTCCCATCAATAAACCGGCGAGTACGGGATCATCTACGGGAGGAAAATCTTAGCTGACTCAGCAGGCGAAACGGGGCCCGGCAGTGACAATACCCCGCCGGAGTCCGGCCTTTGAGCCCCCTGATTCCCAGAACTGTCTCAAGGCCCCTTGCCGTGGCCTCTGCAATGTGCTTGTCAAAATGGCCTTTTAGGTCCATCGTCACCCCTGATACTTTAGCCTGGGCCTTTGGTCGAACAGTATCATCTTCGATGATGAAGCTGGATGAATCCGCCGGCCACTTCTAGTCGCGCGTGAAGTGTAAATGGCCGTCATGTCGGTTTTGAACTTTTGAATGTCGCTCCACTTCGCCTTTCCCGGTCGAATTTCTTGAGTGCTTTGACGTGTCGCTTCTCACGATCAGCTGATGGCCTGGGCCGTGAATTGATATTCTCTTCGGAAATGGATGTTGATGAGATGGAAGCTCGGTCTCGCATCGACCTCCGTCATACGTTTCAGTTTCTTTTCGTCCGCAGCACTGGCGTCCGTGCTAACCTGTCCATTTTTGTCACACCATCGCAGCATTGAGGTTTATCTCCCGCGAATTGGCGATGGACTACCCCGAGCCCTCCGTGTTTATCGGGTGAAACACTCCTTCGAATTACCGCTTATGGAATTGGAAAGTTCGAATTTGTAGCTACGGCGCGGCCTCCCACAGTGACAAAAATCACCCGATTCGCGGGCACTTTCCGGAAAACACTATTCGGAAAACACTGTACGGGCACTTTGACATGTGTCTTCTACCGATTGAGGAAAGCTTCGTTCGAATTTGCAGGTTTCTCTCCGGGCGAGTGAAACATGGTGGATATTCATTCTTTTTCTGGAAGCCCATTGTAGGCCCTACAGCTCGATAGTGTCTGTCTCTTAAGTAGTGACATGCGTCTAATTCTTACTTTACGCCTACTCCTAATGTGACCCCTCCCAGACGATATTTGCGCGCTCCTTGGACGTCTGATTTCCTCGCCGATCGACGCTGGCGATCACACAGGCCGAGTGTGATAAGCTTAAATCTCCGTCTCCCCTCGTTGGGCTCACGTCAGCTATCGCTCAAATCGAACCGGATTTAGCATGACTATGTTGCCCTCCTTTATTCGACAACGCTACAGCCCCGACGATACGGACGGCCGGCACACGTACACTCCTATAAGAGACGATGACTGGAGCACAGAATCCAAGCCCTCGGTCGATGAGGTAGAGGATGGCTCAATATTAGAGGCAGACGAGTCGCTACTTCCCATCAACACACGTCGGCAGGAAACGTGGAGGAGGCTTTTGAGACATCTCTACTGCCTGGTCCCAAGTTTCCTAAGATCAACAGAAACGAAGGCAAAACCGCTTCGCTCTTCGGCTTGGCTAGGTAACAAAGACCATGCTCAGTATCTTTGATTGCCAAGCTGACGTATTGTTAAAGATGGTTTGCGAGGTATCGCAGCACTATGTGTTGTATTTGTACACTGCGGTCTGATCTGGTTCTCATTTGACGTCCAGTTAGCATGGACGCCGGATCCACCTCGGCGATGGTGGCTCTACCAGCTGCCTATCCTACGGCTCGTTGTCTCGGGGCTCGCTCCAGTCAGCGTTTTCTTCGTCGTGTCCGGCTACACAATATCGCACAACTTTCTAACGTTGGTTCGTAAAGGAGAGTTCGAGAAAGCAGGCTCGGCCATCGCGTCGTCCGTCTTCCGCCGACATACCCGGCTTTTCCTTCCACCCGCCGTGGTCGGGTTTGTCACCCTCATGATGGGCTATTTCAACATGTTCCCCGACAAGGGATTACCCGGCGTGGCTTATCCGACAAGGCCTCTGCCACACTTTGACTCTCTCTGGGGCCAGCTGCAGTACTACATCCATGCCGAGGTCCTCACCACCGACCCCATCGGCCAGCCTGTTGTTCGAGCCGATTCCGAAGACCCAGAGCCTCTACTTGACCCCCACCTCTGGACAATCCCTATCGAGTTTATGAGCTCCATGGTGGTGTTCATGTTCCTGACGGCATTCACCAGAGTGCATAACAAAGTCAGGATGCTCTTTGCACTAAGCTTAGCGATATATCTCCAATGGGTCTTTGTCTATTGGGGTACGTTCTTGTTTCTCAGCGGCATGTTCTTGTGCGACCTGCATTTGGAGCTCGAGGACAGGCAATGGAGGTGGCCAACCAGGCAATCCGAGCCCGAACAACGGGACACTTTGCCCTCGGATGCGGCTGTACATCGGACGGCGGAGCGATGCCAAATGTCCCATCGCATACTTGGACGGGGCGTCGGGCTCGTATCATTTTTGATCTCATTGTGGCTGCTCAGCATGCCAGAAGACATGGAGGATGCGGCGAAGTCACCTGGCTACGTGATCCTGGCATCCTGGGTTCCAGCAAGATTCAAAGAGGCCCTTGTGATACCAATCGGTGCAGTGCTAACAGTGTTCGTTGTCGACCAAAACCCGTTCTTGCAGATTCTTTTCACCAATCGTTTCTCCCAATACATGGGCAAGATCTCTTTCTCGCTGTATATGATCCATGGTCCACTCCTATACTCGTTAGGCTTGATCCTAGCCCGGTGGACTTTGGGTCTTGTCGGTGGCGGAGACACTGAGATGTCCTACATTTTTGGGATTTTCTTGGCATTAATCCTGTGGGCGCCTGCGGCGATATATGTATCCGACCTGACTACTACGTTCGTAGATGCGAAGGCGATAGACTTCTCTAAGTGGGCATATAAGATGCTTTTAAAGAATGAATGATAGATTAGACAGGCGAACTGGAATAAACTTTCCAAGGATACATCGCTAGGCCTTTCTCAATACCTTTCAATTATTGTTCTTAGCAATCTAGCGAAGCACTACGCTATCTAGATAAGCATACCAGGAATACAGTAGAACTAAAACTTACCTTTCCATGTTAGTAGTCAGTTCCCAAAGTTCTTTTAGCATCTCTTCACATTTAACTAAACAACAAAGAGACAACCTACTTTTCTCATATAAGAGCGATTACTTTTCCTATAGGTTTATAGAACTCTATAAAGCTAGTGTTACTATTGTTATTGTTATTATTGTTGTTATTATTGTTATTGTTGTTGTTGTTGTTATTATTGTTGTTGTTATGATTGTTGTTGTTGTTGTTGTTGTTATTGTTATTATTATTGTTATTATCGTTGTTATTGTTATTATCGTTATCATCATTATCATCAGCGTCATCAGCTCTTTTGTTATCATTATTGCTGCTATCCTTGCTATCGTCACTATACTCGTTGTTCATTCTTGTCGTCTGTTGCTATGATTGATTTCTTTGGTTTTACTCCTTTTACTGCTCCTTAGTTGGAGTAACTTAGTACACAGGAAATTCACTTGCTCTAGCAGAGTAGAAAAGGCGGCCTGAAAACAACGGTGGAGCGTGGTACATTCCAGCTTTCAATTTCAAAGTACCAAAAGTGCGTCCAGCGCACGACACAATTCTCCAATAGTCTTCAATCTACTCTCGGCCACAGGCAAGTGATCGGATTGGTAGGATTGCTGGCCTGGAGTTCGCTGGATTCATCATTCAGCCCAATAAGAAGCTGGAGACTATCCCAGCCAGCGCAACCGTTCAGCTCACGCAGGGGCTGACGATGAGCCACATTCAATTGGCTGTGGGGACTGGGGTGGTTGGGGCTTATCTAAGGCGACATAAGCAGCTAGCACCGAAGTGGTCAAGATCCCTGGACATGTAAACGGGTCTTTTGAAATCTGGTCAGCCTGATTTCGCAAAACTCTTCTGCATCCTTTTCTTGCGTTTCGAGGACCTTTAAGTTGTGTATGGGCATGAGAGTGGAGCTACACCACCACACACATGAAGGTCAAAGTCCAAATTTCAAAGTGGCCACTCTATCCCCAGATCCCGACAACGACCACGCCAGTCCGCCCATAGAAGGGGGGAAACGGTCTGACAGCGGCAATAATCACTCAATTGAGGAAACATCCCTTGACGAGCTGGAATTGGAGAATGACGAAGATGAACAGATGAAAAAAACGATATCGCATGACGATCTCGATGGTCTAGATCACAGTGGCGACGAATCAGGCAGGGAAGAGTCGGGATCTCCGCCTGCAATGGCAAATGACAATACTGGCATTATTGGCAAAGTAGGTTTCCGTTCCTAGCGCTCAATGGCTGAGTTGCAGTGCCTTGGTTGTGTAGACTGACCGATCTACAGACGGACGAGCCTCATTTAAGCTCTGCGCTCGTGCCATACGTCCATATTCATGATGGACATGAAGATAATGGCGACGAAGATCTGGTACAGACCTCAGAATTTGATAGAGAACCGAGGCCATATGAGGGTTCTTCCAAACAAACGCCTCATCGGTCAAGTGAATCATCCAACGAGCTAAGTGAAAGCGAGCCGCTGGATGACCACTTCCGACGAAAGCCAGCATCATACGGAAGCCCGGCCCCCAGACCTCGTCCTAGCGCGGGGCCAAATATATCGGATGAGTGAGATGATTCTGGTGACATCCGAAACTATCATAGTGATGCCAGCTCGTCTGGTGTTGAAACTAGTCGCCAGGATGCAAGTGATGAGCGATATCATCGAAAGTGGGATTGGGAGGAGGACGACGAAATACCGATGCCGTCGCGCCGAGAGTTGGCAGAATGGAGGAGACGCCAAAACCAAATGAAAAGACGAAAAGGTCGCAGAACATCTGACAGCCCCTATTCTAGCGATTCAGTGGATATCAGTAATGTCCGCATCAGTCGTCGCCGAAGAGAAAGCCGAAGTCGGATCCGGTATCTCGGTGACAGGCGAAGCCGCAGTCACAATCGAACTCATAGACGCGGTTACGTACCCCCGATCTCCGCGCACAGGGATGAAAACGACGCACAACTCGCTGAGACCTTATCGTTCGACTTGAACGACAAAACTTTCATAAGAGACGCCAGACGATCTAATGGAATCACGAGCGGCATGCTTCAAGCTTGGTTTAGGAAACGTGCAAGCTTCGGCGATGTTATCGATACCGAACTTGTTGTCATTCATGCAGCAGAGAGTTTCACAGATGAGAAGGCAAAAGGTGTGGTGACGCTATATTGTCAAAAAGATGCCCTAGATCATTTTGTAATTTCGCCGCGTCAGATCTATTGGCTGTAGGTATTTCTCATGATAAAATACAGAGCAAGACTGACTTCTCGGCAGGCATGTGCGGCATATTTCAGACGTCATTAAATTGATAAGGGTGCGCATTCTCTCTCTTGAAACTATGAAAGAAGAAAGGCTGACCGATGGAAACACAGTCTCGTCATCTGCTGTCCACTTGTTCATACAAGATACCGATCTCTTGCGCTGGGTCTTCTTGAACGTGTCTCTCCTCAGGACCAAGACTTGAGTCTCAAGGCGACCCTAAGCGGCCAAGAAGCTAGGACCAATGTTTTCCGTGTTGACGGAATTTCCGCTGGTAATCCACTCCTCCGAGATTCGGTTACCTACTACTCTACTCCCTATCTTGTCTTTCGCGAAGGTCAGAGGAAGATGGGCCACGATAACATGGAGAGCCTTCTCAGTGCTCACTACGGTTATGATGTGGGCGAAAATAGAGACAACATGCAGGTACTTTCTGAAATGCAGAAGTGGCTTGGCAAAGACGTTCTTCATGTTGCTAGAATGAAGAGACTTCTCATCGGGCCAGGTGAGTTTTATTGTGCCTGATTTCGGACACCGCAGCTTACGCAGAACTCCAGAGGTTCTATTGAAATGGAGTGAGGTGCCACTGTCTGCTATCTGCAAAGATAGTATAATCTTCGACGAGAGCAACCCCCGACCGCTTGTGACCGTGAGAATCACAGACTTCCATGGCAAGGAGTACTACTCCTATATCAAGCACGACTTTAGTTTCGCTGTAAGTTCGATTGCAGACCAGAATATCAAGCTCCAAATTTGAGCAACCAAAGTGTAGTTCTCAACCTGACCCTTTCTTCGTAGGAGCTTATTGCCCGTATTGCAAGCCTCACCTCACTCGAAGATTTCAACATCTTCCACGACGCACATAACGGTTCCAACGTAGACCCGGAACTTTGGACAATTATGTTGGAGGAAGCAGTGACCACTTTCAATGACCTTCACCTGCGTTTGAAGAGGAAAGCTCCTAAACGACATCTTCATCACGACCGTGAGCCAAGATACTACCACATAAAGTCCCAGCCCGACTATGACGGACCACTTGTCCACGAGGATACATTCATTGGAAGTAACGCAAGCCGCCTCAGCTCTTTTGAAAATGAGAGTGATGAAGAAGCACCTACATCGAATCCGTCGCCAATCGCTCAGCGTGGCAGCTTTGTGCGAACTCGAAGCTTCCAGGGATCCGGTAGGAGGGTACCCTCCAAGCCATTCACTACAGCTACAACCCCATTCCTAATGTGGAAAGTCACACTAGGGAGTAGGAGGAAGCAAAAAGAAGAGGGCAGCATGGGTACGATGGGTCTTCTGCTCATCAAGATTGATAGTTCTCTCAGAGGCAATATCCTTTACGGGAAGATTTACAAAAGTGGTTACGAGTGCTCTCTTGAAGATATCTGCGGCCGATATGATACTTTGAGTATCTTGAACTCAGCATGCGCGATAGTTGAAGCTTCACCAGGCGAATCCGCGGAAGGCGCAGAAGCAGGGTCATCACACCAGAAGCCGTCGCAGAAGCCGAGCCCTGTTGTGCCCAGTTCAACTGGTGATCTCCCTAAGGCACAGAGCGACCTAACCTCGAGTCCCATGGAACAAGCTAATGAGTTGATACGGGACATATTCATAATTTCTAGGACGATTTTGAATCTGTACTTGCCCATCAACGATGTCGGGGAGGGATTCAATTCAGACGCCAAAGGTGTTATAAATCGGGTTTGGGGTGCATTAGACTTAATTTTCAGAGTAAGTAGCTGACAGTGACTCTTCGTCATCTTGCCCCCCCTCTCAACATCCTGTTACCATGGTGGAGGTGTTGGTCTTTGTTAACATAACTTCAGCACATTCAATTCGCCGCAGTGATGAATGCCGTTGAGGGCGAACAGTCCTGGACTATCAAAGTGTCCTGCAACAGCCATTTTAAGAGCCCCATAGCTAGATTATGCGATGCTTGTGAAAGCAAAACGGAGTACAATCTCGTCGGCGCTCTTGAACACCTTCACGCTGGCAGGGAATATACTCAGTCCCCGGGCCATCAGATCCCAGCCACACCTCACGAAGACCCATGTATCGCATGGCTTCAAAATGCAAAGCCAGGGGAGAAGGGCCCTGCGTTTGATACTCTGATGGAAGATATGAGAATCTTCCTCCGGGACCTTTTGAGAATTCTCCATCTATGTCGACAGCTTCGTTACTTTTTTGCGAGACCAGGAAATTTACCGGAAGACGACTTGCATAAAAATGGCAACAGTCGAGACACTGCTGGTGGCACTAAGCGGCCTACTGAAGCTAGTAAAGAGGCAGAAGAGGGGGGCGAAAGCCATTCAAGGCCATCTAACGAGGTCAAGCGCGACCAACAGTCCCAGAAGCCGGAGAGAAGCAATCACCAGGCTGAGGCGCCAGGTTTGCCTACTAGCATTGTTCTTGCCTTCGAGAAAATTGTCCTCTTATTCTCCGTGCGGGCTCGAATGGCTTTGCTGACGTTGAGAGAGAAGGAAAACATGGGTCACCGACAGAATGTCTGCAAGACGCGTTACGTGTCCACAGTCGATACGGCACTTAGAAGACTTGAAACCGCAAGAGAGGATCTGATCAACGGTATTGCCGCCAAGAATCTCAGTAGCGGTCGACTCGATGCCGTCGGAGGCGAGTACATTGCGGCGATGGCTATGGCCAATGTACAGACGGGCGCCTTTCGTATCAGTGCTGGGCCACAAGTGCCTATACACAAAGCACAGGCGCAGACGATGTCATTGGACCTGATCGCCTTCTACACAGCTCACCTGAATGCCCTAGACTTCAAGACAAATCAGCACCCTCACCGGCGAGCATTCGTTGCGATTCGCGCACTTGAAGAGGAACTCCAGGCTCTCAGATACCTCAACATAACTCAGTGGCATTGTCTTGACAACAGTAAACGCGTCTCAGATCCCACATCCTTCCGCGTTGTAGATCGAGAAAGAAACGCTCGCTTCTCGCTGGAGAAAAAAGCTGTTGAGCGCGCCAAGGCAGACCGACGGCGTGAGGGTAACGAGTTGCTGACCATGTTGCACCGGGCTGGCGACCTGCGGGCAAAGGTGAAAGAGAGCATTGAGGTCCTGGACGAGGGACATTGGAATGTCCTCCGAGTGTTCACCTTGTACACATTACTTTTCCTGCCTCTGTAAGTTTATTCAGCCCCTGAAGGAGCCCCTTGAATAGGTACAAATCCTACGTTGAAAAGAGATTGACTTGCTCTCCAGGTCATTCGTCACGAGTTTCTTTGGAATGAATACGGCGGATATTCGCCACATGCCACAGAGCTCATGGACGTACTGGGCAATAGCTGTACCGATTACGCTATTGGTGTTGTGTTCGGCGTACTTATACGCGTACAATTGGGATGCTATTACGAGGCGGGTGACCGGAAAGACATGGCTAGATGAGGGTGTTAGTCATTCTAGCGAGACTCGTGCTAATCGAGCTATCGACTCTTGGGAGTCATACATGCCCAGAAGACTTGGTGGTCGGCGTAAGATACGTAGATCGACCTTAGGCAATCATGGCAATGGTGGCTGGAGAGATACCTGGGGCCTGCGGAAAGGAGAAACAATAGCTGAGTTGGCATAACGATGCCGAGTTTCCAACAAGACTGCCTATTTTTCCTATGCTTGAGCGACCGTTTCTCTTGTGACAGCACTCCACTTGACCGTCGCTGTCGTCGCTTTTGTCCTGTCTGCTATGGTTATTGTCTTTATCATCGTCATCGTTATCGCCATCGTCATTGTCGTCACCGCTACTATCGTGCTCAGTAGGAGCAATAAGTACGCAGGAAACATAGCTGCGCAGATACGATTTAGGCGGTATCTTTGTGAAACAGCGTTATCAGAGGGACATTTTCATTTTCCGAGCACCTTGGCCTGTTTACTTTCAGACCTTCCCATCTCTTGGAATCTCGTGTCTCCAAAGACCACCTTCCGTTGCTCGGGGGTCATTTGGCAATGCGAGACTCCCCTCTTTGCACCTTCTCAAATTCAAGCGGTTCCGAAGTGCACTTTTAGAAAATCGAGAAGGTCAAAATTAGACTGCTTGCCTGTGAAGTGTCGGGATTCCTGTACAAGAAACCGAGGAGTCACAGATTTGAGACAAACTTGAAATCATTAAATGGTATGAATGATTCACTAGCTCTAACAAGGGACCAGCCACTTTGGATTCTATTTCAGTTCGCAAAGCCCGTACCAAAGTGTATCGCGCCGGATCCACTGGATGCAACCGAGTTTCCCACAATATTCTGGACGTGAGATTTGATCGAAAAGATTCCCTTTCGATTGACGGAATTGACTGTTAGGCCGCGCTGTCGTTGAAGTCGAGTGATTTGAAAATTTTAGTAACGGCCAAGTTCCTCAGTTTCTGCAAGATCGATTCCATCAGGGCTTCTACTTTGCCCGCCTCGCGGACCTTCTCGCGGTAGAAATCAACGAATGTCGACCAATTTCTATCCTCACTTCTCTGCTTCATTTCTTTCCTGATTGCGTTGAAGATGTATCCAATTCGCTTCGCCTGATTGTTGCAAAGTTCGAGAAATGCGTTCACATACCCTGGGAACTTCGTGTTGGGTTCATCTCGGACAACCTTGACAACATCCAAGACTATTGGGAAAGAATCTCCCACTCTGTCAATAGCGTTTGGAAGATCGTTAATGTCCTTGATTATCTGGAAGAGCTTTTCGAGCTTCTCGAATAAGGCGATGGTTGAGGCAGCCGTGCTGGAGACTTCCATCTTGAGATGCAGTGCGTGTCCGAGTGACGTGAAGGCTTTGCGGCTAGAAACTTGACGACAAATCTTGTCAGAAAAAAGGAGGGATAGCAATGGTACGCAAACCGTCTGCAGCCGCCAGGTGAGATGCATGGCGCCTCCTTGGTGTAGTTAAGTCGCAGCGTTCAGCTGTCAGTCGTATGTTCGTCATCAAGCAGTAAACCCGTGGCCTTTGGATGATGTGCGTACAATTGGTATCATGGTCATCACAATCAGGCTCTCGAGGAACAAACTTCCAAGGCCGAGTGAGGTGATAAACAACGTGCATCGGCATCATTGGCTCATTGTCTGCATGTTGACCGTGCAGAATAGAGGCTATGCGAGCCATCGCGCATTGTAAGTAAATCACAGGAGCAATGTCAGACTAGGCATCTGACATGCATACGAACTATGATGCGGGGTAATAATAGAAAAGCACGCAAGCGCACCACTTTTGTTGGTACCTCATGTTGCAACTCGGGAGGAGTACTCGGCTTCAATACAAGTCAATGTTCGAAGAAATCGTGGGGCATGTGTTCAAAGTCTTTTCACTCACCCATCAAAAGATAGGTAAGGGGCCTGTGATAGTTTTCTCCTGCTGTTGATTCATCGGGATCGGAGAGCTGCTCATGTCCGGCTTCTCAAGTGCTTTGTATGCTGCTTTATTACCAGGCAACCGTCCCCTGATTTGCAACGTTCCCCAGCACAAGCTGGCTTATCTGTATCAGCGCGGGTCCAGGACAAAGTTGGAAGGCGCATGCACAGAGCCCCGATGAGGGCAAACTAACCAAAGAGGGGTGACTTACGTCTGGCTAGGCATCCCAGTAAACGGTTGCCTCACAGCCTGGTCTGCCTTTCCAGGCGAACCATCGAAATTGAGAGAAGCAGTACGGTACTATATTTTCGTCCCTTAATTCTGCACTTTTTCTCGCCCACTCGCAATCATATTGCCGGCGTATTTGGTATCTAGGCATCCTTCGTACTACATTCGCGGTCGTCAAACAAGCTTGGCCCGATATACAGAGGACACCCCGACGCGTTGATGCTAGCCTCAGGACAAACTGAAGGAGCCAACTACGATATACATGAATCCCGGAAAGTCCGAGAAGAGTGGAGAGGGGAAGTGCCCGCGAGAAGATGAGAATAAGACACGACAGTATAAGTCGCGGAAGCGTCCAGGGGACTCATCGAATCCATCGAATAAGCGCCCCGAAAACAACGGCGCTTATAGAGTCCACCGGAAAAATCGAAAGTATCCCGACATTTCCTACATAGGTCCTGGTGGGTATCAGTTGTCCGATCACATGGCAGAGTATTTATACTCCCATCCACCACCTCCACCGCCACCACCGCCGGAAGCGAATCCAAACACACCACCCAAAGTGCGTCCGCTGGCATCATCACAACCACATCCATACCCTGCAGCAGCTCCACGACAACCCTCAACAGGCAGTAATATGAATGGGGCATGGTTGCCACCTTTCCACCAACCTGGATATCGGCCTATTCCGCATCTGAATGTTGCGCCAGGCTGGTGGAACGGCGTGCCGCCCGCCCACTTGGTGCTCAACGTCCCAGTCAACCAGCCAGCTGCCCTGCCGCCATATCCTTATCCTCATCCGCTGCCACAAGCTCCTTACGTTCATCAGGGTCCTCCGAGATATGGCCAAGGTTTCCAAGAACCTGACTTCGTCCCTGTGTTTCGACCAAAACCACGCCAACCACGAATTGAAGACATGCCTCCGTGCGTTGACTGCGGCATAGGGCTGGTTCAACAACAGGTGCGAGACTTGCTCAGCGACAAGGACCACGAGAAATCCAAGAAAGCGAGGAGAAGGAAGGAGCGAGCAGCAGCCGCAGCACAAAAGGATGCCATGGCGAAGAACGTGGCGTTCGTGCGCGATGAGTTCGGGAAATTGTTGGAGGATAGTGTCAGGGATGTCATGGTGCGACGTCGGGACCGTTTGAGAGATCTGGACGTTGATCCAGAGCCACATCGGAGAGCCATTCCGCTGGAGTATCGCCGATCAAAAACGCCTGTAGCAATCACCCAGGACCTCTGGGACTCATTGGAGAGGGGCCGGGCTCTGGAGCAGTCAGAATTGACTTTGCAACAAATTACCGAGTTGATCAGTCGAACTCGAGGGCTGGAACTTCAATCTTCGAAAGGTGATACCGAGGACGAGCGTCACAAACAATTGGAATCGCTCCAAGCTCAAGTCGATTCGTTGGAAGCGAGAACAGTGCCATACCAGCGCAGGCCCGAGCTGATCATGGATCACCCTACATTCCCAGATGCTCGTTTCGCTGAGGCACGGCAACACCGCACTCACAGTCAGCCTCCTCGCGGCCGCCAGCATGAGAGGTACTTTATGAATCAGAGGCCTCGCACACCTCGGTCGCGCAGCCGACGGAGGCCGTATCATTTCGTGGGCGAGGAGTTGCACTCTCCCTACGAGGATGGACTTTATTCAGACAGCTACGAGGGACTTCCAGAGCTGCGTCGTAGGCCTCCTCGACGGTATCACATACCGTTTGCGCCCGAAGTTCCAGATTACTACGAATCTTAGGATTGAACAGTTTGATTGTACATTTTGGCTGGAAATCCTGTAAATTATTGCCCTAGTTGAAGAGAAATGAGAACTTAATATCTGAACATTGACTCCCTGCCCAAGCTGTGTACCTGACAAGACAGCCTGGATGTCAGAAGCACGGAGAAATCCAGATGTTTTGACCAAGAGAATGACACTGAATCTCAACTATTGTACTTCACAAGAGGTTTCGGACCGAGATGTGACTTAATGTGGGCGATTTCGCTTTTCCGAGCTCCAGACAATCAAGGCCGACAGACACGGACGTAAAGGACCAATTTGTTCATCATATTGACATCAACCTGTAAACATTACTTAAACCCCCATAATAGATCCTGCCAAACGCCACTAATGAAGTCCCAGGATATCTAAGAAACAAGCCATCTACCACTGCGTCTCCATCCACCTAACCATCTTCTCAACAAGCCCGCTCCCCACAACATCCCATCCCTCTCCAACAGCAGGACTCCTCTCTCCCGTCCGCTGCGTCTCAAATACCAATCCCTCACGACCAGGCCTGTCATTGTCGTACTTCTCCTCAAAGAAGCGCAGCAGCTTGTACGTCGGGTTCCTCTCTGGGTCGGGGTCCGAGTCGCGCAGGCGGCGCACCCACTCGCGCTGCGAGACGATCTGGAACTCGAGCCTGGCGGCGCGGAGGGCGCGTAGGAAGTCGAAGGTCCAGTGGAAGAGCGTTGGGTTCTGGACCTGGTAGACGAGGCTGAGGTCCGCGTCATCAGGGGAGGCGGGGGGCGCGCCGCAGGACGAGCAGCGCGTTCCGGTTAGGTTGGCGAGTTGGAGGACTGCGAGCGCCATTTTGTCGGCGGGCATCCATGAAGGGGTCTGTGAATATTGTTAGTATGGAGGTCCTTTCTGTGACTGTAATGTTATAACTTACCTCGTCAAGAGCAGGCAGCGCCTTAATCACCTTGGCGCTGCGGATCATCAAGGGAATCGCCTCCGTCTGGTTCCACACACCACCCTCCGAGTCACCCACGATCTGTCCCAAGCGCAGCACGCGCGCCGTCATCCCCGTCTTGGTCGCCGCCGCCTTGACGACGTGCTCCGTCACAACCTTGGACCGCGCATAGCCCATGTTCTGCGCGTGCTCGAGGTTCTCCACGTACGTCTCCTTCACGCGCGCCGGAATAGGTGTCCCCGCGGCCGCCGAGATGGACGAGCAGAAGTAGAACCGCGCAGGGTTGACCGTCTCTGTGCCGAGGCAGAAGTTGAGCAAGTTATGCACGCCGCGGATGTGTTGCGCCTCGAAGCTCGCGACGCCGAGGTTGAAGTTGACGGCCCAGGCGGAGTGGATGACGGTTGTGAGCGTTTTGCGCAGCTCGGCGGCCGCCTCGGGGGTGAGACCGAGGTGGGCTTGGCCAAGGTTCGTCGGGAGGTACTTCACCTTGGCCTTCTCGGCGTCGGAGAGGACGAGGCCCTTGGGGATGAGGGAAGCGAGCACGCGGGACTCGGCTTCGGACGGGGAGGCCGCGCGGGCGAGGCAGTAGACTGTCTTGACGTAGGGCTGGCGCACGACCTGGGCGAGGAGGTGCGCGCCGAGGGAGCCGGTGGCGCCGGTCAGGACGACGGTCTCGCCGTCCGGAGTGATGCTGCCGGGTTTGCGCTCGCTGAAGTCGGAGTACTTTGCGATGAGCTTCCTCATCACCTCGATCTCGTCCTCCGCCTCGGTGGCCTCGCCGGTGCGGAGGGAGTGGACATGTTTGGCGAGGGTGACGACGTTGGGGAACTCGAAGACGACATTCTGCCCGAGGGTCTTGCCGCCGAGGTTGACGCCGCGCTGGATGTGGCCCCGGGCGGTGCTGGCCTGGAGGCTGTCGACACCGGCCTCGAAGAAGTCGGTATCCTTCTGCAGGGTCTCGAAGCCGAGCTTGCTGCGGAAGAGGTCGAGGAGGTGGTCCTCCAGCTGGGGCAGGTCGAGAGTCACGAGCTCGCCGCCGGCGACGTCGTCCGTGGGGGCCTCGAAGCGGCGGTAGACGTCCTCGATGAGGTCGGCGAACTGCTTGTAGAAGGCGGCGCGGATGACGGTGCCCTTGTCGGTGCGGGGGTATTCCGTGCCGATGTCGACGACCTCAATCATCTCCGGGGAGACGCGGCCGAACGCTTCGGCGCGCGCGTTGGCCTGCTCGATGACCGGGCTGAGGGTCTTGAGGATCTCCTCCTTGGACAGGTCCTTGGCGTTCTCGCTGGGGATAATGATCAGGCCGGGGATGGACTTGCCGACGCCGAAGACGACGACCTCCTGGACGAGCTCGTGCTCGCGGATGTGGTTCTCGTAGGGGATGGGGAGGACCTTCTCACCGTTGACGAGGGTAACGCGGTCATCGAGGCGGCCGAGGTAGCGCCAGGCGTCGGGGATGGTAGGATGCGGGACGAAGGTATCGCGAGTGCGGTATGAGTTGGGCGCTGGGTCGTCCGAGTTGGACATGACCTTTGACGGGAGGCCGTCGAGAACGACGCACTCGTAGACGTCACCTGCAATGGGGATCATGCGCAGCCAGGGCTTAGCCGAGGCGAGGGGGCGCATGTAGTTCCAGTACTTGTCTCCCGGCTCGCGGAACGAGGTCATGAGCTGGCCCATCTCGGTGGCGCCGTAGTGTCCGACGAGATACACACCCTCCTTGACGAGGCGGTCACCCAGGTCATCGGGACAACTGCTGCCGCCATATAGCACCAGCTTAAGCTTCTTCAGCGCCTCAATGCCGCCCTCAGTCTCTGCGAGCAGTTTCAAAGCGTACGGCACGCAGTGCAAACTTCCGGGCTCCGTAGCGGCCATGGCCTTTACTAGCGTGGTCCCTGAGAGTGGCAGGCTGGCGTTGTAGATGGCGATCCTGTGTCCAGCAACGATGGCGCGGAAGAGCGTTGAGATGCCATGGTTGTGGAACAGCGGCAGCGTCAGGAACGCGCGGTAGGGGATGCCGCTCGAGTAGTTGGAGACACAGGCGGCATGCGTCTGAAAGATGGGCTTGGGCAGCCCCGTTGACCCGGACGAGTGCACGATGAAGGAGATGCGCTGGGAGGCGTTGGGGTGCGAGAAGATGGGGAAGCGCTCGCCCGAGGGCGTGGGCAGATCGTAGTCAACCCTGTCGAGGATGCTGAAAGATGAGATGGGGTATTGCTCGCTGATTTCGGAGGCTATGCTGCTGTAGCGGTCCGAGATGACGATGCGGTTGCAGTTTGTCTTCTTAAGGAGGTTGACGTAGGCCTCGGGGGAGAGACGCGTTGAGAGGTAGAGCACGGCGAAGCCCATTCTTGACAGGGCAAACATGGTGACTACATAGTTGATGTCTGAGTTGGCAAGAAGCGCGATAACCTCTGCTTGGGCTGAGTTTGGGTTCTAATCATGGTGAGTATGAAAGACGCTGGGGATGGTCTCGATGAGACAATGTAGATGCATACCTCTGGGAGAAGCCCAGCTTGGGCATACTTGCGCGCGGCTTCATCGGCAAACCGATCAAGGTCCTTGGCGGTGTAGTTGACATAATCATCTCTTCCACGAGCCGTTGCCGGGTATGCCAGAACATCGACATCTGGTGCCTCTTCTACTCTTCTCAAGAGCAGGTCTGTGACGGTCCTGGGCTGCTCGACGGGCTTGACAGTCTCGACGATCTCGACCGTTGGCTTCTCAGAAGTGAGGAGTGACCTCGCCACCACGCCTTCCCTGTGAATCGCCATGGCTGACAAGCTGGGCTATGAGAATGAGGGAGGTAAATGAAAGGATGAGTGAGAATGAGCTCAATCGGGAATCATACAAGTGGACGAACTTGAGAGAGAGAACGAGCCGGTATTAAAGTCTTCAACATCGAGTTGCCAAAGTACTCATCCAATTCATCCGCGGCGCAACAGTGACTTGAAGATGGTATTGGAGAACAGACCCAGAGCCCAGAAGCAAGCCTCTAATATCCTTTCACCATCTTCTGCACATCCAGGCAGCCCCCATGTCCTTTCCCATGTTCGTCTGGTTCTAGCAAACACGCACTTCCGTCCCTCCTGTTCGCGGTGCTTTGCAGCTAGACAGCCACCTAGCCCAAACACCCTCGCCCCCGGTGGCAATGGAAAATTACCGTCCGCGCCTGCGCTGTGCCTATGCTGCTCATAGCAATCTCTCAAAGGGGTCACGGGTGCGTGCCGAGACAACCGACGGAAAAGCACACCGGGCCCTGGGCGACACGGAAAAGCACCACACCGGCTACCGGCCGAGACGCACGGGCCAGTTCCGGAGAGCCCGCCTTACACCCTTCCCGTCGTCCCGTTGCCCTCCTCCGAGTCGATCGGATCGGAACCTGGGAGTATTTCCGGCTGATGTCTGGGTCTCTGTGGAGGAATCCGCCGAGTTGTCAGAACGAGCGGGGAGATGTGCGGGGGGAGTCGGACGATGTTGCTGCTGGAGGGGCACAGTTGCGGGGTTTCGCCAGTTGAAGGAGAGGGGTATTATTGTTTATTATGAGAAGGCTTCTGGTCAACGCGCGCGGAGGGACGGGCATGAAAGATTGTTATATCGCTTTTTGTTGAGGAATTAATCAATCATTCTGTGAAGAAAAGATGTCTCAGCACTTTTATGACGAAGCAGAGAACCTCGTTCTCGACGCCCTCGAGAGCTTGGTGCTGCAACACTCAGGCCTGACCTTTGACAAGTCTAAGAAGAGTACGTTACTCTCATCTCATGAAATCATCTTGAGTTTTCACTAACAATTATCCCCCTAAAAAGCCGTTTGGCTCACCAACAATGACCCCCAAAAGGTCTCCATCCTCTCAGGAGGCGGAGCCGGCCACGAACCCGCACACGCCGGTTTCGTCGGCAACGGCATGCTCACCGCCGCCGTCTCGGGCTCCATCTTCGCCTCGCCCAGTGTCGCGCAGATCCTCTCCGGAATCTCCCGCGTAGCATCCCCGGCCGGCGTTCTGCTCATCATCAAGAACTACACCGGCGACGTCTTCCACTTCCACCTGGCCGCCGAGAAAGCGAAGGCCTGTCTCGGCGTGCCCGTCGAGGTGCTCATCGTCGGCGACGACGTGTCCGTCGGCCGCAAGAAGAGCGGCAAGGTCGGACGGCGCGGGCTCGCGGGGACGGTGCTGGTGCACAAGATCCTCGGCGCGTACAAGGAGACGGGCGCGTCGTTGGCAGATGTCTTGAAACTGGGCAAGACGGTTACTGAGAATTTGGTGACGGTTGGTGCGTCGCTGGAGCATGTGCATATCCCTGGCCGCGAGGCCGCGGCGCCGTCGGCAGGGGATCAGGTTGAGCTTGGCATGGGTATTCACAACGAGCCCGGGTGCCAGGTCCTCAAGCCTAGGCCGGAACTGCCGAAGCTGATTGACCAGATGTTGACGCAGCTTCTGGATCCGAAGGACTCCGACAGAGCGTATGTTGACTTCTCCCACGCAAAGGATGTTGTGGCGTTGGTAAACAACCTGGGTGGTGTTTCGCCGCTTGAGTTCAGCGGAATAACTGCCAAGGTCGTCAATGCTCTCGGTAAGAGTTGGCCCCCGTGATGATGACAAGGGCGATTGCTGATTGTTCAAAGGCGCCAAGGGACTTAAGCTGGCTCGTGTCATTTCGGGAACGTACATGACGAGTCTCAACGGCCCCGGCTTCAGCATCACCCTGCTCAAGGCCACCCCTGACATCCTGAAGTACATCGATGCCAGCACCGACGCAATCGGCTGGGCATACTCCCCGCGCAATGAGACGGCCAGCGACCCCAAGCAGCGGATCAGCGAGAGCGCGGATGCCGGCCACGAAGCAGACGGCGCGAAGAGCGGAGTTGAGTGTATGTTGAACTACCCACCTTCGCTCCTCATTCCCCAACTGACAATCTTGGTATAGTGAACGTCGACGTCTTCAAGAAGGTCGTCGCCGAAGCAAGCAAGCGCATCGAACAAGCCGAGCCCCAGATCACCGACCATGACACCAAAGTCGGCGACGGCGACTGCGGCGTCACCCTCCTACGCGGCGCCAAGGCCGTTTCCAAGTATGCGTCATCCACCGCCCTCACTTCCGACGCCGTCCGCACGGCCATCGACTTGACGAATGTGATCGAGGACAACATGGACGGCACCTCGGGCGCCATCTACAGCATCTTCTTCGCGGCGCTGTCGTCGGAGCTGCGGAAGGCGAGCGCGGGCGTGCTCGACACGAAGGCGTGGACGAAGGTGGCTGTCGGTGCGCTGGGGACACTGCAGCAGGCGACGCCCGCTAGGCAGGGAGATCGCACGCTGTTGGATGCGTTGGAGCCGTTTGTGAAGACGCTGGAGAAGACCGGTAGTGTGAGCGAGGCTGTGAAGGAGGCAAGGAAGGGGGTGGAGGCTACGAAGGGGTTGGCGGCGAGTTTGGGCAGGGCGGTGTATGTCGAGGAGTCTGCGTGGGGAAAGGTTCCGGATCCTGGTGCTGAGGGTGTGTTGGCCATCTTGGAGGGACTTGAAGCGGCGACGTCTTAGCTGGGGTCACGATGATGTTGAATATGTTGGCGGAGCCAGAGTTGTAAATATTTGAAGGTACAAGCTAATGTGTTTGATGATGATTGTAACACGTCTTGATTGATAAGACTGGGTCTTTCCAAGGATCATACATCCAGCAAATATCGATTGCGCCTGGGCAAGACCATGTCTCGCCTGATATCAAAGTACATATTTCGCCATCTATGCAATAACCAGATCTTCTCCGACGACAAGAGTGGTATTCAGAATCTTAGTGAGTCGTCATTTAGCAATGCTTCCAAGCCCCCAAAGCCAGACGTGACCTGCGCAGGAAAGTTTAGTCACAGGTTCGCAGACACATCCATCGAGCAACAACTTACCATGGAATCGAATTGACCCCAGCTGGTCATGTCAGCTAGAGAGCTACTCGGGCTGGCATCGAACCCCACGAAGTCCTCGGTGTGAGCAACGTCCGAGAAGTTGATTCCTGCTAGGTGATCAGGCTGTTGGTTGTGGACATCTTCTGCCGCACGAGCTGCCAAAGACCCGCCACCATTTTGGTTATTATGGACTGGAGGGCTGTGGAGGCGTTCCGTCTGTCTCAGAGCTTCCGTCCGGAGCTCCTCGAGCACAAGGCAGTACCGCGCGGCCAGCTGAGACTCGTTGTCCGCGAGCGTGGCGAGCTGTGTCTGGCAGCGCGTCGCGGCGGCGAAGTAGGACTGCCACGTCTCTGCGGGCGCCGTCCGCTGCTGTATTGTGTAGACATAGAGAACGACGACGGCGGAGAAGGCGAAGTAAGAAGTGAACTAGATGAGTGTTAGCAGGAGTCAACAAGAAGACTTAGGGATGGCTGACCCAAAATGCACGGAACAGCTGGCCTGCCTGGATCAGGTCGTTCACTGTATCTACAACATGCATGGCCGCGTCTAAGCACGCTTGGACGCTGTCGCCGGCTTGGTCCTTATGCGGCACACTGCGACGACGGCTCTTGCCGTTCCGTTGTAACCTCGCAAAGTTGCTGAGGAGGAACGGTCGGTGGGTAAGTATCATAGCGTGCCAGTAGGCTAGATTCAGGACGTTTCTCTGTCGTTGAAATATTGGTATGAGAAGGGCCATGTTGATGCCGTCGTCGAGAAACTGCGACAGCTCGGCTCGCCATTGCTTCAGGTTCTGCGAGTACTTTGCCGCCAAGGCGCAGCGGTTGGAAAATGAGGAGGGGCGGATGGAGTACAGATCTCGTAAGATCATGCTCACTATTCGTGAGAGCCTGCCATCGAGTCAGTGTCTGATGCAGCACAGCGGGACGGTCCGCACTTACTTGACGTGAGCCACGGGCGCCAGCATGAGCGACTGCCCGCGTCCCATGCGGGGCGTGATGTGGTCCGCATGCAGATCGCCGTCTTCCGAGCACGACGGGAGTTCCTGGTCGATGTCTTCGTCGTGGAACGTCCTCGGCCGGCCCAGCGCGGCGCTGAGGTAGTTGTCGAGACTGTACGCGCACCAGAACGTGCGCCGACGACACTCGAGTTCGATGTAGTTGTAAGCCCCCGCCGGGTCGGCGTGGCGGTTCCTGTTGAGGCCGATGGCGAGAGCCAGGTGCCCGACGGTGCCGAAGAGACTCCAGCAGTGGTTGATGCGGGACTGTGATAGTAGCCAGAAGCACTGGCATAAGCGAGCCTGTACGCTGGCTAGGCGGACGGCACCGCGCTCTTTGGAGAGCTGGTGATCTGCAGCCAAGAAATATCGAGCGCTGGGTCGGGTGTGTTAGATAAGGGGTTTTGGTTTATGACAAACATGCGTGACGGGTGCGACGACGGATATGATGTGTTCCCTAAAGATAGGGTAAAAGCAAACATGAAACTTACCTGACATCCGCGTTTTCACGGGTCTGAGTGGTGACCATGTACTCCTGGGCCTGCGCAAACACCATAAATAGAACGGCCCTCCTCGCAGGAGCGTCCTCCTGGCTCTTCATGGCGCCGTTGGTGGCATAGAACTCTTCGAGCCAGCCTTCAACGGTGGGGCGATGGAGGAAACGGTGCGTTGGCACGGCGAAGTCAAAATATCTCTTGAGCAGCGTTGTCGCCTCATCCTTGGACAGCAGGACGCAGAAGGCGCCGCTGGGGTCAAAGTCAGGCAGAGGGGCATCGCCAAAAGTGAAAATTGAGGAAGCTTGTGAGAAGGAGACGGCCTGGTGTAACCTCTTCTGAACCCTCAGTAAGAAAGACACACCGGATGAGGGGCCAACATAGTGGCCCTGGAGGTCTGTCTGGGTAGGTTCAGGAGACGCCCGCGAGGGAGGCTCGGCAGTCCCCGGGCCGACGCTGCCAATGACAAGATTCGATCCGTTCATGATACTTTCCTCTTGTTGATGATCGTGCTCATGGTCAACATCAGGCTCTCCGACGTCGACGACGATGGATGCCATCAGGGCATCCTCGCCAGCCGCAGACGAGCCGGAGACGGCACCACCAGCACCAGCGGAATTGCTGCTGTTCGAGCTGTTTCCATGCGTTCCCGCAGGTGGCGGTACGGAGACGTCGAGACCGTCGAGGTCCATTCGGGCGACATCTTCCCGAGTTGCCACGGGCGGCTGGCGCCCGCGTGCATAAGACGCGTTGTACGTGCAGTAGGACTCGGTGCGGATGCACAACTCGCACGGCTGGATTCCCGTGCAGCGGATCTTGCGCTTCTTGCACCTGTCGCAGGCCCGGGTGACGCGGACGCGTTCCTTGTCGCGGTGGCGCCGACGTCTGCCGCTGTCTGGCAGAGGCGTTGTGTTGGACGGGTGTGTCAGGGGTGGAGAAGCCAGTTGCTGGTTATTCCCGTTCGTGTTGTTAGTGGTATTGCCGTTGATGCTTGATCCGTTGATGGTTCCGTTGCCGTTGATGGAGCTGGTGCTGTGGTGTCGTTGGCCGTGGCCGTGGCCGTGGTAATCCAGGACATGCTGGTGATTGTGAGAGTGGGAATGGCGGCGGTTCCCGCCATTCATGGTGCTGCTGCTGCTTGCGGCAACGTTGATGCTGCTGGCATTGCCGATGTTGCCAGTGCTCCCGATGCCGATGCCGACACCGGAGCCTTCGTCAGAGTCCAGGTCCATTGCCGGAACCTCAGCCTAGCTCTGCTCTTCTCCGTCGAGGCCCAGAGGGCGGAGGAGGCGGGCAGACGGACGGACGGCGGAGCGCGGATGCGGGTGCGGTTGTGCAGTGCCCGGTTCAGCCCCCAGCAACGCAAATTAACAGCGAGCAATTTGGCGCGGCGGCGGCGGCGGCAGACTCCCCTGATCCTGCTGCTGCTGGAGACACGGAAACATGGCCCTCGAGCGCACGCAGACTCAGAGTGGGAAATGGGTGGAAGGGGGAAAGAGAGGGACCCAGGGCGGGAACGTGGAGGAACGGAAATGTCACCTCATTCTTAATCCTTTTGGGAATGGGGAGACAATGCGGGGTACCCGGCCGCCCCCATTTCTTAGTCTCCCCCGGTTGGGGCGGGCATCCTTGCGGGACATGGCAGATGCCCCGGGCGCCCGAGTCGAATGATTATGTTTGGTGTTCAAAGAATGGTGGTATTGGCACGAAGAGCAGACTGGATTGGAGGGAGGGGCATATGCGAAGAGTCAAGGGTTTTGTCTGTGTCTGTACAGTGAAGTGTGTTGGGGACATGGGGAAGTAGAAGAACACGAGATCCCGGAGATGAGCTTGTGTTTGGGTGTAATAGGGCCACAGGGATGAAGGTCGCCCTCTTCAGCCTCAGAAACGTGGAAGCAAAGGAAGATTGTTCTAGAGCTGCTTCCGGCGAGTAAGTCATTTCAGAACAACCAGGGATCTGCAGACGCACGCACCAACATGAACCAAGTGAGTCTGGGGCAGGTAGCCTACGGGGTTATATATATCCAGACGCGCGAGGAGGTGGCGTGTTTAATCAGGATTTTGTCTGTTTCTGTTAGCGGTAGTTTGACGAGGTCATCAGTAAGAAGGCGTGTTAATTGCTGGGTTTGTTCTACTATCAAGATGCTCATCAAACTCTGAAATCATGACAACGTTTCTGATAATAGTAATAATCCCATTAAAAGATCGCCACTGCGTTGGGAGGACTAGCAACGCCTCCAGGCACCTAACGGTCGCGAGTTAATAACAAATTCATCTTCACCTCGTCTAATGAAACCAGTTAGGGTCATCAAACTCACCCTCAATGGCACGCTGCTCAAGAAGAATGTCCACCTCCCGAGCTCCTCGCACTTGACACTCAACGCCTCGAGATCAAACATCTCTCCAATCGGCAGTCCCCATCCGCCCAGCAGCCACTGATGCAGCAAACCTCCGCTCTGCATCTCCTCCTCCCACGCCTCGCCCTTCCACACACCCCCAACGGCAGTATGAGGCCCCGCGATGGGCGCCCTCTCGAAGCTCGGCGCGTCGCCCGCCACGGCCGCAAACCCAGTCTCCCAGATCCACCGCAGCACGTCCTTGGTCGGCTCGACGCCGAGAAAGTCGGGGCTCGCACGCGCGGCGACGGCCTTCTGCGCGGCATCGTCTTTGGCGTTGTAGCCCGCCGTGAAACCCGAGCGGATGAGCAGGATGTCGCCGGACTGGAAGGTGACGTTCTGCTCGGCGGCGACTTGCTTCAGGTGCTCGAGGGTGATGTCGCTGCTCGTGAAGGCGTCGAGCGGGAGTGCGTGCCGGGCGCAAAAGCTTGCGTAGTCGAGCAGGACGCCCCGGCCGACGATGCCACCCTTCTCGACCCAGGCTTTTTTGTTTATTAGTTAATGAAACAAATGCAGCGCGGCGCAGAGACCGCAGCGCGACACGACTCACCATCGATGCCGATCTTTTCGGGATTTTCCAGGTCGTCTTGAGTCGTGTTGTTGTAGTACCGCTTGGCTTTCTGGTACCCTTCGTCTGAAGCGTTAGCTGCTTGATCCTTGTTCATGTCCTGCTGCCCTGAAGCATCATCGCTAAATACCGTAGTGCCTGAACCCGTCCCACTGGCTGCTGCACTGCGTGTTGAAGTGCAAGATGTCGTCGTTGACCGTCCTCTTCTCCCCGTTGGGATGCGTCCGGTTGACAAGTTTCGATTCAAACGGCGCCCGATCGAAGCTCGGCTGTGAAGGGTTGGTCAGCGACCAGTCCAGCGACACGCGGTCACCGGTCCGGATCTCTGATGCTGCTGCAGCGGCGACGATGGCTGGGGTCAGAAGGTTCAGCGCCCCTAAGCGATCGTCTTTGCCATAGAGACCCCACGCGTTTCCTGGAGGACCATTGGGGTCCAGGGGCAGAGACGAGAAGGGCGGTCGGGGTGGTAGATCAGAAGAAGACATGATTTGGACAGGTGATGTTCTCAAAGTGAAGGTTAACTGTTGGAAATGAGAATAAACATGAGGTGGACACTGAATATGTGCAAGTCAAGACGCCGAAAATCGCTATCGGGGAGAAATGCGCCGGCGTCGGGGAGCCGGCGTCCACTGCTACGCCCGACTTAAAACCGCTGAGGAGCGGATTTGTTTCCTGTCAAGGGCGGACCGGGCCATCAAGTTGTTCAGTTTCCTGGAAATGAAACTCAAATTGAGTTGATTTTAATTCAGACTACATTCTGTTCCCCATTTTCATTGCCAGAATTTTAGATCTTTGATCTGTCCAGATTAATGTTGGCTTAATAGATGTACCTAAAGTTCATGTTCTCCTGATCCGTCAAGTCCCCAAACGCAGTTGCATCCAAGTCCACTTCGGCAACTTCACCCTGCGCCCGATCGCGCCGCTCATTCTCCCACTTTAACAGGAAGCGCAGTGCAATGACGATGACAACTTCAAGCAGATGTGCAACAATCATGCTCCAGATGCCAAGCTCATACTTGGGCGTCTGATCGGACTTGTAAAAGAAGGGACCGGCAATGTTCCCGACGCAGTAGCCAAGGAAGAGGCATGCCGACGTGACAACCTTTTTGGTGTGTCCCGCAATGTTTGCCGTTTGGAGTGAGAGGAGCAGCACGAATGAAGCGTTGATGGACCCGGTCAACTGGAAAATCACAATAAGCTTTTTACCGCGGGAAACTCCACTGGACTGGATGCTGAAGTGATAAGAACTCACGTAGTAGCAGATAAGTCTCCCGACTTGCTGGTCGTCGGGCACGAATCGTAGTCCAAATGCACCCACGACATTGGGCAGCAAGAACACGACCAGCATGAAGCATCGATTGTTGGGAGGAAGTCTGTTGTTGATGAACACGCAGACTAGGATGGCAATGAAAATGAGGACGCCGTAGGGGACCTGGAGAACGGCTGTGATGACTGTGACAATTTAGCTTCAACACAGAATGACATCCAAGGTGACGGATACGCACGCGTAGAAAAGTTGAACCCCTTGATAATCAACGTCCCAAAGTTCGACGTGCCCCCGTTCACGATGGCCTGGAGCAGCGCAATCATGAAGAAGAAGTACAGCTTGAAGTCGGTGAAGGCCTCCCTGACCTGGTACAGCTTCAACGTCTTGTTCTCGACGCCGGTCTGGTTCTCCCTCAGCCGCTCAATCACGATCTTCTTCTCGCGCTGCGAGAGTGCCTTGCTCGTGATGGGGTTATCCGGGAGGAAGACGGCGATGACAATGCCCCAGGCGCAGCAGAGGGCGCCGACGATGATGAACTCGTACTTCCATGATGCCAGAGCACCCTTGATGCTGCCGATGCCGTAGCCGAGTAGGCCCCCGAGGGCGATACCGATGCCGTTGGCAGTGTACCACAGGCCAATTTTGATGGGTTGTTCGCGCCGGGTGTACCACATACTTTCATCCTGTTATTCGAATTCCTCTAGGTCAGTGATGTGGAGAGGGAGAACAGCACCTGGTGATGATCATGAAAGCAGGGTCAGCGCAGGCCTCCGCTGCACCGCTTATTGCTCTAAGCACAGCCAACACTGTGAAGTTGGGCGCAACAGCCTGAAGCATGAGAAAGGTGCCCCATGCAAAGATGTTGATACCCAGATACTTCGCGATGGGAAACCTCTGTAGCAAGAGGTTTGTCGGAAGAGCCCATACGAGGAAGCCAAAGTAAAATACCGAGGATAGCCAACTGTACTCTGCACCCTTTAACCCAAGGTCTTTCTGGATGCCAAAAATGGCTGCGTAAGACAGGGTAGTCTTGTCAATCTTTTTGCGCATATCAGATTTAGCCCAGGTCTTTGAATCTCTTGGCGGATAGACTTACGTAGAAGAAGGCGTAGCAGACTGAAATGTAAGGGAGAATCATCCAATCAACTTTGCGGACGAGCATCCGGTCCTCTTCGGGGTTGATAGGGTCGTGGATCCCGTCCACGTTGTCGAAGAGTGCCAAGGCAACATCGCCTCCACTCTTGGAAAGCTTGTACTTTTGGAGGTCTGCCTCCTCTATGTTCTCTAGCTGGGATGCCGAGGGCTTTGATTCGCTAATCCCATCGGTATTGGCTGTAGTTTGTTGCTCTGGGCCAGGGCTTTCGTGTGGGTTCATGGTAGAAGGCATCTCTTGGGTTATGATTTAACAAAAAATAACTGATAGAAGAGCTAGCATCACTGGTTCAACAGAGGTTGAAACGTTTCAAGGAAGAGAAGAGCTGCATTTTTAAACAGTTGATGATAATAAGCTACGCAGTCTACACTCGCACATTTTAGAGCATCTTCCCCCAGGGACCATGGATAACACGGCAAGAACACTCCGGGGAAAGCACGGGGAAGCTTCCAGCTACCCCAAACGCTTCCGGATAGCTTGCCGGATGGACGCATATTGCAGTTGCTTTGGTCCACATAGCGTCGCACTATCTCAAGACACGCAAAGGTGATCAGAGTGCTTTTCCGTTGCACGTTTCCAAGAGAGGTCCACATTGTTCATCATATCCAATCATGTATTCATAACCATCCCGCTATCTAGCTTTTACACGGGAGATCTACAGGGACTTCTCAATCTTGTCGATATCCGACAACAGCAGCGCATCCAGCGACTTCCACGTCGCCTCCGCGAGACGTCCCTTGAGCGGCAAACGGCCTCCCTCAAGCGCGCCGAAGCCGGCCTTCTGAATGATACCCTCACGGATGCCGATGATGCCGGTCTTGCCGATGAAGTCCTCCGCGCGGGACACGGCGTACTGCAGGCGCTGGACCTCCTCGAGGGTGCTCTGCTCGACGGGGCGCTTCTCGGAGAGCGCGAACAGGCGCGAGACGGTCTTGGGGTAGAAGGCCGCGAGGCCGTCGATGACGCCCGCGGCGCCGAAGAGCACGATGGGCGCGAGCTGCTGCCCGAAGCCGCTGTAGACACGGAACTTGGAGTGGTCGATGCGCGGGTCGGAGGAGACTTGGAGGTGGAGGGAGACGTTACCGTGGGACCTGGGCTTGTTAGCTTTGGGAAGTGAGCGTGAGGCGGTTGTGAGTCTTACATCTTGCAGCCCACGATCTTAGGGTGCTGGGCGAGGTCCTTGTACGTATCGGGCTCGACGAGGACGTTGTTTGTGACGCCGGGGTAGTTGTACCTATTCCAGTCAGCTCATGCTTCGCTTTCAATGATTGGTGCACTTACACAAGGATGGGCAGCGGGCTCTTGTCCGCAATCAAGTTGTACCACTCCTTGATGTTCTCCTGGTTCGCCGCCGTGCCAAAGTATCCCGGCACCAGGACCAGACCCCATTGCGCGCCGGCCTTGGCGTAGTCCTCCAGCCACTCGAGCGTCTCGTCGACGCCGTTCGTCAGGACACCGGCCATGATGGGGTAGTCGGGGAACCCGGCCTCCTCAAGGCCCTTCTTGACGCCGGCGACGAGCTCGATGCGCTCGGCCTTGTTCAGGTGGATGGCCTCGCCGGTCGAGCCGAGGAGGACCAGGCCGCGGATGCCATTCTTTGCGAGGTAGACGCTGTGCTTGACCTGCGTCTCGACGTCGACCTTGGGCTGGAGGGAGCCTGACGATGCGGAGGCGGGGTGGAAGAAGGTCGGGACAGGGACGAAAACGCCCGTGGGGGGTACTCTGACGTCGGCCATTGTGATGGATGAATTAACTCGGAAAGGAACAGGAATTGAGACGGAAGAATATGAGATGACGGGTATCACTTTTTTTGCTTTGCAGAGAATCTTTCCAACAAGAACGTTCAGTTTTGTTGACAGCAACCACCCCTCAATTGTACCACTCACGATGGGCAAGCAAACGTGTCAGAGCACCCCCGGTCTCGGTCCTCTCGGCAATTCCGCGAAGAGCCAGCCTGCGCTCCGGGTCCACCAGGATGGCGTTTCTCGGGGTATGATGACGCGGGGGTGGAGACGCATGGCGTGAAGCAACATGGGGGGTAAACTCGCGCGGGGAACAGTCCGATTCGCCGCGCCGCGTCGGACGCCATCGGCTACATGAGCGGCAGCGTTGCTCAGAAGCGCCGGAAAAGAGGTTTACCTAATGCTCTTCTCCGTAACACGGATGGGCGGCGCCCCGAAGATGCGGAAACATTGCAGGAGAGGGACAACTGACGACAGCCTCAAACTGAGAATATAAGATGAGCCTGTGAAATTTTATTCATGGGGGCTTTTTGGAGTGTGACATATGACACCTTGAGTGCGGATAACGACCAGCATCATCCGATTTTCATTTCCTCAGACGCACTTCCGTAAACGGCACATTTTTGAGATACCCTGAATCACTCCGCAATAATGGGTTTGCCTTCATCTTTCAAGCTTCTGTCGGGACACGAGATCCCCGCAGTTGGTCTGGGTACTTGGGTAAGAGGCCGCTATGCAGTCGAGATGGGGGCAATTTCTGATGGCTTTGATGTGTAGCAATCCAAGCCCAATGAGGTCAAGAATGCTGTTGAGCATGCTCTGAAGAATGGCTACCGCCACATTGACGCGGCCGCGGTCTACGACAACGAGAAGGAGGTCGGTGCCGGTCTCAAGGCCTCCGGCGTGCCTAGGAAAGACATCTTCGTAAGCTACTCGTTCGCAAAGCTTATCGCACTCTCGACTTCTGACCCCTGCAGATCACCAGCAAGCTCTGGAACACGCACCACAAGGCGGAGGACGTCGAGACCGCGCTAGACATTACCCTCGCCGACCTGCAGACCGACTACGTCGACCTCTACTTGGTGAGACCCCTCCATCCCTCCTTCTTCTCCTCACCCCACCCTACCCTTCTTCAACGGCCCGCCTAACGCAGCTATGTCGTGCATTAGATTCACTGGCCCGTGTCCTTCAGGAAGGAGAACGACACCAACCGCTTCCCGCTGCACCCCGTGACGGAGGCCGTGGACGTCATTGACGTCCCCGTGTCCGAGACGTGGAAGGCGATGGAGGACCTCGTCAAGAAGGGCAAGATCAGGAGCATTGGTGTCTCCAACTTCACCCGCGAGAAGATTGAAGAGTTGTGGAAGACGGCCGAGATCAAGCCAGCGGTGAACCAGATCGAGGCGCACCCGTACCTGCAGCAGCCCGACCTCTTGGCCTGGTCCAAGGAGAACGTGAGTAGTACCTACCTATTCCCTGCTGACTGAAGAATGTTCCGTGGTTGCATTTGTGCGGAGGTCGCTAATCTGGGGAAACATGCAGGGTATTGTTGTTACGGCGTACAGCCCCCTTGCCAACAACATTTACAACCTGCCTCGGTGAGTGGCACAATCCGAGCTGTGTGTGTGCGGCTCGCAGACTAACAGTAAGCAGCGCCGTTGATGACTCCACAATCATTGAGATTGCAAAGTCTCTAGGAAAGGAGCCCGCTCAGGTTCTCGTCAGCTGGGCTGTCCAGAGGGGAACCGTCGTGCTCCCCAAGTCCGTCACTCCCTCAAGAATTGAGAAGAACTTGGAAGGTACAGTCTACTTGCTGACGATGCAGTTGTAGGAAGAAGTCACTGACATGTAACAGTGTTCGAGCTCCCCAAGGACGTCTTTGAGAAGATCAACTCCCTCGACAGGAAGCACCGCTACAACTTCCCCGCGCGTCTGGGCCAGGACATCTTTGGTGAGTCCGACCCGGAGACGCTCAAGAAAGCGGTGGAGACGTGGGTGGCACAGCAGAAGAAGATTAGAGCCGGTCAGGCATAGAAACATACTTTGCGTGTACGTTGTCGTTGTCGTAATAGAGCGGGAAACACCCCTAGATCGAATTGATGGAAACTCATGAAACCACCAATGAGAAGCCCCAGACCTCGGTGAACGTTTTCCGTGTCCCTTTTCCTCACCGAACGGAAAAGCGCACACCGAAACCCCGCAGAGACCCGTTCCTCAGCTGGATCACATTCGGGTGATGGTGCACCGAACCCCGCACTGCCCATGGAGCAGCTCCCCACTTGCCGTTTGCGGCCGGGTAATGGCCGCGGGCATTGCCGATGGAGATGCTGCTGCGGAGTCGGACGGCAGTGTGAGCACAGGCGGCTCGGCGAGGTTCCGGACTATGTTCCGATGGGGGCGCATTTTGCTCCGTCAACTCCGTCACATCTCCGCTTTGGCAGGGTAATAATAGTTCACGATTGCCTCAAGAGTGTGTTGTTCCAGCAAGCACACCATTGACTCGGCATCCCCATCTCAAAAAGCTCCATTGCTCTCTTTGTAATTCTTTGCAAGGGCAACCCCTCTTTCCATACGTCATATTACCTAACCCCCACACGAGTTCATCATGGGCAAGATTGCAAAGATGGAGTACTTCCGGGTGCCGCCTAGGTGGCTGTTCGTGAAGATCACGGACGAGGCGGGTAATGTTGGCTGGGGCGAGGCGTCGCTGGAGGGTCACACCCAGGCTGTTGAGGGATGTCTCGATGCTTGGTTCGAGAGGTATTCGGGCATGGAGGCTGAGTATGTTCATTGTATTCGTGGTCAAGAGGTTGTTAATACTTACATGGCACAGCGACATCGAACACATCTGGCAAATGTCATGGAGGACAACCTTCTACCGCGGAGGCCCTGTCTTCATGAGTGCGTTGGCGGGTATCGATATTGCGCTATGGGACTTGAAGGGTAAGTTCGTCGGCCACAGTTAATGAAACTCATTACTGACAGTTATGTAGCGAGAAAGTTGGGTCTGCCTATCTGGCAGTTGCTCGGAGGAAAGGTCAGAGACAAGCTCAAGGTGTACGCCTGGATCGGTGGTGACAGGCCGAATGACGTCGGAGCTCAAGCGTAAGAAGCATGCGAATAATCTGCAACATGAGAATTGATGCTGATATCTTACACAGACAAGCACGAAAGGATCAAGGCTTCAAGTGCGTCAAGATGAACGGCACCGAAGACCTCGGCTGGCTCGACTCCCCCAATGCCCTCGACGCCGCCGTCGAGCGCGTCAAGGCCGTGAAGGCCCTCGGCATGGACGCCGGTGTTGACTTCCACGGTCGTGTACACAAGCCCATGGCGAAGCAGCTCGCGAAGGCGCTGGAGCCGCACCGCCCCCTCTTTATCGAGGAGCCCCTTCTCTCAGAGCACTTGGGCGGCATCAAGGAGATCAGCGGCTTGACGTCTATCCCCATCGCCCTCGGCGAGCGTCTTCACAGTCGATGGGACGTGAAGCCGTTCTTGGAGGCGGGCTGTGTTGATATCCTGCAGCCTGACATCTCTCACGTCGGTGGCATTTCTGAGATGCGTCGTATCGCAGCGATGGCTGAGGCGTATGATGTTGCGTTGGCGCCTCATTGCCCACTTGGCCCCATCGCTTTGGCTGCCAACGCGCAGGTTGATTTCACGTCGCCCAATTTTGTGATTCAGGAGATGAGCTTGGGTATTCACTACAACAGCACTGGGCAGGATTTGACAAGCTACACAAAGAACCCAGAGGTCTGGAAGGTCACGGATGGATACATAGACCTTCTCACTGGACCGGGACTGGGTATTGAGATCGACGAGGATCAGGTTCGTCAGTTGTCGAAAGATGCCAAGGCGTGGGTGAGCCCCGGATTCATCGGGCCTGGTGGTGAGATTAGAGAGTGGTAGATGTTCGTCATACCTCACCAAACTGGAACAGAAAATAGCACATATGTAATACATCATGTCAAAATCACTTGCCAAATTGAGGCGATTTCTGAATTATGCTAGCTGTATTTTGGTTCATCGCCTCAAGGTGCCTTCTGAAGCCCTTCATGCTTCACAATCCACCCGCCGTCTTTGGGGAAGCCGGGCGCATCGCCTTCGGAACCCTGCCATCCAGCAACCATATATGCGACTGCAGTGTTTGTTAGTACTCCTCGGTAATTTCATCAGGGACTTCGTGGCATGGGTCTTACCAGCATACAGAAATCCAGCATTGCCCGGCATAAAGGGCGGAGGTGTGCCGCCTACTAGCAGTTAGCAATGAATGATCGGATTATCCATAAAAGGTTACACGTACCATCTCCTCCGCGGACAGCGAACCCAGCATCGTCAAAAGTCCAATAGCTGTACGCCGTCAAGTGATAAATAGCACGTTCCGGGTTGCCGATCCGTGCAGAGTTAATCGCCAACACAGGCCGTCCCCATCCTCGAATCTTCTGGTCTGTCCACACTTCCCATACCTTATCTGCCGTTCTCAGAGCCACGTCGGGATCCACAGCAGGCGTGTCCGGCAGCACGCCTTCCATCATGATGAGGCTGCGTGGGTCGCCGTTGAGAGCGGGATCATCCCACCAAGAGCTGTTGAGGCCTTCGTAGACGGCGTAGAGCCCGTCGATCTGAGGCGGAGGGGCAAGCTTCTCTGCGACAGTGGTCCATTTATCCGGAACATTTTGGCCGAGTCTTTTCTTCCATTCTCGAGCTGTGTCGAGACCGTATCTCCAGTATGCGATCTACAAGCAGGTGAGCTTCGGCATTCAGACGAGTGGATCACGCGGATATACCTCGTAGGCCAAATTGAGAGTCTCTGCGGGAGGAGTGTTTTCTGTCACGCCGTACGAGCTATAGAATATGTTGTCAGTCCCAAATGTGAACATCTTGCATTCTGAGTATCAAACTTACGGTGGTCCCAGGTCGTAGTGACCTGATGTCTCGTTCAACCATGCGTATGACGCCATGTAGTCAGCGGCAGCCGTGACCACCTCGTCCCATCGCTTCAGTGTTTCATCCGTTGGCGAGGACTGGTATGCTAACTCTGCCAAATACATAGTATGGGGCTTTCGATGTCAGCGTTGATATCTTTCTGACGATATTCTGGTCACTCACTTGCTGCCAAAGTAGCAAGCCATTAATCCCACCTGGCGAGCTAACGCCAGTCTCGAGCTCCGTCATCTTCGGCCACCTAGGAGCCCCGTTGTGAGTTTGAAGATCATATAATTGTCAACTGCTCATGGAGGCAACTGACCTGGCTCCCTCCCATCCCATGGCTTTAGCCCTCGCAAAAGAAGAGGGCAAAAGCGTCTCATAGAGCTGTGGAAAGATGTTGTCGAAGTACTTCTTACGACCCCAGGTCACCCAATGCGCATTGTGCCACACGACCATTTCCATATGAAACTTTCCTGTATTTTGTCAATGGTGCACTCAATCATTATGGATCCAGGAGCACTCTGTTATTCCAACTTACCATACCACCCATTATTCATCAGCCCACTCTCCTGGGGTGACTGTCCTGAAGCTGCGCTGTTGACGCGGACGTGATACTGTGACAAGATGATGCGTCTTTGCAGCTCCGTAGCATTAGGGTTCGACGAAAGAGTGAGGTCAACAAAGCCGCCCTCACTCCAATACTCGTGCCAACCAATTACGTTTCGCTCCTCCACTGTCGAGGGTATGTCGGGATCTTGACGATCTGGCGAAAAGTGCGCAGTAAATAGAACGGAGCTCGCCGAGCCGTTAGACGCCAAGGTGTATCGATGAGCAGTGATCTTTTCAGAACCTTCTGGCTCGTCCCTCGACAAGTGGAGTGAGGAGTTAGAGGGCCAGCGCAGATTGACGTAGTAGCTGGTCTCTTGTAGCTCGTGGTAGATATGTGCCAAGTCAGGCCTTCCACAGCTGTTCACAATGCGAGTGGTGTGGTTCAGCGGGAAGTCGTAGACTCCGGCAAAAACCTCGTATTTGTACTTGGTTGAGTGAATTGGCGGGTAGGGGAAGTCAAGCTGGACTTTGAGGTCGCCTCCTGCCACAAGTTTTGAGTCGATCTGGAACGTCACGGCGTCGGTGTCGAAGTCGCCCTGTGTAATCACCTTGACTGCCTCGCCGTCGACTTTGAATGTAGACGTGATGGTTCCACTCCACAGCTCCAGCTCCTGCCTCGGATCGGTGATTTTCTCCGCTGAAAGAGTCGCCCCTTTATACTTCAGACCAATGCGTCCCAGGTTGATGCGGTTCGGGTTTCCGATGAGCCATTGAGATACTGCGGGAAGATTGGGATCGGGGATGTCGTATGAGACGTTTCGTCCGTGGGTTAGTCGGGGCACGCCGATATAGTCGCTTAGTTTCTCACTGCGGTCTCCCTCAGCATGTAATTGAAAGAAAGATGACTCGTTATCGGCCTACCCATTCGTTGGCAACGAGTCGTTATGCCATGCCCAGCTCGATAAAGTGTTGAAGGGCAGGAACGTCTATGGTCTATATTAGAGATTCCACATGACCGGGCGTCGGGATACAACGCTCACCTGCATGCCCGTGTTGTCGACATTGAAAGCAAAGTTACCATTGCCGACCTGCAATGGCGTAGTCTCATTGTCAATCAAGCCCGTTCGAACGACGTTGAATTGGGAGACTATTCGTTGTCTTTGGACTTGTTAGAAAAATTGGATCTATTACCCAGAATAAGAGACGTACCTGTCAATGCTCCCTAGAGCTAGAGCCGGCAGCAGGGCGACCCAGACTAACTTCGTGACTGTCATTGTGAACATACCAGAATCAGCAGCAAAGAGTCGGATCCGCTTCAAAGACACCTATTGAACTGACAGAATGCCCTTCTTTGCCAACGGTTTTGTAGCAATTCATCCGGAATAATTGCCCCTCCAAATTCCTCCACACGGATGATGATCCGGGAGAAACGGAACCCAACCCCTCCTGTTTCCCAACAGCTTGGTTCATGACGTCTATCGCGCCTTCAATTAGCCCGAGGCCATCCTGAAGGAACATAAACAGGAAGCTGCTGGCCTGTCTTGGGGTCACAAGAGGGGAGATCTGCGCGGGGTCACTGCAGAGGAAGACTAGGTTCCCCAACAATGGAACTCCGCCCCTGAAGCTTATTACATTTAGGCTATGCGGGGTAGCTTGCCGATCGCGACCCTCGCAAGCATGAAATATTCTTCTCAGACATACAGGGTTGATAAGTGGCATTCACTACCGTAGACTCTTCATTTCTCATGGCAAGACTTGAGGCGCAGTGCATAGCTGCTAAGAACATGACACTAATCGTTGTTGAAGAAGAGCACATGGTAGATCAATAAACGTCAATGGATAGATGCTCAATCCCATCGAATGCCACTTCAGCAAATATCCTTCTGGAGACTCTTACATGATTACTCTCTAAGCCGGATCTCAATGCTCGAATCCAACTCCTAGTGGCCCGTTCAAGTCTCTAAAGTCACCCCGAAGAACCTCAATACCATCTCTCTTCACCTCCTCTACAAGCTCCTTGATCTTGGGCACCATCCTCGTCGCCTTGAAACCAAAATAATCGTACGCTGCCTTGGACGGCAGACTCTTGCCAAACCGGCGCATCGAGAACGAAGCATCGGCGTACCTCTCCCAGCCATTTGCCGCATACGCCTCAATCACCACCGTCGGCTTGCCCGACCGCGGCTTCAAGACGGACTGCTTGTATTCCCGCGACTGCTGCTCAAACAGCCGTGGGCACGGGAATGACACCACACGCGCCTTGACCCCCTCCTTCTCCAACAGCTCCTTCGTCTCCATCGTGAAGCCCATTTCTGAGCCCACGCCGATGACGGTCACGTCAAAGTCGTCACTCTCGACGAAGACATACGCACCCTTGGCAACGCCGTCACGAGACGAGTGCTGGGGGTATTGCGTCAGGTTCTGACGCGACAGAGAAATAACGGTGGGCGTCTCGGTCGCGTTGATGGCCGTGATGAAGGCGCCGGCCACTTCTTCCGAGTCGCACGGGCGGATGTAGAGCGTGTTCGGCATGGCGCGGTATAATGCAGGCAGGGCGATGGGCTGATGCGTGGGACCGTCCTCGCCGGTGCCGATACTGTCGTGGGTCGCGATGTGGATTTGCTGGAGGCCTTGCAGGGCAGCCATGCGAACGGCCGGCGCGGCGTAGAGGTAGAACATGAAGAAGGAACTGGTGACGGGGAGGAATGTGCCTTTTCTGAAGGCGGCGAGGCCGTTGGAGATTGCGCACATGGCGTGTTCGCGGATACCGTAGTGGATGTAGCGCCCTGAGTAGTCGCCGTTCAAGTTGCATGCGGTACGAAGCTCGGGCTGAAGGCGGGTTAGAAGTGGTCCTTGATCACGGACACAGGGAGATTGGACTCACAGATTGGAAGTCAACCTTCTGGTTGTATGCAACATTACATGACGGGGTCAAGTCGGCGGTGCCAATCAGGAAGTTTCTCATTTTCTCTCCGAGTGGGTTGCCCACGATGCCCGCAGACTTTCGAGAAGACGTGGGCTCCGTCGGGAGCTGGTCGTGGCTCGGGATATACTTTGTCCAATCGTCGGGCATCTTTCCGTCCACGCGGAGCTTGAATTCGGCCGCGAGCTCGGGGTGCTCCTGGGAGTACTTCTGGATAGTTGAGGACCAGTCCGCGTCGTAGGTTTTGCCGCGCTCAACGGCGTCAGCAAAGAAGTCGTAGACGTCCTTCGGGATGTGGAAGTGTTCATCGGGGTTTAGGCCGAAGCTCTTCTTGATGTTGGCAACATCGTCAACACCGAGGGCGGCGCCATGTGTCTTTGCGTCACCAGCCTTGAGTGAGCCGAATCCGATCGTTGTGCGAACGTTGATGAAAGTCGGGCGGTCGCTGCTTCGCGCGGCAATTAGGGCGTTGGCAATGGCTGAAAAAAACCGAGTCAGTATAGAATCTCTGAAAGAAAGAAGCATTATCGAGGAAATGACCTACCGGCAACGTTGGAGTTTCCATCAAGCACCTCCAAAACGTTCCACCCAGTCGCCCTCATCTTGGCGTTGATGTCTTCCGTATTCGCCACATCCGCTGTTCCATCACACGTGATCGAGTTATTGTCGTAGATAATGCAGAGATTGTTGAGCTTCCAATGGCCTGCTAGTGACACCGCTTCAAGGCCAACGCCTTCTTGAAGACATGCGTCGCCGATCATACACCAGGTCATGTTGTTCACCACCTCAAATCCCGGCTTGTTGTATGTCGCCGCGAGGTTCTTCGTCGCCATCGCAAGACCGACCGCATTCGCTACGCCTTGGCCGAGAGGACCTGTTGTGACTTCGACGCCTTCATTCTCGATTTCGGGGTGGCCGGGGCAAATGGAGTCGGTCTTATCGGAGTGATATGATTTAAGCTGCTCGACGGTCATGCTCTTAACACCGATGAGGTGCATGAACAAATACTGCCAAAGACAAGCATGGCCTTGTTTGGAGTTAGCATTCAGACCTAGGGAATGAAATATCCAAGGGAGACTTACCATTTGAGAGAACGAATCTATCTCGGTTGAAGTACTCGCAGTTGCTTGGAGAATACTTCATGACATACTTGTAGAGGGCAATACCTATGGCTGCCATTCCCATGGCGGAGCTACACCGAAGGTTAGAGACGAGGTTGTGAGCTGACAGGATTCGAGAGCATTGTAACTTACCCAGGATGACCGCCATTGAACTGCTGACATTGATCAGCGATGAAGGCTCGGAACACCTTCAACACTCTGTCATGTTTGTCGGAGCTCTCGAATTGAAAATCGGTCACTGCAGGAACACCATGAACAGTCGTGACGTTCGGCTTTACGGGCAGATTCTGGGTGGCCTTCTCGTAGAGCTCAAGTGACGGCGCCATGTTGCTGGATGCTGGTGTTACTATGCTGTCCGGCGAGTGGTTCTTTGATGGTCTTCGAAGAGTTGTTGACACATAGTGAGGCTACATAGCTTTTTCTTATAACTTGTTGGCGCCCACGTCATGTTGCTTTGTCTGTGGTCGTCATGCCGCCTGAGGGCGAAACAAACTGCCCCGCGTCGTGCAGCTTGTGGTTTAACGTCCGATGCGACGCCAGATCATCGCCCATGGGGAAAAAGGCCTGGTGCGGGGATGCCCCTATCGCACCTCAGTCGCATTGAGGAGAAGACGAAAGTGGTTCTGTGTTGCTCGTCGATGAACTGAGATCTGGAAACCCCGAAGCGAAGAGCCACGAAGCGAAGCCAGTGCCTTTGTTATGGATGGCCTCGCGTCGAAGCCACAATTGTGGATCCTTTTCAAGCACTCGCAGTGGGAATGTATTGTACTCTACAGCTCACCCCAGGATGACCGAACCGACGCGCAATGCTACCACGTCTCTTCTCAATGTTTTTCCAAACATGTTTCATTCAATCAGGTACATAACCGTGAACAGGGAAAGGATCATTCGAAAATTATAGGCGGGGAAAGATGATCCATCGCTGTTGCTTGTCACCGATCAAGCAGAGACTACTAGCGTAGTATCCTCCCGCCGGTTAACACGCCATCTGAACTATGAATACAACATGTCGCCGCTCAATAGCACTAAACTTGTCGGCGCGTTTGCGGGGGCTGCGGGGAAAGAAGCAGGGGTTTGAGGCGCTGAAACCGCTCTCCACTGCACATTCCAGTTTACTTAAAGGCTGGAAATGCCTCGAGACGAAGTCGGGCACTCGACTGATTTTGGTGTTCTCCAGATCGCCAACGAGGCCCAGCGAACCTTACTCCGTCGAGAGCCTCTATTCTCTGCTAGGGCGACACTATCCTCGACGCGAGATCGGCCAATGGAGGCATCTGCAAGCAGCAGACGACGGTCAACGGCCTCTTCGGTTGCGACGCCTGGGCAAGAAAGTCGACCGCGACGAGTCCGGCCGTCTCGAGCACGAGGCCTACGAACATCCACAGGATGGTGAGTTCTTCTATTTGTGTCTTTTTGTGCTAAGTGGGGTCCTCCACTGCTAATTCATGCGTACTGGCTGCAGTTTGACATGTAGGAGGCGGCGTATCAAGTGTGACGAGGGAAAGCCGAAATGCGCTCAGTGTTCCAAGTCAGATCGTGACTGCCAATACGCCCAAGCTCCAACAGGCGAGAACGACTCAGAGACTCGTCAACGCGCGGACTCTACGGTTTCCAACGCCGATCAAAGTGCCGAGGCCGACAGCGTCGAGGATGCCGTGCCAACTACGGAACAAGCGGAGAGTGTTCTGGCTAGTTCGCCCACAGCAGCAGGCACAACAGGATCACCGGCCGCTCGTCCGGCCGACTTTACGGCACCTTTCGTGGCCTCCTTCAACCCGACCGTCTCTCTTGGAGTAGACAACAGTACTTTACAGCCTGCTGCAGTCTCCGATGCGGATATCGGCTTCTCGCCCCTGGCATTGAGCCAGACATCACTGCTCAACATATCCCCCTTCGAGTGGTACGATCTGCTGGCACAGGATGCTATCAACAATATCCAACGGCTCAACAGCCTACCTAATGGCGAGGTTAGATGGGTATTTGACGAGAGTACCCTGTCTCGGAGACAGACCCCCTTGCCAGAGTCACCAACTGAGCAGGACGACCAGCTGCCCATCTTTGGTCGAAGCGACGGCCACATTACTCCCCCCTGGAACACCTCCAGCAATATTGAGCTGTCCGAAGATGAACTGGTTCATTTCCGTTACTACGTCGATATCGTAGGACCTATCTTAGATCTCTTTGATCCTGAGCGGCATTTCTCCAATATGGTCCCCCATCTCGCAGTTCGCAACGCCGGACTTCTCAAATCCATTTTGGCTGTTGCTGCCAGACACATGTCCTTGGGACCCAGTCCCAAAGTCTCAAGGCCTGGCGGAGCATGCCATCCCTTACCAGATTCAGCTCTTCCTGCCAGCCCTGCACAAGAAGAAGCGGCCCGCTCGGCAACCCAGTACTACTATGAGACGCTTCAGTATCTGTCACACACTTTGCTATACCCATCTTATGCCAACTCACATGAGATACTGGCTACTGCCATAATGATCAGCACGTATGAGATGTTCGATTCCAATGGGCCCTCCAACAATGGGGATTGGGAACGCCACCTCCGCGGAGCGTTCTGGATTCAACGATCACAAGATAACAACGCCGAGTCCGCGGACAGTTTCAGGAGGGCAGTGTGGTGGGCATGGATCCGCCAGGATATTTGGGCAGCCTTCAGGTCTGGCCGTCGAACACTGACTATCTTCCAGCCCCAGAAGACATTACAGGAACTAAAACCAGATGATCTCGCCAGTAGGGTGTTGTTCATTGCTGCAAAATGCGTCGCATACGCCGCGTATGATGCAGCCTCTTCCATGCAAGACCTGCAACAACGAATCAACCTCGGAAACCGCCTCCTTCGGTCTCTGGAGGAATGGCGTGAGGCGCTACCAACTTCCTTTGCTCCTATCTCTGGAGGAGCGGTCTCGGATACAGTTTCTCGTGCGAGCCGCCCCAGCTCAGCTTCCCCGTCCGTACATCATGTCGGTCAAGCTCCGGGCCCCGCTGCAACTCAGAGTAAGGGGGTTTTCGACCCAATCTGGATTCATCCGCCCAGGAACGCCGGGGCGATGCAGATGTATCACTTTGCACGAGCCGTTGTTCTTCTCGCGCAGCCCTCTACGGGCGGACTTAACGCTTATAGGCGACGACAAAGGCTTCTCAACAAGAGTCTACATAGCGTCTGTGGCGTTGCAAAAGTTTGCAATGACAACGATCCTGCCTCGGCGTTCTTGAATGTGCAGGTGATGTTTGCTGGTGGGTTTGCCTGCTGTCGTGGTATTTGAACGGTGCTAACGGGTTACATAGTCGGACAATGTGCCCAGAACGGTGAGAAACAGACGGAGTTACTCGAAACATTGAACCGAGCAGTCACGATCAGCAGCTTTCCATCAAAAGGGCTTACCGATGAGCTAGAAAGGATATGGAAGGAAGGTTTCTAGTCGAGTTGAAGAATCTGACATCAATACCCCTATCCCATATGCATTTACGTCCATGATTGCGCCTCGCGTTGCTCTTTAATCTGCAGCTTGTTGTAGCATCTGCTTTCTCGCTGTGCTTTTTGCATAGTCCAGCATTGCCAGTTCAATCACAAAACTAATCGCCCATGTTGATTTTGCTAGCCGCACGTTTCCTACTGCTTGGAGAATGGCATTATAGGTGCTTCGCTTACTGGGAAGGTAAAGCGGGCAGCGCCATTGTGAACTGAATCGCAAGGACGACGAGGGAGGGCAAGGATGACAAAAAGTCTCGACAACAATGGATAGGTAGCATGAGGAAGACACTGAAAATGCCGAGAAACACCAGGGGAGAAGAAACAGCAAGAAGAATGTCGCAGTAAAGAGAAACACCGAGGGGATGATTGGAATTGGTGCTTTATGACACCAACAGTCATAGAACCTCTATATTCTATGGCGGATACCCCTATGATACTTCTTGCCTGCCTTTTTTCCCATTGACACTCTACCAAGCTCCAACAATTCCAGCCACAGGAATGTCAATGCCTGTTGTGTATGAGGCTCCATTCGACAGCAAATACACATACGCACCACCAAGCTCCTTCGGGTCGGCTAACCGGGGCATGCCCCCGTAATACTGCATCTTCAGATTCCAATCAGGGGCCTGGTCGACAAAATAGGTCATCGCAGTCTTGACGAAACCAGGAGAAATCGAGTTGACCCGGATACCGTGCTTCGCCCACTCCATGGCGAGTGTGTGGGTCATGTTCCTGACAGCACCCTTGGTCGCACCATACGGCGCTGACGGCGCCGCGCGGTTAGGGCGATACGAGGTCATGGACGCGGTGAAGACGATGGAACCCTTGATCCCGAGCTCGATGAAGCGCTTGGCAACAGTGGTCGCGCAGAAGTAAGCCCCGAAGACGTTGAGATTGAACAGCTGCTCGAGCTGCGCGCGGCTGAAGTCGAGCGCCGGCTGATGTTTTGTCATGCCAGCGTTCGCGACCAGACCGTGAATTGCGCCCTCTTTGGCGATGATGGCATCGATTGCGGATGTGACGCTCTCTTCTGAGGTGACGTCGCAGTGGAGATATTGGATGCGCTTGGGGGTTGCCTTCTGGACGGCCTGGAACTCCTCGCCAGGCTCGAAAAGATCCAGAGAGTAGACCACTTTGGCATCGTTGGCTAAGCAGACTTCAGCGATGCCGAGGCCAATTCCTCTGTTGGCACCGGTGATGGCGACAACCTTGTTCCTCAACGACACCTTCCAGTCATGGTCTGGGCCGGGCTGGGTGTTGAGAAACTCTGGGGTTGTTGAAGAGGGCGGGGCAGCGGCAGGGAGTGTTGTTGAGGCAGCGCCATTGTTGGCTTGTGAGTCTGCGGTTGCGCTTGGAGACATGTTGGCTATCAGGAACCCAGGATGATGTGACCGTGAAGAGAGGACTTCGCAGATTTGTGGGGTTCTGATGGGATGATAAAGGATGTTGAAGAGCTGAATGATTTACGTTGGTAGGAGAATTCAGCACGATGATATATCAGTGTGCAGGACTTATGATAACTTGGTATCTGGCTCGTAGCGTATGCCGATGCGCAGATCTTGGTTCCACACCGAGTTAACACAACGAGATTTCAGCGGAATTCTCCTAGCAGACATCGGCACGAATGCTGGACTTATCGGACCATATTCCCCACTCAGAACTGCCGAAAAACAATTCCAAGAGATGGAGTCACATGGCGTGGTTGTGCCACGAATTACATTCGATGCGACGTGGAAGGCGACGGGGACTCGCTTCGAGGCACAGCTGAGTATGGCCTTCGCGTCGAGGCAACCCGCCATTTGCGTCTCACCCAGGGAGCCGATTGGGTTCCCCTCATCCGGGAACCACACCATCCAAGTTCATGGTGCATCCCTGGTAACCCCAAATTCCGGGGAGTACAACTCTGGGGATGGTCCCCACGATTCCTCCACGGGGTGGTTAGCCGCTTTGTGGAGAGCTGGAGAGAGGAAGGGATAGGGGCTCGGGGAAGGACAAAGGAATTTGCGGAGTGGCCAGCTAGCTAACCTTTGGACTGCACCATTAACTGAGGCAGTGGATAAGCTGGGACACCGACACTTCAAGTCATTCTATAAGATTAAGCTGTTGTGCATCTTTGCGCCACTCCCATAAGCGAAATGTCAGCTTAATACATCCTGTTTCTCGATATCTTCACGATTCTATCATTCTTTCCATTTGAAATTGATAACAGGCAGACAAGACTCCAACTCGCCATCCACGATGGTCTCTCGAAGACAATCATCGTCTCCAAGCATGGAGGCCAACGACCAGAAAGATATGGGGAATGAGCCCCAGCACATCGAAACGTCAGGCCAGACAATCACATGGACAGAGGAGGAGGAGAAAGCTCTTGTCAAGAAGATCGACCTCTTCCTGATGCCGACCATTTGGTAATACTCTGCTCAGTTGTAACTAGCGACTCCAGACAGAACGCTGACCGACACCCATTAGGTTGATGTACCTTTTGTCATACATGGACCGAACCAAGTCAGTACATAAACCCTTGACGTCAACAGTCAATGACTTGACTGGACAGCTTAGCTAACATACAATCCTGTGGTACAGTATTGGAAATGCCAAGATCGCAGGAATGGCTGATGACATTGGCCTCTCGTCGTCTCAATACAGCATCGTCTTGGTCGTGTTCTTCAGTGCGTTCTATCTTCTAGCTATGACGCCCAGCGCTCCGAGTCTTCTAACAACGTGTAGTTGGCTATGTCCTCTTCGAACCTCCTTCCAACATGATCCTCGTCCGAACCCGACCGTCACTATATCTTCCATTCATCATGGCTCTCTGGGGCGTCCTCACATGCATCATGTCCGTCGTCAAAGAATACCATCACCTCATCGTGCTTCGTGTCTTTGTTGGAATAATGGAAAGTGGTTTCGCCCCTGGCATCCTTCTCATCATTTCTTCCTGGTATCGGCGGGGAGAACAATCGAGACGTTTTGCCGTTTTCATGTCTGCGGCAATTCTTTCCGGAGCATTTGGCGGGTTGCTTGCTGGTGCGATTACCAGTGGCTTGGAAGGGGCACATGGGATTCGGGGATGGAGGTGGCTCTTCATCGTCGAAGGTGTTGCAACCATTGGATGGGCTGGCATCTCGGCTTTCATCTTGTTGGACTTTCCTGCAACTTCAACGAGGCTGACACCCAGAGAGAGAGAAATTGCGGTCGCGAGGTTACAAGAAGACAATGTCACGGTTCGAAACGCTGATGAGAAGCTGGGCAAGGGTAAATCTTTCATGTTGGCACTGAGAGATTGGAGAACTTGGGGGTTCATATTTGGTTACATGGTAAGATTCAAAATCGGGTCGCTCAGCATTATGATATGCTAACCAAGACACAGGTGATTGTTGGCTCTTCTACACTCTCCTATTTCTATCCTACTCTTGTCCATGGACTTGGCTTTACGTCAACGGTCCAGGCTCAGTACATGACGGTACACCCGCCTCATTAAATGCCAGTTGTTGATATTTTCTTACAAGAATCAGGTCCCCATCTACGCATTCGCTTTCGTCTGCACGGCAATTACCGGCTACTTCGGCGACAAAATACCCGATCATCGCGGACTAGTCATCGCTGCCTGGCTCGCATTCAGCATGATCACCTCGATCATCGTCTGCGTGGTGTACAACTTTACAGCGCGATACGTTCTGCTTGTTCTCATGGCCGCTGGGTTGTGGGCATCTAACGCGATGTCTCTGTCCTTTGCCAGCTCAACGTTCGGAAGCATGGACGCAGAGGTTCGTGCGATCGCGCTGGCACTGATGAATGCTCTCGGAAACTTGGCGCAAATCTATGGCGCATATCTCTTCCCTACAGACGATGCTCCGAAATATCTCATGGGTTTCGGCGTTATTTCTGGCATGCTGGGCTTTGGTACGGTTGTTTATATAATTATGCACATCCTGGTCAGACGTTGGAAGCCTTGAAAGACGACCACTGATCTGCAGGAATATTTCCAACTCATTGATCGCGCACTACCTGCATTTCGCTCGTCATGGCCATCACGAGGAAGCTGTCTCTTCATTGAATAGATGTATTAAGTGGAATCATTGTGATAGTATCTTTATTAGATCTAAACCCTGCCAGCCCGCCTACGACATCTAAGTGGAAGCAGTCTGTCTTGTCGATCTCACAGAGAGATCTTCCATGACAACTATGGCCACTGCTGAATGTCACACATTCCATCCATGCCTATAGGGTGTACCGGAACTATGGCTTTCGTTAGTTGCGAAGATAGTTGAAGACAAGGCGGTACTTACGTAGGGGTTCTCAAAGTCAGTGTAGTCTGCCTCACCGTACTCTTTGCCCTTCTTCTCTCGCTCCTCGACAGTCAGGCCATCGTTTGCCTGTTGCGCATCTCTCTTCTTGTTCCTTCGGACCAAAACAAAGCGCCAGGTCAGAATAAGCGCAAATTCGAGCCCGAAGCAAATGGCACATCCGATAGTTCCAGGGGTGTACTTCGGCGCGTCCTTCTCCTTGAAGATCTGACTTCCCACCATGTTGCCAACGCAGTATCCAACGAAGGTGAAACTGCTGGTGATGGTACGCTTGGTGCGACCGGCGGTGTTGCTCGGAATGAGGGTCCAGGCAAGGAAAAGACCAAGCACGAAGGGAACCGTGATGAAGTAGCAACCCCACTTGGTCCACTTGATGGCGGGGTCGTTGGGTAGGAGCGACATGCCCAAGAATCCTGCGAAGGGCGGGAGGACGGAGCCGGCCATGAAGAACATTCGAAGATTGGACCACTTGCTGCAGGTCAAGCCGACGCAGATGAAGATGACGACTGACATCACAGATCGGGGAATCTCGATCAAGATGGTCTGCAAGCTCGCTGTATGGGAGTCAGTATCTCAACTCGAACAGGTTGGAAAAAGTGCCACTCACTGAAGCCGAAAGATTTGATGACGATGCTACCGAAGGTAGTCAAGCCACCGTTCGGGACAGAGCTAAGGAAAGCGTTCATGCCAGCAAACCAGAAGCAAGGGTCAATGAGACACTCGCGGACTTGCTTCCACTTCCAGCCCTTGATAGCGGTCTTGTCGTTTCCGGTGTTGTTTGATCTGATACGAGCGCTTGCCTGCACGAGGTTAGACAAGAAAGCATGTGACGATTTAAAAGTTCACTCACCATATCCTTCTCCTCCTTATTCAACCAAAGAACCTCCGATGGTGTGCCAAGAAGAAGCAAGCAAAGGCATCCGACGAAGGTAGTAAGACCTCCCAAGAACTGTCTAGTCAGTACTGCTATTTGGGCAACATATCGTAATTGTCGACTTACGTAGGAGATGTACCGCCAAGGTTGCACTCCTTCTCTGCCCTGGGTTGCGGAACCAATGGCGTACATGATCAGACTGGCAATGACACCGAAGCCAGCATTGGCACTCTGGAAGACAAGAGAACGAGATGCATGTTCACGGGTCTTGTACCACGTTCCCACAAGAAGCATGAAACCCGGACTAATACAACACTCGAATGCTCCCTAATCTTTTGGTGAGCTGATAGACAATTTTCTTCCATTTGACGTTGGGGATACCTGAAGAGCGCGGAGCGCAATGAGGTGTGTGAAGTTCTTAGCAAACCCGATACACAAGACAATGATGCCCCCTGTTGATGAATTTCAGTAAACCGTTCTCGGCGTATATCATATGAGCAGATGAGGCTTACAGCAAATCATGTAGATTGACAGGGTTCGACCCATCTTGTAACGTTGGACGACGACATTGCTTGGGAATTCGCAAACCATGTATGTGATGTCTAGGTTCCACTATGTCAGTGTACTGTCCCGGGCCTGTTTCGGAATGTGGGGGGGTGATCACGTACAGAAGATTGTCGTCAACCACGAGTACTGTTGGCCCACCAGACCGGTATCCTCACGCAAGCCGAAGATGGCTTGGGTTCCCAACGCAGTCTTGTCTGTTTGCTGGATACCATAGCAGAGCCACATGAGAGGAAGCAGGTAGCGGTCAATCTTCCTCTTCAACTTGTGGAACTCTTCCTTTGTGTAGCGGCCCTCGACCTCGACTGCGAACTTTGGTCAATACTGGGTGTCAAAAGCTGAAATGGACGAAGATCATACTCAGATGCGAGTCGCCGATCACCTCACTCTGGGTGTCTGATTGCGCATTGTCATCAGACACAATCGCGACCTTCTTCTCCTCATCAACGATGCGAGGTTCGGGTTGAGAGCCCATGATTGTTGCGAGGTCAGGCAGATACCTGAGAATGCGCACAAGAAGGGACGAAGGCAGGAAGGTTCACAATATGGCAGCTTCTGAGCGACGTGCTGGCAAAAAGTCACCTGGCTGAATGCGCATAGTTGGGATCGGCTTATATCACTACTACAAACTCTACCCCAAATGCCGGAGGCAACACAGACCCTGGTCGGCAGCCAACGGTCCAGATAAGGATTCCCGCGGAGCCAACCCCCAACTATCGGGGGGCGACATCAAAATAGCCGACCAGAGGGCTGGGCGAGACCGAGCTGGTGGGACCTCTGAACCAACATGGTAAGTGTGCTGCACATGGTAGATATATCTTGCCTCCTCATCGGACGACGTCAGCTGCGGCTCCAATCAACTTATCTTCGCCCGTCTTGGCAGACATTAATCTTCAACGCCTGGACGATAAGATCAGAGAGGCGGCAAGGAGGGCACAAGCTATCGGGACAAAGATTACCGCCCCGGAAAAGATAATGAGACGATGGGTAGACAGCACTATGCGGGGAGTTGATTGTCACGTTCCATTGATGTGCGCCGTCGAGCTGCATGCATGATGTCCTCTTTGGTAGGTCGGATGATAGGGTTGGATCCGGGATGATAAGCGGAGGATAAGCCGGGGAGGCGGGGTTCAGGCCGTTGTAGCCGACCAACCTCGTCCGTTGACTGGGGTGTTCATCTCAAACAGCATCTCGGAGGACAAAGTTGAAGATGGAATTTAGAGCAATTGATATATTGGCCTTGCATTCATTGATTGAAGTAATCCCGGTGTATGAAAGCTCAAGTCTGCTGAAAATGGCTGAATGGGCCTCCAAGCCCAATTCTAATCTCAGAGCTTGTATCTGAAATGAGGATTCTCCTTATCGGTGCGGTCCGTGAAGCCAACCTCGTTCACCTCGGTATCGCCATGCCCCGCGTTGACGTGCTCGCCCCCTGTCATTTCAGCAAGCCGCGCGTCGCGCTTTCTGTTTTCCCACCACATCAAGCCGCCGATACATGCCGTGAAAAACATGCAACTAGAATACATGCCACAAAGCGCTTTTATGGCAGACATATATCGCGGAGCCTCTTCGGGATCAAACATGAAAGGGCCGATGATGTTCCCCGCAGCATAGCAGATGAAGTTTACCCCATTGACCGTCATGCGCTTCGTGTGGCCGGCAAAGTTAGCCGCGACAATGGACCAATTCAGAATGATCGCAGCGCCAATTACTCCAAGAAGCCAGCAGCATGCGGTAAGTGCCAGAGGACGCTCGAGGGGAATGAGCGCGATGCCAATGATTCCTGCGATAGACGGAACACCCGCAAGTACGCTCATGAGAACGGTAATGTTCCTGTAACGCGAAGCAAGATAGCCGAGGATGACAGTTGGGACAAGTTGAAATGCCCCGCTGGGCAGTTGCCATTTCAATGTCTCGATGGAGTTGTATCCAAAGCCTTTGAGAAGGGCGCTGGTGAAGTTCGTGAGGCTGCCATTGATGATGCCAATGGAGATTTGCTGTAAAGCAACACACCATACGCGAGGCTCCAAGAAAGCTTCCTTCATCTGGTAAGGTAGGAATTGGCTGTGCTTGATGCCCGTATGATTGTCGGCTACTCGCCAAACGGAGACCACCCGCTCCTCGTGGGTGAAGAGTTTGAAGTCAACCGGGCTTGACGGGAATAGGAAAAGTGCAATCCCTCCGATAAAGAGAGTAATCACTCCAATGACCTGATCATAGCCTGTTATTATGGACCTTTGAGGTTGAAGTAAACGATGAAAGGGTCCATACCAGAAAGATGAGCTGCCAAGGGGCCAAGGCGGTATGTGTCGTCGTGCCAAGTCCCCAGGAAATCCCCGAGCCAAGCATCAACGAGATACCGTTGCAGCCTAGCCAGATACACATTCTCAACGGCTGCTCGTCCCGAGTCCAGAACATGGATGTGACAAGCATCCATGCCGGGCCAATGCAAGCCTCTAGCCCGCCAAGAAGGAAGCGAAGCGCCATGATACCAGCAAAGTTCTTGGCGCCGACGGTGGCGACTAGCAATGTGCCCCAACACAGAAGCATGATCGAGACGAACTTTCCGATCGGAAAACGCTGGAGACACCAGCTCGATGGGTAGGAGAATAAGAGATAGCCGATGTTGGTGATCGAGGCCACCCAGGAATAGTCCCGCCCTTCGAGACCGAGATCGGCCTGGAGGCCATAGGCATTCGCATAGTTGAGGGTCTGCTTGTCGAGGAAAGACATGAGGTAGATGAGACACATCTGCAGGAATTCAGATCAGCTTCTGCCTTCTACGATGGTGGTCCTGGTGGAGGAAGGTGTATACCGAGGGCAACAAAATGAAGTCAATCTTTCTCAGAACCTGCTTGGCGATGGCGTCTCTACGTGCCGGATCCATGGCTTGGGATTCGAGATAGTAGTCGTAGCCAATGTCCGTGTGACCGACCTCGACAGCACCCTTGGATATGCTCTGAACATCGGTTTCAGGCGTATTTGCCTCGGGCTTCATGCCCTCGAGATCGGTGGGAGACATTGCCGCGGGCTCACCGTTGTCGAAGGAAAGGATGTGAGAAGATATGATACCGTCGAAAAGTCAATGTGACGGAACTCGTGTAAACATTTAGACAGATACCGAGATCTACTTGATATATCCAGAAACCTCTACGCCTGTCTTCCAAGTGACATGGGTTTCTGTCATGTCTTCCCATGGGTCTGCAGCAAGGGATATCTGGGTGATGATACAACGCCCGCTCAATATCGGAAGCAAATGCACCGTCGGCTCCTGCCCGAACCGTAGAAACAGAAGGAACAACGACATTGAGGCTTGCCTTTATGATCAGCCAAGTGATGGACATGTTTTCCAGATACCCGGCACAGGCTCGGTCCACCTGTTCATTGGGTGGTGGAATACACGGGGGTGGGAGCAGATAATCTGCAGGTCTTGGTAGTATCATATCACCTTGCGGGGAACCTGGCTCTCACAGTGACATATTGGAACATTGATTGTCCAACCTCGCGCTCTTTGTATCTCCTCGCGGTCTCATTTACCCGTGATTGGCTTCCTTCAACTTGCGCGGTCATGCAGTTCTCTGCCATGCATTGAGTTGCATGTTCATGCACCGCGGTCCCATCACAGTCACACAGCATATGCGAGAAACACATCGAGGCGTTATGGTGACAGCTGGGTTTGTTGTCGGACTGGAGGCCGACAAGACCTCCCTTGTGGATACATATCCGGGCTGTCGGACAATACTCCGACCGGCCCCAGATCCCGGCCGTCTAAAATCCACTTACGCCGAGCCGTTCCTACTGTAGGATACATGCTAGGAAAGAATGATAACATGGCCTCGGGTTTATCTTCATAGAAATTTTGGGGCAAGAAAGGCATCCGAAAGGCATCCAGGCCTTTTCAATGGGCACCTTTGGCATTTTTTATCAACTACACATCGCCACCTCCTAAACGGTGCGTACAAGCAGCATGACCCAGGCGAACGGAGCCTCGAAGCCCTACAAGGCCGCCATCATCCAAGACTTCTCGACTACTAAGCCTTGGGGCCAGATGACGATCGATGCTACGGCGAACTTCGTCCGTCGCAGCATTCCCCACGCTCAAGTTGATCACTATCGCGCAGCTCATGGCGAGACCCTGCCCCCAGCCAAAGACTACGACCTGTTCGTTTTGACGGGAGGAACCGTGAACCTGCTTGAGGAGGAGAAGCCTGAATGGGCGTTGCGCGTGCTTGATTTGATCCGCGATGCAGGCGCACTCCCTGACACTAGGCTTATTGCATTTTGCTGGGGACATCAAGCGGTTCACTATGCCTTCGGCGGGGTCTTGGATGTTCTTGCAGAGGGGCCTAGGGTACGTCTTACTGCTACAGACAACGCCGTATGTGGAGCTGATAACGGATTGTGAAGATTGCAGTTGAAGAGATTAACCTGACGCCAGAAGGCAAGAAGCTATTCGGAAAGGAAATTTTGGTAAGCATGATCTCCGAACCTTTAGACCAAACCTTAGCTGAAGATGATTGTCAGTTGTTGCAAAAGTACCACAAGCGCTACATATCACGACTTGCCCCAGACTTCACAGCGTTAGCAGGGAGATGTGAGATCTCATGTAGTAAGGAGAAGGGCATCATTACTTTCCAAGGACATCCCGACCTCAGTCGGGAAATCGTTCGGACTCTTATCGACACGGACGACGGGCTGTACAAGCCTTCCGAGACAACACAACGCAGTCCTTGCGGCAAGCTGTTCAGCAGTGACACGGCTGATGATGGAGATAAAGTGTGGTACAAGATCATGGACTTCGTGTCAACCTGACGGACATTCTAGCAACTGCGTCGGAAAATCGTTTGTGACCGAGATGGATGATATCTCAATGGATTTGTACCATCGTTCTGGATCATTTTGACCCCTGTCAGTGGAAGCCGCAAGCTACACCGTCCCCATGAAGCGGACCGTCCCGCATTTGAGCTGAATAATATGCGATTCAATTGCAACATAATTGGCCACATACTCAGCTTATCTCCTTGATTCGCAATTTGCAGAGCAATTGACCTCAGAGAAGAACCAAGCTTCGGGGTGGAACTGCAGGCTACTGCGTCTCGCGTTCCGCGAAGCACGTCATATGCGGGACCTATTCGTCAACAGGCTTACGATATAAGACACGCCGAGAATCTTCGTAGAGCCAAAAGGAAGCGACATATTCGGTTCGTATCTGTTTGAGAACTTACGAGACATCTCACAAATGCCAATTGAGTGCAAAATGGCGCCCAGATATTCAAGTGTAGCCATCATTGGGGCTGGTCCATCCGGCATATCAGCTGTGAAGGCGCTGAGTGAAGAGAAGGCGTTTGACAGGATCCAATTATTCGACAGAAGAGAGAAGATCGGAGGGACATGGTAGGTCATCCTCGGCGAATGCGCATGCATAGATGACTGACATGCCGCTCAGGATCTACGACGAGAAGCCAGAGCCTTTCTCACCACACTCAAGTCAACCAACCAGGAACCTTCCTTCAAAGTTTCCACAATCGCTCCTCCCAGCGTCTGAAAATTTAACTGCCAAAACGGGCATCTACCCTTCCCTGGACAGCAACGTCGGCTCACAAGTCATGGCTTTTACTTACAAGCCTTTCCCCTCCGTACATTCATCAACGTCCATCAACCGCTTCGGAAAGGCGAATCCGACGCATCCTTGGGACAAGGTCGCCGGGTACCTGGAAGAGATTGCCGAGCCATTCAATCATCTTATCACCCTCAACACCCACGTTGAGCGAGTTGAGAAAATCGGGAAGAAGTGGAGGCTGACGCTTAGGAAAACGCAGTACTATCTCAAGGGCCAGAAGAGGGACTACTGGTGGCAGGATGAGTTTGATGCTGTAATCGTTGCGACTGGACACTACGGTGTGCCGTACGTCCCGAACATTGCAGGTCTTAAGGAGACATTTGCTGCGTTACCTGAGAGATTTGAGCACTCGAAGGCGTACCGCTCTCCGGAAGACTACTTCGACAGGGTGAGTCCAACCGTGTCAATTTAAACGTCGGAGTCATCATCTAATCACCACCACAGAAAGTCGTGGTTGTTGGCGGCAACGTCTCAGCCTCAGACACCATTTCGGAAATTCATAACATCGTCTCAGGTCCTCTCTACGTTGCTCAGCGCGGGTACAACGAGATTCTCAAGGACGCTTGGGAGCTGCCCAACGTCGTTCTCAAACCAGAAATCACGAAATTGTCCGTCGGGGCAGATAAACTCGTCAAGGTCACCTTCAAAGACGGCACGGAAGTAGACGGCATCGAAAAGGTCCACTTCGGCACGGGGTACCGCCTCTCATACCCCTTCCTCATCCCGGACCCCGTCACTCCCAGCGGCCGGCTGTCGGGTTTCTACCAGCACGTGTTCAACATCGCCGACCCCTCACTTACGGTGGTCGGACAGGTCAAGGCCGCCATCTCGTTCCGGGTGTACGAGTACCAGGCCGTCGCCGTGGCGCGGTACTTCGCCAACCGCGGCGGGGGCCTGCCGTCACCCCGGGAGCAGGACGAGTGGGAGGTGAAGCGGCTGCAGTACAAGGGGCCTACATCGCAATTTCACGAGATCAAGCCTGACTTCAAAGAGTATTTCGACTTTTTGAAGGACGTGGCTGGGCCGCCTGCGGAGGGGACCGATGGGTATGAGTTGCCTGCGTGGGAGGATGAGTGGGGGCTGTTGGGATTCGGGGTGTTGGCCTTGAAGCAGAAGTGGTGGAGGCAGTTGAAGGAGAGAGATGAGCAGAAGAAGCAAATTAAGGCAAAGCTCTAGGACTTTGGTCTCTAGAATTGCCAAGACAGAAAATTTCGTTTATCTTATGCTACTGAGCTAGGTCTTTCATGATGCCATTCCCAGGCGAAGCTTTCCCATCCGCACCATCAACCAACCCCACGAAACCAAACATCGGTCAACTTCCATCGTGCCAAGAAGATGGTTCCCGTGAATGTGGTTCTGTCAGAAAAAACCTACCGAATACGGACATCTTCCCGGGGTATGGATCGACGGCCTCCACTCGGAGGTCCAATGGGGGCCAAGATTCTCGCTGTCGGGTGGATTCAACGGCACTTCCAACGTTGCACTAGCATATTCGTCATTTTGCACCAATATGAGGAGTCATTCCACGCGAGAAGATTTGGAGAAAGAGCTTTTTTTTCAGCAGCGGTTTACAACGGGAATAATCACGATGTGAGCCGAGGCAGACTTTATCCGATATAAGGTTGGCTGATCCCACTGGACGTTGCGGCTCACGACGCAACGACTTCATCACGACTCAAGCCTAAAATCAACGATGGCTGAAGAACCGACCAAGACTCCGGTCTCGGAGGTCCGGGACCACGCTCCGGCGTCTGAGCCGGTAAAGCGTGTCTGGTACCACTCAACGCTGTTCAACGCCTTCGTTATTGGTGGTGTCGGTGTGTCTCCCTGTCACTCCTGAGTGCAACATGATTTTAACAGTGCCAAATAGGTTTCATGGCCCCCGGCCTCTGGAACGCGATGAATGCTCTCGGCGCAGGCGGCGCTCAGGAACCATTCCTCGTCAATGCCGCCAACGCCCTGGTGTTCGGCCTCATGGGCTTCCTCTGCCTCTTCGGTGGTCCCATCGCCAACCGCATCGGCCTTGCCCGCACTCTCCTTCTCGGCGCCGTGGGATACCCTCTTTACTCCGCCGGTCTGTACTGCAACAACCGTTTCGGTAACGTCTGGTTCGTGCTTGTCGGTGCCGCGGCATGCGGTGTCAGTGCCGGACTTTTTTGGGCCAGTGAAGGTGCAGTAGCCTTGGGCTACCCGGAACCGGCGAAGAGAGGCAAATACATGAATATCTGGCTTTGGTTTCGCACAGGGGGGCCTCTGGTAGGCGGTGCCATCGTGTTGGCGCTCAATAATGACGCTGGTGCGAAGAAGAAGGGCAAGGTTGGATACGAGACTTACCTCGTCTTCATCGCGCTGCAGTGCCTGAGTGTACCCCTGGCCCTGGCCCTCTCGCCGCCTGAAAAGGTGCAGCGTACCGACGGGAGCAAGGTCATCATCAAGGCGGAAAAGTCCTTCTCGGCCGAGTTCAGGGAGCTGTTCCGCATCTCGAAGAGGAAGGATGTGCTGCTGCTGCTACCGATATTCTGGGCGGCGTACTTTAACCAGTACAGCGGCAACTTCCAGTCATACTACTTTGGTGTCAGAGCAAGAGCGCTCATCGGCTTTGTGAGCAACTTCGGCACGCTCTTGTCCAGCCAGCTTATCAGCACTCTGCTAGACTACAAGGGCTTCAGCGTCAAGAAGAGGATCAACATTGGATTCTACTACGTCGTCGTCTGGCACATCATCGCATGGGTGTACGGATGGGTTATCCAGGAGAAGTACACTGCCAACCCGCCGGCATACGACTGGGAGGACAAGGGGTTCACCGAGGGCTTCTTCGTTTTGCTGCTGTGGGACTTTGCGAGACAGGCGTTGCAGAACTGGCTATACTACCTGCTGGCGACCAAGACGGACAACATCTCTGAGCTTGCTAGATTCTCTGGTGTACTGAGAGGACAGGAGAGTTTTGCGCAGGCTGTGGCGTTTGGGTTGAACACGAGGAAGTGGCATGGAGGTCGGGTGCCGCTGGCCATCAACACGATCCTTCTGGGTCTTGCTGTGTATCCTACGTGGCTCGTCGTCCGCGACCACGTGCCCATCGAGACGGACAAGCTTGCCACCGTTGAGGAGGGTTCTCAGGGAGAGTTGGCCGAGACGAGGTTGTCTGCGGATGAGAGGAAGGAGTTTGCTATTGGACAGACTGGTCTTGGACGAGACGCCAAGATCTGAGGACTTAGATCGACTATAGCACACACCATTTACGTACTTAAAGACTAAGCTAAACTAGGCTTCTGCTTTCGACTTTTTGAGCCTCAATCGCGTCTACCTCCCGGACTCGGAGTAATATCAACTAGTCAGACTACGCGAAGAGGGTTGTAACGCTTTTTCGTATCACTACCACCCTTCGTATTACAAGTTCTTGGTATTTATGAGCTCTGACCTTCGTTGTTGACTCGTGCTTCAAGCCATATCGAGCGGATTACAAAGGTATGCTACATTGTCTTGGGATTTTCCTTGAAACAGCCTGAGGACCAGATACCGTCGCCCCTCTGACAACATTCTTGCGCGAACCTTCGGCGGAAATGTCTCGTGGAGAGACATTTCCATTCGGCGCCAGACATTCACACCGATTGGCCTTAGAAGGTCAGCCGTTTGAGCCGAGAATCCCTCGCCCTGTGATGGCCGCCGCCCTTCATCTTTCAATATTTCGATGGTTCATGGTCGTTTCAAAACGGCTCGTTGCTGAAAGTTACCATTCTGTTGGGGAATACTACCGCTCTGCCTGGCTTACCTTGATCGCGTCATCCTGGCCCTTACATATTTCTCCGTCAGAGTCATTCAGCAGCCAGGAAGGAGTGCCCACCAGCGGCAAACTACGAAGAAAGGCTGGAAGGGAAAAAGGACCTTGATCACACACCTTCCGATGATCGAGATTGCACAAAAAGAGGATTTCGAGTTCTGGTATCCCACAGCTCGTCATATTTTATTCCACCCCCTATTGAGAAAAGATAAAGGAGAAAATTTTGAAATTACCCAGAGCCAAACCACCAAGACCATGAAATCTGCAACAATGGATATTACCCTTCCTGTACTTGAATCGATTATTGAGTTCACGGTGACCGCCATAGCAGTCATATCCCTCATCGTCACCATCGGCGGGGTCTGGGCCGAGGTCGTCGAGGCCTTCGTCAGCAACTCCGACAACTTCATCCGCCGCGGCCGCCAACTACAAAGTCGCCTTCACCTACCGCGGCGGCTATGCCTTTTCGCCGACTCGTACCCGGGTATGTCGGAGGACACTGTCCGCTTCATCGGCGCGGCCGCCCTACCCGTAGGCTTGATGCTCGTTGCCATCATCGTATGGGGCATTTCCTTGGGTGCGAGACACGAGGAGCCGGATAGATGGTTCTGGTATCTGGTCGCGTTGTTCGTGGGGTGTCTGGTTTGCCCCTGGGCGCTGATGCTGGCGGCGCGTAGCCGAGAGGCGAGGATGGGCAGGGAGGCGGCGGAGGATGGTGGCGAGGCGGGGTATGCTTCGGCGCCGCGGGTGATGGATGACCCTTAGGAGGCTGGGAGCCATCAGAGGTATCAGGTGATGGGGATTATGATGGAGGGCATGGTGTTGTGGAGGGTGTGACGACGAAGCGAAGAAGAGATTCGACAGCTAGAGGCTCTGCTAAGGAGGGACAACCCCGGTTTACGATGGCCTATCGACTCCAGAGTATTGCACCGTACCTACGCCCCGTTAGAGTCAGTGGAAGCTAGATTGTCGGAATTCATTATATTGATCCGTAATTGGACATGGCTTAAACCTTCCGGTACATCGGGGCAAGAGTTTCTAACCATCTCGGTATTGTCCACCTTGATGGCATTGTCATTCCTCCGGTCATCGCACACAATAAACACTCTAGGGCTTCCAATCGTTTCTTCCAGATACATCATCTCTGCTTCAAAACTTCACAAACAAAAAACGTTATCCATCTAGTTGAGCAGCAAACCGACTCTATCCCAGTCCATCTCCACCGACAATGTCGAACCTCACTAGCCTCAAGTATCTAGGGATACTCACAATAGGCGCATTACTCTTCATCACCACCCTCCTCATCTGCGCCGAGCTCATCGACACCTTCACCGAAACCTCATGCCCCTCAATCCCCTGCCGCCAGCGCGCCCAGAACCTTCACCGCCTTCTAGCAAGCCTGCACGTCTTCCCGGACTCGAATCCCGGTATAGGGGACAGGGCCCTCCGCTTCATCACCGACGCTGCGCTGCCGCAGGGAATAGTACTCCTCGCCCTCTCCGCCCGGGCAACGTACCTGGCTGCGAGGCACGAGGTGCCGAGTCGGTGGTTCTGCTACCTGCTCGCGATACTGATGGGATGTGTTGTGTTTGAGTGGGTTTTGCTGATGGGTGACAGGGCGCGGGCTCGTAGAGAGAGGGCGGTGGCAGCGGCGAATGCTGGGAAAGTTGAAAGTGTGAATGAAAAGGTGGTAGATGAGAGGGCGCGGACTCGTAAAGAGAGGGCAGCGGCAGCGGTGAATGTCAAGAAAGATCGCTACTCTCAGCCGTATGGGCCGTATGAGCCATGCTTGTACCCTAGGGTTGATTTCAGGGAGATCATGCGCCTGAATATGTGACCGGAATTTTCGGGCAGCCAGTATTGCGGCGTAGTTGAGGCGGTGACGAAGCAGACCTGCGATTCGAAAGGGGAAGACCACTCTCCGAACCAGGCTGTCGAGGAGGCATCAAAAAGCAGCTGACAAGACTCAACAGCGGCTGGTGACGTGCGAAGGGCGTATTCACGATGATGTAGTAACAGAAACGAACAACTTTTATATACGCCGGATATAGTCTCATTACAATGGTCTACTACACAGCTTTCGACGCGCGGGACTTGTTGTCCCGATGCCTCTTCTCCTTGGCCGCTGTCTTGCGGCGCTTCATCCACGACTGGTTCAGGTTCCGCCTGTTCTCCCAGAACCACTTCTGGAACTCGCCGGGGGGCACGCCGCTGCCGGCACCCTCGCCTTCCACGGCGTTCTGCTCGGCATTAAGCGTAGCCTCAATCTCCTGCTGCGTCGCCTCGTCGTCCTCCTCTTCCTCGTCGGGCTCGTTGCCGATGGCCCAGAACGGCTTCGTGCGGCCGGGGAACGCGGTGTCTGGGGTAGGCGCGGCGCTCCTGACGTTGCGCCAGGCGAACTCTTCCTCGGTGAAGGGCGTCATGGGCATCTGCGGCATTGCGGGCACGGCGTCGTCTTCTTCAATATCGTCGTTGTCGCCGCCGCCGAAGAAGCTGAAGGGCTGGGCTTCCTTGGCTGGTTGAGGGGTGGAGTCGCTGTCGGGCTTGGGACGCTTGTAGAGGGCTTCCAGGGGGTGGACCTTGGCAGGGGTCGTGGGGGGTATCTTGATGGTCAAGCTGACGTTGGAGCCGGATGACCTGGGGCGAGAGGCGTCGGCAGCCTTGAGGGCGGCGAGCGGGCTGTCGACTACAGCTGGTGCCGTGATCTTGTCTGCATCCTCCATCTCATCATCAGAGTCCGAGCTGTCCTCATCAGATGAAGTCCCGCTACTGCTCGTGGTGTCGTCGTCGACAGGTTGAGGCGGGGTCTTTGACGCTTCGGGGGCTTTCTTTGCAGGTGTCACCGGTTTCGCCTTGGCTTCCTCCTCTTCCTCGTCCGAACTCTCGTCTGATGAAGTATCCTCGTCAGAGGACGTTCCGCTGCTGCTCGTCGTGTCGTCCTGTGGGGGAGGGGTAGGGGCCTTGGCGGGCTTCTTCTTCTTCTTTGGGGCTTCGCACTCGGGAACAGGCGCAGTCGCAGTTTTCCTAATCTTCTCCGGCTCAATCACGTTGCCCTCGGCGTCGACCCAGCCCTTGCCCTCGACAAATTCTGTCGTGAGCGCCTCCGCGGGGGCCGGCTTGGTAGCCTTGAGGAACGTAGGGAACTTGGTCGTTTTCTCGAACTCGTGGATGACGACCTCGCGGGACTTCTTCTTGCGCTTCTTCTTCTCCGGCTCCTCCTCGTCGCCGTCGGCGGCCGGTTTTGTGGACGGGAGTTTCGCGGGTAGCTTCGTCTTCAGCAGACACTCCTCCCTGTCGGTGTATTTGGAGCGCTCCTCGCGCTTTTTGGTCTTATCCTTCTTGTCCTTCTTCTCACCCTTTTCCTTCTTGCTCTTCTTCTCCCGGATCTTGGCCTCCTCGGGGACGGTCCATCCGCGCTTGACCTTGCGGTCACGCAGCTCGACGCCTTCAACGAGGTTGTGGTCACGCTTCCGCTTCTTCTTGGTGCCCTCCTCCTGCTCCTTGGACTTCTTCCTCTTCTTCTTGCCGGAGTCCTCCTCGCCGGGCACTGGGAGGTAGTTCTCCTCGGGACGGGCCTTTTCTATCCTCATCTTGGTACCCTTCAGCACGGCGCCGTTCAGCCTCTTCTTGATCTTCTCGGCGTCGGCCTCGGGCAGCTCGACGTAACCGTAGCGCTTCTCGGGGAAGGTCTCGATGGTGTGATAGGAGATGTTGCGGGCCTTCGGGAGGGTTGAGGAGGGGATGATGACCTTGACGAGGTCCTGGTCGAACGGGGTGATGTGCAATCGGGTGTAGTCGCTGCTGGTGTCGGAAGGGCCAGCAGGGTTATCGGAGGGACTCGCGGGGGGCGACATTAGGTATTATCGGTTTGTCGGCGGAGAGAAGGTGCGAAAGAGACGCCAGACGCTTTGTGGTGAGCGTCGTCGGCCGTCGATCGTCAAAGAGAATGGTCTTGGAGCTAACAAAAAAAGAATAAGCTGAGCTCGACCAGACGGAAAACCCTTTGTTGCGCAGGGATTTTAATTGGTCGAGGTGTGTTTTTATCTTGGGCCGTGCGTATCTGACAGCACTGTGCCACAGCACTGGCCACCTGCTGCTGATTATGTCAGCGACGAATCTGGAAATCAGCCCCACCGGATCGAGCAATTGACTTTGGCTGAGAAAACTACACCTGGACAGCAACACCACAACACCAAACCTCATCGTCGACTTGGTATCTCGATGCCAGGCGGGTACTGAGCCTTATACCGCGACTTGCGATGTACGAAAAGAAAATTCTCCGTGGTAGTTTCAAGCGAAACTTTCTCTCTCCCTTATTTGCAGGGACAAATCTCGGCTGCCGCTTCCTTTTAGCCACAATGTCACCAAACGGGAGTCGCGATGGGAGTCGACTTCCTCCATCGTCCAGCAAGAGCAGCAAGTGCTGCCATCTCATGTCTTGGCAGAGTCGATTAGCAAGTGAAACTCTCCATTGCATTCATTCTCGTCCATGGACAAAGTCTGCCAAGTATCAAGCCTATTCTGCCTCAGCCGACTTCCAGCCCAGGTTGAAGCACTATCCTCGTCTCCTTTGATCGACCCTCCAGACCTCGTCTTACAGCCTCTTTATCAACCGAATTTCGTCCAGCATTTCCTTATTGCATCAAAAATATGCTGTCTTTTTGGTCCAATTCGGGTCAAAGCAAGGCCCAGCCAGCCCAGCCGACCGCAGCCCCAAGCACCTCGGTCGACAAAAATGGTGCCGTCACCCATCATCTCCCTGGCGTCTTTGTCCCAAACTGCCAGGATGGGACTGTCATCTTTCCGGAAACCAGACGAAAGCCTTCTGGGAAGAAACGCACCGTCATTCCACCTCCGCCAACGTCCATCACCAACTGCACTTTGCTCAGCGACGGCGGCGTCGGTCATGTTGCTTGGGCACCGCCTGCAGCCCCTCCTATCCGTCGACCCTCCCGATGCATGAGCGTGGATGCCAACGGCAATGCCATTCCTCCAGAGTACGTTCCCAAGGCCATCGGTGAAACTCTCGACGTTGAAAACCTGGCGAATAATCCGGCAAAAGGTAAGATTTACAGAGTACTCCTTGCTATGCATGTCGCTGATAGGTCTCTCACAGGAAAGAAAGACCCTGGGCTTCGGCCTCAAGAAGCAACCAAATCGTTATCAAGCATGGGCCCCGGTCAGACTCCGCAGCCGATTTCGACAAGCAAACAGCCACGCAGCAAGTCGGCCGCCCCAAAGGCGCCATCATCCACGACCAACGGTGGAGGCTCCATCAGCAGCTCCAAGCGGCCAGGGTTGACGGCGCGTGGCAAATCACATATTTCCATGCATGATATTGTGCGCAAAGTGCGAAATCACCTCTCAAGCAACTCGCGACGTCAGACGGGATCATCCGAAGCCTCCCCGCAACCTGCACCTACTGCACAAAAGACACCTGCCGACGACATCGAAACAGCTTCTGTATGCCACCGTGGCTCCTGTCAGTACGTCTTGAACGACGGTGAAGTCCAAGACGTGGTCGAAATCGTTGTCCACGAGATGTGCAAGCACGGTGTTGGTCCCGTCGACAAAGATCAGGGTGTTGTTCTGCAGCCAGGCGACGAAGTTCCTAGACAGGTTGTCCGAAAGCCCAGCTGCCTCATGAATGCCTTTGGACCACAAGTCTCCGACCTGGTGGAACCGGCGACCACCATCAGCTTGCCCGAAACCGCCTTCTTCGCCCGCAGTCAATCTGACGGTCAAATACGCGCCAGGGTTAGGTCATCTAAAGTATCCATGACCACCATCCTATCCAAAGACAATGTCACCGATATCCGATGGGCAGCCGATGATACAAAGCCCGAGAACGAGCCTCAAGGAGACGCCAAAGATGGACCAACAGGAAAGCCAGACGGCGAATCGTCCGCCGAGGCCGGCAGTGCAGCAAAGGCCAAAGCCCAAGGTGATCAAGAACAGCCGAACGATAACAAAGCGGCAGCTCAGAAAATGGAGAACACCAAGAATGATGCGGCTGGAGATGTCCCAGGTACCGCCGAGACTCCCGCAGCTGGACCGCGACTTCACGAGATTTCTGACTGCGACATGGATGACTTGAGTGATTACGCCATCGACAATCAGCCAACAACCAATCCTCCTCTTGCAGAAAATTCGACCACAAAGGATGTCGACACCAAGGGCTCATACGCCATCAATCAGGAGCTCGACAACGGCGGTACCGAGGCCAAAACGCCAGACGCGGTGGAATCCAAGCTGGACTCCAAAGAAGCATTGCCTGGAGCAGACCAAGCTGACGAGTTCCCCATGAAGCAAAGCGGTCTTGACGATGCTGAACGTGGAGATCTAAAGCAGGCGTCCAACCCCGATGATTCTATTACCAAGGAGGTTGATGCAAGCCCACACGAAGTTGATTCCTCTTCTGCCGGTCCTGATCTTAACAAACTCGACGCCAAAGAGGACGGCACGAAGGTTCCTGATGCCGATCAAGAGGACCCACAGCAGGTGGAAGTTTTGACTTCAGATGATAAGCCGGCAGAATCCAAGACTTTGAAATCGAGGTTTTTAGAGACGTTCCTGAAGCCATCAAATGACACTGCCGCCGATGGCGCCTCGGGACATTCGGAGATCCCTAGGGAGGCAAGCCTGCAGAAGGAGAATAGCAAATCATCCATTGATCATGGCCTCGATGATCAGCAGGATGTTACTTCATTTCATCCATTGAGTAAACGCCATGGCACACATGAATGGCACAGCCCTCCGTATGGCGCTATTCCAGAAGAGCAAGAAACGGATGACTTGTACCACCTTGGTGTCGACGCCAGACCGGGCGGTGCGGTGCCCGCGACTGACAGTAACAATTCACGACCAGATCCGACAACGAGGTACAATTTTGGTTTGTTCAATCGGAGTGTATTTGGAGAAGGCACTTACGACGCCACATTAAAGCCTGGTCGTCGAGTATCTGAAGCTTCCATAATGGCCGTCGGAGCTGCTGCTCCCCGCTCGACAGACAAAGTTCTCTACAGGTCTCGCTCTGCTCATTTTGCCGATGTCTCCAATTCGGATCCTGGATTTCTACAGAAGCTAACTCGTAAGCTAAGCTCCGTCTTCCAAACTCCGCCCCAAACACCTGTCATGCGGGCGCCGGCTCCGTCCATTGAAAGTACCGCAATCTCGAGGAAAGCTTCCGAGAGCCACGTCCCAGGCGATCCGAGTGAAGGGGGCGAGGCGGATACGGCGGGATACATATCTGAGCCTGAGCCCTCTTCCGTTTATCAGGCAATGACAGTGTCGAAGCCAGCAAAGGCCGAGGCGCAGCGTCGTAGTATCTGCTCAGAGGACAATGCGCCCCAGCGAATCGATGCTGTCACCAGTCTGAAGGGTTTGATCGGACCGGGCGGAAGATGAATGGCAGACACGGAGCTTGTCAACATGGCCAAGAATGAGTCTACGTGTCGTCAGATGAACCTAGTCCCTATCAATACACCATCAAATATTCTACTACCTATGTGCCATGTCTCTTGCTTCAAGTGTCTTAGTGCCGCTTGAGCTAACTCAGAGCCTCGTAGCTAAGAGCGCTTTTGGTCACTCCGCGGTGAGCATGGTGCTTGTACGCCCAACCACTTCATTCACCGATATTCTGGCTCTTTCGTTCTCACGCCAGAGCCTCCCGGTATTAGATGGTCGGTACTATACAAGGACCTTGCCTTGCAGTAAAATCTAGTCCTGTCTTCGGAAAGTCTAATTATCGCACCACCGGCCCCTCGGAATGCACACTTTGCACAATTTTAAGGGGGCGGACATTAACGCAAGGTGGTGAAGAACTAATTTAGACTGCTCTACACGGAATACACACAGCGGCAGATTCGAGGTTGCTGGACGTCTTGCCAATTTTACCGGAAGTGCTAGGTGGCGATAGCTTCCTATGTGAACCACAAGACCGTATTTGACAAACAACATGAATGAAGAAGTAAAGTGCAGAAGGTAATATGGGAAGAAAATTCATTTCATGCCTGGAATTCCCTTCAAATCAAGGACAGCTCATTTCTCCCATTCAATTCGTTTGCCTTCATCCTCAGCCGGTATGTTGACTTCCCATTTCCTCCTGGCAATCCTCTCGTAATTATCTTCTCCACCGCATTATCATCCATGCCAGTGCTCCTAGAAATCAAATTTTGTCTCTGAGGAAACAACCTGACTTAAAGAAGCCCATACGTTGCCGAGCCAGCTGGCTTTCGTCCACCCCAAGAACAGTACGGTTGTTATCGTGAGGAGAATGAAATGGGCAACTATCATGAGGGCAACTATGGAGAAACCGGTCCATCCTGTAGGTATGAGAGCCTGGCTAGAAAGGGCTCTCACAGCTGCTGACTTCTTGTCAAAGTATGGTAGACTTTCGTAGTATGCCATTTGTCGAAGAACTGTGAAAAGCCCCTGAAGGCCTTGTGCCAGGCTATCAGTATGTTGTACGATGGCCTGAAACAGCTCGGCATGCGCATAGTGTACAGCGTAAGGGTAGAACGCTCCTGGGAGCAGAAAACCACTTGGTAGGATTTCGAATGTTGCAGTAGCCCCATTCAAGCTCATATATGGCATGCCACCCGCCACGGCATTGAACCCGCCACGGCATTGAAAGCCATCCATTTTTCCCGTACGCTTGCCGTTCTGAGATAACTCAGGAACTCCCAACTCGAATTTGGGTGCAGGTTTAGGATACCTCGGAGATCCGGTGAGGTTGCGTTGGTACCGAGATTTAGATATTGATCTCTAATCGAGGCTGTCTCGTACCGACCTGTGTCTCGGTCCCGCGAGAGGGTTGGCTCGGATCCCTCATGACTACTGGAAATCCTGACTTTCCCATGAAAACCAGGCATGTTGGTAAAGCATGTGCTGATCGATACTTTGCCGCTAAAAAGGCCAGCTCGGGGTGACCAATCTACCCAGGCCCCATTGTTTGATGTCTTCCAGTTCGACGTCGCAACGGAATCCCAAATAAGATTGTCGTCGTCGCTTATGTCTCCTTGAGCCTTTATGTATGTTTGCCATTCGTCTATAGACCCCGTAGTATTGAAGACAAGGAAGGCACTGGTGGAAAACGAACGGTATGGAAGTACAGTCGAATTAAGATCGGGTAGCTGTGAGTAGTTCTGCTTTTGCGACATCAAACCGCCCACAACAGAACAGATCGATACCGGCCAATACTTGCTGTCTTCAGTATCTTGGGGTGCGGAAACTGCACATCTGAATTGATGACCTATTAGAGGTGGCTTGTAGTAAGATGAGAAGAATGAAAATCCTCCGGGGATTGAGAAGCGACCTTTAGCAATGATCTCATCAAACTGATCAGCCCGGCTGTTGCCACCATGTGTTCCCGAGGACGCTGTTGAAAACATGATGTTTGTAAGATTCGGTCGAATGCAGACTACTCTCGAGTCAAATAAGACGCTGGGGCCTTCGTACTTTCGCAGCCTTGTGCGGTCGGTCACGGTAGAGAATGGTAAGATGGCCCGTAGCGTTGTCCCTGAATCGTCCATACTTTTGCTATCGGCGTCTGAAACAATCTCTGGGCCATATCTGAGCTCGGCAAACCGGAAATAAGTGGCGGGCTGGGGATTCCAGATCTTAGATCCTCTCAATGAGCCGGCCTTTGCGCTACTGAAACGGCCGATGCCAGTGCCAATTGCATCTCCTAGTTTGCTGCTGCTGTAAAACAATTCAACAGTCTTTGATGGTGTGATAATGCGGGTAATACTGAAATCGACCAGAAGCGCCGTTGATGTAAAATTAGACGTTGCTGTCAAAATAACCGCGACACAAACAGCAATGGCAAGTGGCGTCCTCAATATCGATCTTGAGACTAGGTTGTACGGAGATGTAGACAAGGCCCTGAGCATCGATACCAGCGCAACCGATCTCATAGGCACGCCAGTCCTTTCGATCAAAAGGGAGGCAATCATGCCAGTAAGGATGCCCATCTGAAAGCCAAGACAGACGCGAATGACGGCGGTTGTGACAGTCACGGTTACCGAAGGCCAGTTTTTGTCAATGATCAGGTCCCATATTTGACCATTGTCCATGTGCCCGGCTTGTGCGCGCATCGATGATCGCCAGATGTATGCTAGGAGAGTCATACCAACTACAATGCCGATTGAGCCCAGGACTAGGACAAAAATGCCAAACAAGCCGAGGGCATTCCATCGAGTGGGCGATGAGATGTGCTTTGCCGCGCCGTTCAACGACCCAGCTTCGTTCAATAAGGACGTTTCATCACTGGACTCTAGCTGTTCTGGTTGAACGCCCTGGCCAGTAGACACAAGAGATGAAGACCTCGCAGTGTATTGGCGGAAATCTTGGAGTGGCAGATTCTCGGAGTTGGACACAGGACCATTAGGTTGAGACTTCCGCCTACGGAGACTCTGAATCGTTGTTGTATCATCCATGTTGAGTGTTGGGTATGTGCTGTCATGAAAGGTGAGCTAGAACCTGGAAGGGAAGAAGTGCAGAAGACAAATTGTCGGAAGTCTGCTGCCTTACCGAGCTATATGTACTTCCAGGATATTTCGGAAGGCATGTGAAGAGGACCTGTCAACACAGGCGGAGTGCGACCTTGGCAGCAAGCTGAAATGCTGTGACAATCAGAAGGCTGGTGGCTGATCCTGCTGCCTCAGCATCTTGCAGGCCATGGCTCATTACAGGTCAAGTGCAGGTCACGGAATCAGGCTGTTCAGCAATGCTTACCCTTGGCAAAAGCCGCAAGAAATGCCACATTACCATTGAGGGCTAAGAGAGGCAGCTCCAAGTGTGGAGTGTTCGGAGGCTGTCTGGTTGGGAAAGGCTTAATAGCAAATAAGACGTCGATTCGTGTCTGTTAATGTCATTGCGGGCCGGCATTTATCCAAATGGAACGCTTTGAATCTGCAAAATCCCCAAGGTAACGTTTCTGTTTTGTTAAGAAGTCGTGTGAAATACGCCAAATAGTCTTGGATCTTTCTGAGGTAAGTTACTTTCGATTGCCTCCGGACTTCCTATTTGTGCTATTCAAAACCTGACCGAACTCCAAACACGAGACATAAACTCAAGTTACTTATTCGACCATGATCTTTGAAACAATCTTCTCGCAGAATGACAACAACGAGGACGCGTTCATGATGTCAACTGTGGTAACCAAAGCACCCAGCTCGTTGCGGACCCAGTTGCGCACCTCAACTGCCGCCAGCGAATCAATGCCATACACTGACAGCGGTCGGGCCGGGTCCATTGGCTCTGAGAGACGGAGCATGCGAACAAAACACTTGTTTACAACATCCACTAGACAGAAGAACCGGATTAGTACATGTGCATATTGGACCTCGAGGAGGAGAGGAGAAAAGATGTGGTCTTGCATACCTGTCGCTGCCACTTGTGCCGAAGTGTCAGCAGACTTCGACTTCAGGAGGAGAAGCAGCGCCTGCACATCCGCATTGGCACTGTTGCCGCCCTTGCCAGCAGCCCTGCCCCCGGCGGAACCGGTCCGCAGCGCCGCGAAGCGGGCGTCTTGCAAGAGCGCCGAGTCAGCAGGCTGCGGCGCTACAATACCAGTGACCATCTGCGCAGCCGACGGTGAGCCCGGGAACTTTCCTGCCTGCTGCAGGATGGAGAAGTAAAGGATCTGCCGCAGGAGGCCGTTATTAATGCCCTTAAAGGTGCGGCTGTCAAAATGCTTCTCCTGGAACCCATCGTTGTTGGCGATGAAGCCGTCGTCCTCGATGACGTCCAGGTCAATGGAGCACGCGGCCTGTCCCCGTTTCTGACGGTAGGCAGCGAAAGAGTCGAGGAAGACGTTGGCGGCGGCGTAGTTGGCCTGTCCGCGCTGCCCAATGACACCGGAGATACTGGAGAGCATGGTGAAGAAGTCGAGTTCGAGGCCGAGCTTCTCTGCTGCATCGTGGAGGTTCCATGTACCCTGAATCTTGCAGCCAACGGCTTGGTGGTATTCTTCCAGTGTCATGGAGTCGAACGGTCGGTCCTAGCGGAGGAAAATGTCAGAAACAACTCCATACCTTGTCTATAAGAAAACACTTACCCGGAGGACCATTGCGCCCTGAATGATTCCCCCAACTGGGAAGGACGTCTGGTTGAAGGCCCGCTGGACGTCGCCCTTGCTGGTCACATCGGCGGTCAGGAGGTCGATGCTTGATCCAAGGGCTTTGACCTGTTTGACAATAGAGCGGGACTTTTCGTCAGTGTGCCCGCTTCTGGAAATGACTGCGAGGTGTTTCGCGCCGCTTTTGGCGAGGTAGATGGCCAGGGCACCACAGAGACCGCGGAGACCGCCTACGATCAGATAGGTGGCATCATCGCGGAAGTGGAGGGTTTTCGGCGCGCGTCGGACCTTTAAGAAATCAGTATAAGCTTTTCCTACAATCGTATTTCTTTCTTTAGACGGATGGCAACTTACGGGCACAGAAATCTTCGCCTCGGGGCCGTCGGAAATGACGACCTTGCCAATGTGCTTACCCGCGCGTAGGTAGCGAACCGTGTTGGCGACGTCGGTGAAGGAGAAAATGTGGATGGGGTTGATTGGCTTGACGTGGCGTCCCTCGAGTAGTTCAAAGAGCTTGGTCATAAGACTTGAAGAGAACATAAGTCAGTCATGTATCTTCGTGATGCGACTGTGGGTGGCGAGGGAGGTATGCCTACCGGGCAATGAGGTGATCAGGGGCTCTCTGGTGAGACATATCAACGGCTCTCAGGGAGATATTGCGATCGAATGGCTCCATGGCAAGGCTGTTGCGATCCAAGATGTCTTTCTTTCCAATCTCAACCATGATACCTCCGTCGGCCAAGACACGGAAAGACTCGTCAAGCATGTCACCTGTGAGGGAGTTCAGAATGATATCGACTCCGCAGCCACCGGTCGCAGCCAAGATTTGGTCACCGAACGATGTGTCACGGGAGTTGAAGATGTGGTCGTCCTCCAGGCCGAAGGTGGACTTGAAGAATTCTCTCTTGTCAGGAGAACCAACAGTTGCAAAGACCTGGCGAAGAGAAAGTGTTAGTCACAACATTCGGAGACCAAAGTCATCTCTCGTTAAGGGAGTGGTCCCACTTACCTCCGCACCAGCATACTGAGCCAGCTGCATGGATGAAATGCCCACACCACCCGCCGCGGAGTGAATCAGCACGGTCTTGCCGGCCTTCACATCTGCCATGTCAAACAATGAGTAGATGGAAGTCAAGTAAACACCACAAAGAGTGGCGGCCTCCTCGAAAGACATCCAGTCAGGGAGGGCATGCACTCGTCCGGGCCGGGTGCGGACGCGGTTGGAAATGGTCGCCGGGGTGAAGACCACGACACGTTGCCCCACCTTGAGTGAAGTGACACTCGGCGAAACCTTCGTGACGATGCCAGCCGCCTCGCCACCCAGTTCACGCTCGTCACCAGGAACGATGCCCATGGTGACAACGACGTCCTTGTAATTAAAACCAGCGGCGTAAACCTCGACCTCGACGTAGCCGTCCTCAAGCGGCTGAGGCTCCGCCGTCACCTCGTGGTAATGGATAGAATCCATGTCGCCCAGACGCTCCGCACCCATGTTGATGATGGTATCGCTGGCGTGGATGTCCAGCACCTCTGTCTTGCGGTCGCTGGGGTGATGTCCCTGGAGCCTGGTGATTTCCCAGTCCGGCAGCAGACGGCTGACATGAACGACTCCGCCACGTTCGACAAACTCGCTCTCGAGCTGGTCCTTGGGGTCAGGCTGTGAAAGAATATCGAGGCAGGAGACGATGGCTGCGCCGGTGGCGTCTCCTTCGGGGCGCTCCACGTCCAGGTTGATGAGGCGGGCACCCTCTTCGGCGCGGACGGATCGGAAGAATCCGTTGATCGCCGCAGATTTGGGGTTGCTGACGTCCAAATGAGCACCGGAAGTCACCCAGAGGATTCTGCACTGCTTCTGGATGAGGTGCTTCAGAGTATGCCACTGCTTTGCGTCTGGGTTGATCATGATGGGTGACACCAACTCGTCAAGAACAAGGACGATCTGGCCGGCGGTGACGGTAGAAGGGTCAGCGAGCTTCTGGATATTCCAGCCACTTTGGATGATGTGTCCCAGAATCTTGCTGGACGCCTCATGGACGGTGCCGGTGAGGCTGATGAAGCTGACCGTCGGCAATGCCACCTCCAGTACCTTCTCGGTGTTTTGGACATAGACAACGGAAGTATCGTCATCGATGGTTTGAACACTGCCGAGCGAGCTGATTGAGACCCCCTGGCCAATACTGATCACAATGCTTCCGGCATCTACCGACTGGGAGATGCTCGCCAGAGCCCGATCTCGCGTCGTTGCATCGATACGGTCCGAAGCCTTGACGATGACGAGGTCAAACTTGACGTCTGGCACGATAGCAGCGGAGCTATTCACATCGAGCAAGCCAAACTGAGCGGACGGGGCGTGGGTCGAAAGCTGACTCTGGGCGCTGACCAGCGTCGCGGGATCGCTCACGGCAAAGTTGTACTGAGATGCGGCGCCGCGGATGGGGTTAGATTCTTCTTGAACCCACAGGCTTGATGCGTCAGTTGAGCTCAGGTTAACCTCCAGAACCTTGAGCGTTGGCTTCTTGTGCGCTACAAGATCAATCAGGTCCTTCGTCGTCTTGCCACTGTCCCTCAGGAATTGCCGCAGCTTGGGCTCCGGTGCGGACAGAAGCAGGGGGAGGTCAGCTTCCCACGCCAGGTGCGTGAAGAGGTGCTTGGCGCCCTCTTCCTCGCTGGTCTCGATGTCGCGCTTGGTCAGGCCCTTCATCTCGAAGATGAGCGACCCGTCCTTGGGGTCGTACAGAGACAGGTCGGAGCCGTAGTTGCGGTGGAGGTCCTCCCGTCCAATGCCCAGGAAGCGAGCCGAGGCCAGAGCGATTGCCTCCGCGGGTTGTTCGCGGCGCATGGGAATGACGAGACTGCTCAGGATCTGCGGCACGTGGACAGCTCCCACGAGCGGAATGTCACCCTTGGAGATAGCCAGGATGCCGATGTAGAAGCAGGCATCGATGCTGGCCGGGTGAATGGGATAGAACGACTGTCCGTACGTGGAGGGCGGGGGATCCATTGCCACGGTGGACCGGCTTTCGGTCACGCCCATGGTGGCCTCGAAAAGAAGATGCTTCTGGAAGCAAGGGCCGTAGTTATAGCCAGACTCTCGAACCGCCTTGTACATCATGCTGGCAGGCGTGGCGAGCTCCAAGGGCTTGAGAGAGCCGCTCGGGGCCGGCGTCTCCTTGTAGTCGGTCTCCACAGAGATCAAGCCGGCGCAATGCTCGGTGTAGACCGTGTCCTTGGTCGAGCAGACACGGAACTCAAACCAGTCGCGGATCGATCCCCCTCGTGCCGGTGTCAAGGTCAGCGTGTAAGTAGCAGATTCATCTTCCTCGAGCACCAAGGCGCGCAGGAAGCGGATGTCACGGAAGCGGAACTGTTACCGGGACGGCTCCTTTCCATCCCACTTCGTCACCATGGACACCTGGTACATGGCCTCCACCGCCATGGCACAGTAGCCCGCTCCCGGGAAGATGATCTGGTTTCCCATCATGTGGTCCCGCAGCCAGGGCATGTCACCGAGGCGGAGAGTCTTTTGGAAAATGGGAGACTGCCATGCGGTGCCGTTCATCTTTGATCCCAGGAGGTCGTGGTTGATGAACTTCTTGAAGCGCCAGTCACGGCTGGCCTGCGTCTCGTGCCAGTACCGCTGAGAGTGGTTCCACGAATAATTTGGCAGATCGACAATGACCGAAGGAGTCCTCGACTCGTGGGTTCGGTTGACCTTCCTGAGATCTACCGTCCCGCCGAGGAGGAAGAGTTGGCCCGCGACATTGTACAAGGACTGGATCGAGTCTGGTCCACGCTTCAACGCCGATGTATACGACGCGTCGGCCGGCGCACCCGAGAGAGTCTTTTTGATCTGGGCGATGGGACCTGACAGAGCGTTGCTAGGGCCGATCTCGATGAGGAAATCGACACCAGCTTGCGGGTCTTGGAAAAGCTCCTTCGCCGCCGTGGTGAAACGGACCGGGGAAACCATGTTGCTCTTCCAGTAAGCGGCATCTGGCGCCTCGGTCAGGACCTGACCGGTGACGGAACTGAACATCTTAGCCGTGGGCTTGCTGGGAGATGCGTTCTTGCTACCCTTTAGCATCTTCTCGTACACTTCTCCAATCGGGGCCATGTAGTCCGAGTGGTACGCAGCATCGACCAGAAGCAACCTCGCGAAGTGGCCATCCTGCTTCAGGCGTTCCTCGAGTGACTTTAGCGCTGCGGCAGCGCCGGAGAGAGTAATGCTGCTAGGACTGTTGTAGCAGGCAATCTGAACCTTGCTCTCTGGTTCAATGTACTTCTCGACCGTCTCGACATCGACACCAACAGCCAACATTCCCAGTGGCTCCTTGGGAGGGAACTTCTTGGTGGCTTGACCACGGTAATATGCAATCTTGATGGCGTCGTCTGGTGTGATCAGGCCGGCAGCGGCGGCAGCAGCAATCTCCCCAGATGAGTGTCCCACCACGGCCTCGGGACTGATACCCCATTCCTTCACCACCTCGAGGATGGCCAATTGCAAAGCGGTTACGAGAGGCTGGGAGTACTCTGGCTGTCGCAGGGCCGCAGAGCTTCTTTCCTCGGTCAGCTCGGCAAGCAAACTCCAAGAAGGCGCATCGGGAAGCTTCTGGAGGACCTGGTCCAACTCCTCAATCACCTGCCTCGCCTGCGGGAAAGCCTGGACGAGACTGCATCCCATCTGCGGCCACTGCGCTCCCTGGCCGGTGAAGACGAACCCGACCCGCGGCTTCGAGGCAGCCTTCTGACCGAATTGAATCTTCCCTTGGTCAATGCTGCTGCTGGAGTTTGTGGTAAGGAAAGCGCGGTAGTAGTGATGACTTCTGCGCTCTGAGAGCGTATACGCCAGGTCGTCGATGTCGACCGAAACTCCGGGGTTGATCAGGTGCCCCGAGAGCGCGCTGATGTAGCTCTTCAACGACGACTGATCGTTCGCGGACAAGACAAGTACCTTTGACGGAGCATCCTCGGCGATGATCACGTCTTCATCATCATCGTCATCACCGAAGAAGTCCGACGTGATCTCCTTGTAGGAGGATACGTGGGTTGCAAAGGGGGCGTTTTCCAAGATGGCGTGTGCATTTGAGCCGCCGAAACCAAATGAGTTCACACTTGCACGGCGGACGTCCAAAGATGTCTCTGGCCACTTGATGGACATGCGCGTGGGACGAACTCGGAAGCCCGCGAAGTCGATGTTGGGGTTGGGGGTCACAAAGGTCGGGTTGCCGGTGATGATGCTATGCTCGAGCGCAAGAACGACTTTCATCAAACCAGACAAGCCTGCCGCGGCCTCAGAGTGGCCGATGTTGCTCTTAATGGATCCGATCACGAGGTCCTGGCCGACCTCGCGGGTGCCTGCGAAAACGGAGGCGGCGCCCCTGACTTCAATTGGGTCTCCGGCAGGCGTGCCGGTACCGTGGCACTCTAGGTATTGTGTATCGTTGAAGTTCTTGATGCCAGCGTTGGCGTATGCCGCCCTGATGGCAGCCGACTGGGCCTCGGCGCTGGGACTGGCGATTCCAGGTGTTCGGCCGTCACTGTTGGTGGCGGTGCCGCGGATGACGGCGCGGATCGGGTCGCCGTCCCGCAGGGCATCGTCAAGACGCTTCAGGTAGACAACGTTCATGCCTTCTGCCTTGGCATAGCCATCTGCCTTGGCATCGAAGCTGTGGCATCGGCCGGTAGCTGACTGTGTCATGCGCATCATGCCGATCTCTTCGTTGTGCTCGGGAGTCAGCCAGAGACTGGCACCGGATACCAGCATTCCGTCTGCCTGGTGGGTGTCGAGGTAACGGCAGGCAACTTCGACGCCGACAAGACTGGCAGAGCATGCCGAGTCTACTGTCATACTGGTACGAGAATTAGTTCCCTCTATGTTTTGCTCAGAGGAACTCAGGCTGATGGCTATCTCCAACTTACCTGGGGCCGTGGACGTTGAGGAAGTGACTGATCCGATTACTCAAAATGGACCAGGCGACACCTATCGTCGCGGACTCTGGACGGTTCTCGGGGTCACGACTCTGCATAGAGGCATAGTCTATCAAACATGCAGTGTCAGTAACATATAACATCGTTTCGAACCGAGGCAAGGTATCATGAGGTAAGTCACGTACCCACGATGTTCGTGCCGACAAGGCATCCAACCCTTTTGCCGCTGATGGCCTCGAGCGGAATGCCCGCGTTCTCCAAGCACTCGTATGCAACCTCGAGGAGGATACGTTGCTAAGGGTCCATGGCTATGCAGTCAACACGGCTGATGTTGAAGAATTGCCCGTCAAAGACCTCCGGGTCAACGTCCTCCATGAACATGCCACCGGGGCTCTTCATCGTTCTTGGCCTGCGGTGCTCATCATGGTGCCCGGCCAAGCTGAAGCGTGTGGCTGGAGGCTCGTTCTTCGCGATACCGCCGCGTTGCAGAAAGTCCCAGAGCAGGGTGGGTGAGTTGCTGTGGCCAGGGAGACGACAGGCCATGCCCACGACGGCAACGGGTGTCTGTGTGTGGTTACGCTGGGCGCCATCGTTGACCATGGCGTATGAGTTGCCGCTATCACTCGACCACGCAGGGGTCTGCTTGGTGTCTGATGAGATGCTCATGATGGAGTTGAGTAAGAGAGAAGTGAGTTTGTGATTAGTTGTTGGATGAAGAAGCGGCGGAGAAAAAACTCAGGACTTGTCGGATAGATCTGGTTTAGATAGTCAATCCAAAAGACTTCGTGAAGAGCTATTGAGACTATACTTCTCATTCTGAGGCTCGTCAATTCCATCTTACAGGACTCAGTGCTCTCGATGGTTTAGGAGGTGCAAATCGATTATCCCATTATGTCGCTGTTCAGTTCTGCCCGGGTATGCACGATTATTGGCAAGCAATGATGCAATGTAAGCATGAGATGCAGTGTAAGCAAATACAAGAGAGACTGAGAGCCAGGCGGGTCAAGATTACATGTGAAGCGGAGACGTTTATTGATTATGAGATCAAGGAGCGTCCATGGGAATGAGGTTCACTCGACTGTGGCTATCCATGGAATCCAATTGGTGACGGTACGAACGACTTGCTCCTGCCTCTCACTCCAGGCCTCGCAGAAGCATCATTACTTACCGATGTGCCGATTACGTATCATGCAGGCTTTGAAAGTCAGAGTTGCGTTCTTGTTAAGATGGAGAGAATGAGACTTGAAGAGACCTTGGCTCCCCTTCGTGTCAATACAGCCCTCGCGTGTGGTTATGTTAAAGGTTCCCTCAATCTATAGGGAGCAGACAAAATCCAATAGAATCACCATCTGTTACATCCTTCTTTGCATACTACACTTCAATTCTTGTGAAAACTCAAGCTAGCACCATGGCTGCTCGCGAAGACGTCGAGTTCAGAACCATTGATGGTCTCGTCCTCCGTGGCTGGCTATACCCAGCAACAAAGCGAGGAGCAGCCATTATCGCGACTCCCGGAGTACGTCCTCTCACCCCAAACTTGAAGACATAGAGCCCTAACCTCCCGCAGTTCAACTTCACCAAAGAGACCATGGTTGCGGAAGTCGCCGAGTACTTCCAGAAATTTGATTTCACAGTCCTCATCTACGATCCCCGCTCTATCGGGTTAAGCGATGGTTCACCGCGCAACGAAATTCATCCCTCGCGAAACGTCGAGGACTACCACGATGCCTTGACATTCCTCAAAGGCCACCCGCTGGTTGACCCGGCGCGCATCGCCTACTGGGGCTTCTCGTACAGCGGCATGCTGGCCCTCATCGCGGCTTCGCTGGACAAACGCGCAAAAGCCGTGGTGGCCATGTGCCCGCTGACAATCTGGGACTTTCCCCCCGAGAAGTGACCTCGTGTACTAGCAAAGGCGCTCCGTGATCGCGAGTCGCGCGCTGCAGGCAACAAGCCCGTCTACATTCCAATGCTGACTGCCGAAGGGGAGAACCCGGCGGGTTTCGGCAAGGGCTTCGACGTGAACGGCTTCAAGATGATGGCAGGGGCGAAAGAGCTGCAGCCAACCTTTGAGTTGGAGACGACGCTGGGCAGCTACTACCACATTGCTGCCTTCCAGCCGATGGGACTGATTCCTTACGTTTCTCCAACCCCAGTTATGGTGGTCACACCGGAGCATGACGTGGTCTCGCCCGCAGAGCTTCAGCGGACCGAGATCTACGACCGGTTGAAGGAGCCTAAGCGCCACCTGGTAGTTCCGGACAGGGGGCACATGGATGTGCTGAGTGGCGACGACTTTGCAAGGGTGCTGGATGCGCAAGTTGCCTTCCTGCGTGAGGTTTTGGGAGCCTAAGCTGGATCATGTTTGTGTCTTTTGCTGTTCTAGAATCCTCTTGGCTGTTATCATGTGCGGCACACGAATGATTGATTGCTATATTACTATGGTACCCAATGGAATAATTTTGTTTTATTGCTTCCACGTTCCTGAAATCGACTTGGCATGCGTTCGCGGACTAATTGACGCGTGCTTATCCTAGCTGCATGCTTACATGCACGTAATCCGGCGCGGGGCGAAGCACCGTGTGTGTGAGAAGCTGAAGAAAGACACAATGGCCATCATCATCAATCGGCACGTCTGTCAAAAGTCCTTCCGTGCCGTAGACTAGTGAGTCTCGGCTAGAGAAATGACACCCTTCTTAGTTAGTCGGGCCAGGTAGTGGCTCTTCACACGCCTCAACACATGCTTATCTGCACATAAGCAAGCAATAGGTGTGCCTATGGACCCTGATAACGAACACATCGAGCGTCTCTTCGGAATCAGGATCCGGGTGGCTACGCTTTGGGGGCTGCTCGCGTCCAACATCTCTGGTCTTTGGACTCTCCCTTTCGAATTCATGCCATGAGTCCTACGAGAATATTGATTTCTCGCGTGGAGGCGAAGCGGCGCAAAGGACCCCATTCAATCTCAGCTTTCGTAAATAGAAAATCAGTGTGTAAGGGCCGTAGCAAGGCTCCTAGCTGTTAGCTTTCATATAAAGGGCTTGATGCAAACAACATGCAATTGCCTCGTAGGGCTTCTTGAGGCTACCTGTAACCCGGACCAGTCATCGAATGAAACTCTGACTCGCTTTTCTTGGCTTGCAGAAACACCGAAACCATGATGATCATTCTCCTATTTCTCCTCGCTTCGACCGCTCTTGCAGCGACCTACCCGCGGCCGGCTGCATGTCGTTACATTTCCGGGGACCCTGGTTGGCCCAGCTCCTCAGTTTGGAATCGTCTCAATGCAACCGTGGGAGGACGTCTGCTGGCCACGAACCCTCTCGCCCACTCGTGTCATGATCCTACCTACTCCGATGACACCTGCACCTCGTTGCGAAAGCAGTGGGGACAACCCAACCTGCAGATTCCTTACCCTGCCGAATTTCTGTCACCCTGGTTCCAGAACCAGTCCTGCGTCCCGTTTACACCTCGGTCATCCGCTTGCGAACTCGGCAACTATGCCAGTTATTCCATCAATGTGAAGGGCCCCAACGATATCATTTCTGGGCTGAAGTTCGCGCAGCAGAATATTGTGCGTCTTGTTATCAAGAACACCGGCCATGAGTATGTTCTCCTCCTGATTATGGCTCTGATTATCTCCATATGTGGCACGCAGATTATGCAGAGCTGACCATGCCTCCGTGAAACAACAGTCAGAATGGCAAAGGGACCGGCAAGGGAGCCCTTTCTCTCCGGACACACAACCTGAAAGACAAGAGGTTCATCGCCTCCTACAAGAGCAGCTACTACAAGGGACCAGCCATCAAGCTCGGCGCTGGCGTGCAGGGCGGGGAGGCTGCCACCTTCGCGCACCAGAACGGGGGCTACCGCGTGGTTGCTGGCTCCTGTCCTACGGTCGGCTTGGTAGGCGGATACACCCAGGGTGGAGGCCACTCATCTCTGTCTGGTATCTACGGGCTCGGGGCTGACAACGTGCTCGAATGGGAGGTCATCACGGCCACGGGCCAGCACCTCACCGCGACTATGGAGAAGAACACTGACCTGTACTGGGCGCTCAGCGGCGGCGGGCCCGGCACATACGGAGTCGTCGTGTCGATGACGACCAGGGTCTTCCCCGATGCTCCGACTGGCGCGGCCTCCTACTCCTTCAGCATCGCGTCCACGGGCAACAAAGAAGACGCGTACTGGAACGCGGTGACAACATTCCATGCGCAGCTACCTCCTCTTCTTGACCAGGGCGTCTACGTGACGTATTCCGTCACGAACAACACCTTCTACATCATTGCCATAATTGCGCCCAGTCACAACCAGACGGGGCTGAACACCCTAATGCAGCCGATGCTGACGGCGTTGTCTCAGCAGAACGGCCTCAGCGCCCAGTCGCTTGGTCTGAATACCTTTGGCACCAGCAATGTCTACGACATCCTCGCCACCAACGTGTGGCCCGTTCTCCAGGACGCTTCTCTCGTCGCCGCTCAGGGCGGCCGGCTCATCACCCGCGCGAACCTCAATGCCAACCTCACCGGTGTCATGTCCGCCATGCGCAGTATCACGACCGGCGGCACCTTCTATCTGGCGTGCACCGCCATCAATACCACCACCGCCCAAGGTGTACCCCCTATCGCCAAGAACGCCGTCCTGCCCGCGTGGCGCGACACGTCGCTCAACTGCCTGGTCGGGACGGTCTGGGCCTGGGGTCAGTCGTGGGATCCAGTTCCTGGATGGCAGAAGGAGCTGCTCGATCGTGTGCTTCCGACCATCGAGGCCGTGACGCCGAACTCGGGGGCGTATCTCAACGAAGCCAACTTCGCTCAGCGAGATTGGCAGGGCCAGTTTTATGGAAAAAACTACCAGAAGCTGGTGGCGATCAAGAAGAAGTATGATCCCCAGGATTTGTTTTACGCGGTCTCCGCTGTGGGAAGCGAGGCGTGGGCTGCGGATGGACAGGGAAGATTGTGTCGAACTTGATGAAGGGTGTTGGATTCTGATGGGAATACATGAAGGCTGTATAGTACGTAAACATCGTTATTGAAGCAACATATCTTGCAATGAGGTGCAATTAGTAACAATGTATGTTAGTTGAGTTTCTAACTAGAAATTTGTTTTACCACGTCCAACTTCGGTGCTTAACCGACGATGAGCTGTCAGACCTTCAAGTATTAGCAATTATCTTCGCGTTCAATGTACTAGTGTTTGAGAAATTCATTCACTCTGCCGACACCTGGAACGTCTGAGCTTTGAAGTTCGCATCAGTTTCTACTGAGTAAAACGTGTGTCTAAAACTAAACATCGCTTTCGCTATCTATCGTATTTGTACAAGCGCTGTCTATCATCTTTCTAGGTGTTCTTAGACTTTACCTCTTATGTGTGAATCCATCATGTCTAACATCTTCTGGCCTCAACCTCCAAATCGGACCCGCTTCGAACCAACATAGCAACCCCTGCCTCAAATCCCTCCGTCACGGCAAGATGCAACAGCGTGTTCCCGTCCGCGTCGTACGCATCCAAGAGACATCCCAACCGAGCTTCCCCTGGCCCAATCGGATTTACGCCGTCGACAGCCCCCTGTCCGATCTCCGCCAGCAACAGCCGCAACACCTGCTCCCTCCGGTGGAGCACGGCTAGGTGCAACACGGAGCGTTGCCTGTTATCAACGGCGTCGCAGCGGGCGCCGGCGGTCAGAAGCGCACGCACCACCGGCGCGTGGCCGGCAACCACGGCGTGCATCAAAGGCGTGCGGCCCTCGCTGTCCGGGGCGTTGCAGTCCATGCCATGATGGCTCAGCAGCATTTGGATTATGCGATCATGGCCTTTTTGCGCTGCGATATGGAGAACACCAAGGTACTCGTATGTAGAGGCGGGCTCCTGGGGAGTCGGTATTGTTGGCGTAGTTGATGATGGAGAAAGATGGCCTCTAGTCCCGGGAGGCACAATACTGCGATTTTTGTTGTTCGTCGCGTTGGGTGTCAATGAAGATGACGGTGAGAATTGTTCGAATGGGCTTTGTCGCGGGGTCGAGGTGGAACCGTGAGACGGGGAACGAGAGGAGGGTGATGCTGAAGAATACTGGTACGACGGGGATATAATCTCGCCGGTATCAAGCCCTTGCGTTGTGGTTCTCGCTGCCGCCGATGTATTTGTGCTATTCTGAAGAAGATTGTCGATATTCAAGTCGTAGCTGAAGCTGTTCTCATGAGATTTGATGACATCGAAATAGGAAGGGCTCGTCTCGCTCGGATCATGATGTAGTTCGAAAGGTAATGAAATGGGCTCGAAGTTCAAGAACTGTTCACCACTGGTCGTCATGGTGGCATTTTGCTGCTGTTGTTGCTGTTGCTGCTGCTCGCGTCGTTCTTCACAAAGGGGCTGACAAACCCAACGTCAGTGATGCTGTGACGAATACTGCAAGTAGAGACACAGATGGACATACGGCGGAATCTACGCTGCGCATTGCGGTTCTGCAGCCGACGGCGTTCGCTGATGGTTGTGTGAGACGGCAAGTTCGTCGTGATGTTTCTGATGGCAGCTTCCACCTTGTCCTACGTCACATCAGCGGATCGATTTTCTTTAGTTGTTTTGCCTCTAATCATCCTACCTTAGAGCGTGATGCAATGTAGACCGTAGCACCCGCTGCATAGAGAATTTTGGTCAACTCTAAGCCGATACCCGCATTGCCGCCTCTAACGATGAATACTCGACCACTCTGCGAGTTGGCGGGCACATCAGCCTCGGTAAAGGTGGGCTTGGGAGGGTAGATTTGCGTGAGAGTGGCGCGGAGACTAGAAAAGGGTGCCATGGCGGCTTTTCGTTGGTGGCCTCGGAATTTTGTTGAAGGGCAGCGAGGGATGTTTCTGCTGGTGAGGTAATTATGGGAAAGCGAGCAGACCGAGTGAGGTTGGATGAGAACTCCGGCGTCAGGGACGCGGAGGATTTAGGTACTTCGGTGAGAATCGTTCTTGCATCCGCACAAGTTTTGTATCCGCCTCGGAATTTCTAAGCAAAGATAAACAAACGAGACATAAAGCGGGCGTTGATATGTAGGGATCAGATTCCCAACGGCTGTATCGTAAGGACCTTGCAGCTCGGTAAGCACGATGCAGCTAAGCCTGATCGCGTACATCGACGTACATTGACACAGAGCACAGCAGGCGCTGTGTGACTGGAGGATTTACCGGATGGCTTCTTCAGGCCATTCGTATTCAGCCGGATAAACGGCTGTTACGCCCGCCGCTCACATATGCAGCCTGGAGGCACGGGACGGGACGGTGGCTAGCTGCTCAATGCAAGTCGTAAGCATGGAATCCCTGCATCGACAAGGTACACAAGGTCTACTCCCTAACTCGGCACGGAATGCAGTCTTCACAAAACGATGGCGTGCGTGGGGGTATGTCTTACAAGTGTCGACTTGAATGTCAGCTATGCACGATTATCTGCGGTCATGCGAACTAGACTTTGATCGACTGGAACGACAGGATTAATCGCCAGATGTATTATGTAGGCATGACCAGACCTTTCCAAAACGCGATGAAGACTTTGGTCCAGAAGGTGAATTGATGACTTGGGAATGATAGGGCTTAGTCTGACTTACCTTAGGCTTTCGGTTACGCTCGTAATGTTGAATATGTTGATCACGTACAATAATTAGGAAGCGCCTAGGCCTACGCTGCAGCTTGCCGTCTAGTTGAGAAGCTGTTGTCCAAAACATCGCCATTGCGAAAACAGACAGGAACTTCACATCAGCTACTAACTCAGACAATATCATCTTGACATTGACGGCCAGGACAGGGTCATAGACACAACATTGATGGAGGGCTTTAACGACTCGAGTCGGAGGCCATTGGCCAACGTATTCCAGCCTGATTTAGGCTTTGTCGCCGCAGCTTCAGCAACAGCTCTCGTGATTGTCATCGGGTATATCACATGGATCGGCATCTATCGACTCTACTTCAGCCCTATTGCCAAATTCCCTGGCCCGAAGCTGGCCGCCCTGACCGGCCTGTACGAAGCATACTTCGATCTCGTCCCTAAGGGCGGTGGGCAGTTCCCCTTCGCCATTAAACGCATGCACGAGAAATATGGACCTATCGTGCGCATCAACCCCGATGAGCTGCACATCGACGATCCTGACTTCTTCGACACGCTGTATCCGACAAGCAAGCCATATGATAAGCTCAAACGGCTCGAGAACCGCTTCGGGATCCCAGGCGCGACGTTCAGCACAGCCCGCCATGAGCTACACAAGATACGCCGCGCAGCCATCAGCCCGTTCTTTGCAAAGTCCAAGGTGCGCGAGCAGACGGGCGACATTCAAGCATTGATGAACACTATCTCGCGTCGTCTCACAACCGAATATGCTGGTACCGGGCGTGTGCTCAATCTCCATGACGTCTGGCGCTGCTTCGCCGCCGACAACATCATGGACCTCGTCTTTGGTTCGCCGTTGGATTTACAGGAAATGTCCCGACAAACCGCCACCATTCGCGCTAGCCATCAAGCCACTGGGGGTAATGAGAAGCCGCGCCTGGGGCAGACCGGCCACGCAACTGTTTTTCATGAGATGCTAGCCTCCAGCCTCCCCAGTGAGGAACTAGAACACAAGCGCATGCAGCATGAGGCCGAATCACTCATTGGTGCCGGGCTTGAGACCACTGCCTGGACGCTTGCTCTGGGCAGCTTCTACATCTTGCACGATCCCGAAGTCTACGCCAAGTTGCAATCTGAGCTGACAAGCGCCACACCAGACGCGACTCAGATTCCCCCGTGGGCCACCTTGGAAACACTCCCCTACCTCACCGCGATCGTCAAGGAGAGTACGTTTACCTGTCCCTCGAGAGCCTCATCATCTTCTTCACATGGAAATCCGTCATGCTGATTCATCTGTAGCTTTGAGAATGGGCATGGGCGTCATCGAACGTTTAGTCCGCATCAACCGTAACCCAGCAAACCCCTGGGTTTACAAAGGCACCGTCATCCTGGCCAATGTCGCCGTCAGCATGGATCAATACCACATGCTGATGAACGAGCGTGTCTTCCCAGACCCGACCGCCTTCCGACCGGAACGCTGGCTTGGCGACCCCCGCGGACCAGATGGTATACACCCGCTCACCCACTACATGACCGTCTTCGGTCGCGGCACGCGAATGTGCCTCGGCCTGAACCTGGCGTACTCGGAGCTGTATATCGGGTTCGCCACACTGATCCGAAGACATAAGCTACGACTGGTTGATACTTCTGTACGAGATGTGGCATTTTATGCAGAGAACACAATCTTGTTTCCATGGCCTGGAACTCAGGGGATCCGGGTGTTAGTGGATAGCTAGAGTGTGAGCAATGGGTATATTATGAGGTATTACGCTGAGCTAGTGGAGATGCCGGCGGTTTGGCGCATTGAAGGAGGCAAGTCTGGCTTGAGGCTTTTTGTTACACTGATGATCGCCTCGAAAACCCCTTTAGGAATGGGGCCAACTTGACTAGATGAGGGAATGTGCTCTGGGACCTAACGAGTCTCAGTAGAGCTGATAGAATTCGAGGTATCATAGCAACTCGGTGTTCTATTTATAACAGACTTAGAATTAACAGTAATCTTTTGCAGTCGGTATAACATTCATATATCATCAACAAATTCAAATCTTGCTCAGGTAGGCGACGCATCTTCGATAATCAGTGCACCTAGTCATACACATTCAAATCTCATGATGTCTCATAATTCCGATAGGGAATTCGTATAGGCCAATGGTTGCTTCATACGCTTATCTTTTGGTCACTCTCTTGCGCCTCCCGTCGGTCGGGGAATGGGCGTCCAGTCACGTTGCGGCAGAAGCTGTCAGAACCACGTACATTCGACAGTACCCTAATCCCGAAGTGCAAGCTCGCACCCCGCGGTCTGGCCGGCACAGGCACAGGAAAAGTCACAGAACAATTCCAATCACCTGATTTGACGTGGCCCAGGCATTTTCAGGTTGCAACACCAGCTGCCCAAGCTGCTGATCTGCTCATCCCGACCCCGCGTCATCATGGAGGCCTTAACCCCCGACAGAACTACGACTCTTATCTTTCGACTACTACAAGCCATTTCCTCCGGCCAGTTGTACGATCATCAGTGTCACTTCATCTCGCAGAAATGGATGATGACGGTATGGTCCCGACGCCCCCGGCGTCCGCTGGAGCCTCTCCAAAGGGTTTCGATTTCAGCGCGGAGACTTTGGTAGGCCTTCTTATCTCGTGTGGCAAAATGGGTTGCTGTTAATCATAGCCTAACGTCGCGACAGTCCCAGTATCCCGCTGTCAAGCACGCAGCGCTTCCAGCCGATGGCGCAGGCCGCGATACCTTTTCCTTCAAGCACCTCGTGCTCCTCCTCTCCCTCGCTCCTGCTTTTGCGACATGGAAATTATGCGGAGGATACAACACCTTGGCAATCGCTCTATTCACTCTCCTGGTGCCCGTTGTCGCTGCATTCTGGTACGTTACATCGTGCATCTCGCCTCCGATCAACGAGAAAATTCGGAATCCGGGCCGGCCAATCGAAGAATACCTTACCTTCACAAAGGACCACGACCGAGACAGATACTGGGGAAGGCGTAAGATACCAATGGGTACTTTCACGAAGATGTACTTTGACGGTGAGGTGGATTTCAACGGTGATGCGTTGGAAATCCTGGAATGGAGGTATGACTGGGCGAGTTGGAGGTTTACGAGGGAGATGACGAGTTTTGTGGTGTTGACGTGGCTTCCCGAAGCGGTTGAGTCCTATCTGTTTCCAAGTGAGTCGGTTGAAACTTTGCGAGGGCCTTGAATACCAGAGCACTGACTGACTTGCCCTGTAGGAGAAAGACCACTCCTGGAAGATCAACGCGGCAGCGACTTTTACTCTTGGTTCCTTGGCCCACGATTGGCTTACACTTCAGGCATCATATCGGACATGAGCATCGAGGAATCGCTTGAAGAGCTCCAAGACAACAAGCTTGCTGCGGTCTGTGAAAAGATCAACCTACAACCAGGAGACCGGCTCCTCGACATTGGTTGCGGATGGGGTTCCCTCGTAACCTTCGCCAGCGTCAATTACGGTGCCCTCGCGACTGGGCTTACGATCGACCCGTTTCAAGCTGATTTGGGAAACTGGCGCCTCCAATCTGCAGAGATACCCGAAACCCAAAGCCGTATATGCAATCGGGCGTATGAGGGTCCCGACGAAAGGTATGACAAGATCGTATGTCTGCAGTCATCTGGGCAGGAGGATTTGAAAGTGGCCGGGTTCTTTGAGCGCTGCTATGAGATGCTCGCGGATGATGGGTTGTTTCATGTCGAGATCACCGCATCGAGACGTGCGTGGCAATATGAGGATTTGGTCTGGGGGTTGTTCTTGAAGAGGCATGTCATCCCTTGGATGACGATGGGATGGGACTTGGGGAAGTACGTGACTGCTCTCGAGGAGGCTGGATTTGAGATCCAAAGGTACGACTTTCTGACATCATCTTGTTCATTTGGCCAAAAGGTATGCTTACACACAACAGCCTCGACAACATCGGGCAGCATTATTCAGCCACCTTATGGAGGTGGTACAAGAATTGGACGGGCAATCGTGACAAGATCACAGCCAAGTACGGTGAAAAGTCATACCGGGTAAGTCTCCCACAAGAATCATCCCACGTTGCCTACAACGAAATATGCTCATGAACTTAGATCTGGGAATACTTCCTTGCGATGGCGACCATCGTATTCCGGCAAGGAACCATGGGTCGTTACCAGATTACCATGGTGAAGAATCTCAACGGAGTCCACCGTGAGGGTGTACAACAGACCCGGTTTTCTGTGGCTGAGGCGTTAGCCACCAGCAGAGCACAGGGGAAAAACAGGTTTCCTATTTAATACTTGGACTCCAGTTGAAGATATTAACTGTGCGAACTGATCACTTCATAAGTAATAAGTAATCTGCGAGGCTTCTTAAGGGTGTTGTAATTTGCAAGTGTTGTTGCTCTGTGCTGGAACAGTGGAAATAAGCTAGGGTATATTTGTGTTCGACGTGGAATTAGTGGCGGGTGCACATGATAACCCACGTTTAAATTGTTTAATCTAATAATACCACGACCGAGGAAAATGTCAACCTACACTGCGGAGTCAACGTGATTCTGATTAATAGGGTTAATGAGGTCTCGTCCTTGTAGAGACATGAACACAAACACTGTGCGCCTGCTGAACCAGCCAGCCTGTGTGGGTAAGACCTTCTTTGCACTCACACTCCCAATTTAACGCAGGATCGACGGCAATAAAATGAGTGGGCATTAGCCGTGATTGGCAAAAACAATGGACACTGTGGGAATTGAACCCACGACCTTTCACAAGGCGCATCGCCGGTGTCGACGAGGATGCGAAGCGAAAATCATACCCCTAGACCAAGCGCCCGTTGTTACAAGGCCTGACCTTCTGTCTACCTTGAAGCTGCGCGTACTCAGCTGGCTCTGAAAATATTTCCCTCGCTCTTCAGGGCCCCTAGGATTAGTCCTCCTTGTAAATGGATTCAATCCCCTTCCCGTTTTCTAGCTGCGGCTACTATGCTGCAACGCGTTGTAGCCGCGTCGGCAAACGTCACTTGCTATCATCGTGCTTGACTTTGCGTATACACGCCATTGTCCCTTGGATGATACCGTGGAAGTTAAAGTATCTATTAGAAACATTTTATACAGAGGCCTAATTATACATAGCATGTGAGAGTCATGCATATTGAAACATATCATGCCGGTGTTGTCATCTCACAAGCAGTGATCCGGGTTGGTATCCGACGGATTTCCCCACCACGTTGGGAACGGGTGCGGGTTGCCACTTGCACCAAACACTGCGAACGACAGGATGAAGATGATAAGTTGGGATCCTCCGTCCAGCGCAGCCCCAATGAGATAGTTGTACTTGTTGTAGATTCGCGGTCTTCTGCGACGGAGCCAGAACTGAGAGAAGACGCCCACTGCGATGGAAGACCAGATCCACGACGTATTACCGAAGAATGTACCGCCAGCAGATGCAATGATAATGGTTGTGTTGATTGGCCAATCCTTGATTCGAGGAACCAGTTTGATTAGACCCCAGTGCAGGATCGGGAGGGCTGCGCCGATGAGGAGCCCTAGGGGAACGACGAAATAGCGACCTGATGGGCCGTACATCTCTTTGGCGAGCGCCCACGTAATGGCTTGAGAGTTCAGACTCTGCATAGAAGAACCGCTCCAGACGATAGTACCAATGGGGTCGAGGAGAACCTCCCGTTGGTTCGTCACAATTGTGGTCATCACAGCGTAGTTCAACGCAGCACCAAGTAAAGTGCCGTAGATCTGGGTGCAGAACATGACGCGATGTGGGACCTTGGTGTATTGACCCACCTTCAGCCAGTTGGCGAGGCTTACGGCGAGAAGGATAACTTGATGGGACCAACTTGCGAAGAAGAGATTCGCGAGGGGTCTACCAGGGTGGAGAAACCCAGCAAACATTTTGGAGAGTTGGTTGGTGCTGACTCCGCTTCCGAAGAGGCCGTTGAGAATGCATGAAAATGGCGCGACGATGGTGCCAAGAAGCAGTGCGACTATGTAGCCCCACCAAGGCAACGTTGTCTCGCCGATGATGTTGACAACCAAACCGGCAATGAAGGTGAGGCCGAAGAGAGCGAGGTACCACCACATTGGAGTCTCTTTGTATTTCAGCATTGCCTGGTAGTGAATGTCAGGTTGGGTCTGGGTACGAGCACTCTTCCACGCCTCTTTCATATCTTTTCCATAGAAGATGATGACGTGGGTAATCAGCGCGCCAATTGCCATGCTGGCAGTGAGATAGCCCCAGACCGTACTAGACGACAGATTTGGCAGGCCAGCCTGGTCGACCTTGCCGTAGTCGATGATCCCACGGTCGTTCAGTACCGACGTCGTCGCCCATCTAGTGCCGTTATTGGCGAAGAGGGATGTAGACATAAAGGGGAATGACTTGGCACTCCAGGTGTTGCTGTAGAAGAGTGCTGGCATAACGATGTACCATATGGCATAACCGATCCATGAATTCACCTGTTGCTTAAAAGGGAGCGCAAGATACGTGCTTTGAATATACTGCCAATCCAGCGAGAAGTTGAGCAAGCCCATGCCTTCGTTCGAAGATGCTCCGCCGAAGATGGTTGTGATGACGGTGCGAGTATTGGTCGGCGCGCCCATGGACGCGAGGCAGAATATGGAAATGCCGCCAAACCAGGTCACCATGTAAGCTGGAAAAAGCTCCCACACAGCCGCGATTCCCATAGCGATTCCGAACTTCCTTAGGCGGTCGCGGTTGGCGATGCGGTCAAAATGCAGGTTTTGGAAGAGGACTACCTGGGGAAGAGTGCCCCAGTAGACCATCTCGCCCGGGTACACGACCAATGGGCGAAGAAGGCCGGCGAGGACGAAGCCGCAGAGAGAGATTGAGAAGGTGGCTAGTACCACAGTAGTGGCCGTGACTTCGCGGTCATAGAAGAGGCGCTCCACAGCGTAGATCTCGATTCCGGACAATCCATTATTGCCGGAAGACGCGATAAGAGATGCAACAACGTGTTCTTTAATGCCAAATGGTTGACCGGAGTTGGTAAATCGAAGGACTTTCTGCAGCAGAGGCCATTTAAAACGATCCGGCCGCGGCGTTGCTAGGGCCCAGGCCTCGCCAAATATGAACACCAAGAGTTGGAGAAAAACTGCAGAAACTGCCATTTGAGTCGGCTTGAACGTATAGAGCATCGTGATAACGCTGGCGAGGGCGGTAAGTGCGGTACCGAGGACGATGGAGCGAAACGTCAAGGCAGGGTCGCCGTCGTCGCGAACCGATACTACGAACTTGGACACATCAGCTCCTGTTTAATCATGTTAGACCTAGCAACCATGAACACTTCTTGGAGGAAACTTTACCAGTGCGAATGACCGGATAGCCGTTGACATATTCAACATCATCATTCACCAGTGCGTCTCCCGACTTCGCCTTTTCATCATCGCTCGTTGAAGCCTCAGACAGCGTTCCAGTGACGGTGGTTTCGAGAGCGCGCTTGTTCGAGTCGTCGATAACTTTATCGCCCGGCGACGGTTCCTTTGGGTTCGACATCTCTCAGGCACGACGACCGCAGAGCGAGAACGACAGAAAAGAGCGCCAAAGAGCGCTGAGGTTGCAGTATCGAACAGAAGAGGGTAGTGGAAGTTCTATTCGTTACTACGACGTGGTGATGTTACTGCGATGGCAGCATTCAATGCGGGGATGTTTGCAGCATATTTAGAATGATTCAACTTTGTATGATCGACTCGATGTGAATGGGCATAGAGTAAGCAAAGACAAAGGCCGCACGGTCAGCGGCTCACAATCGTCCATCATGGCTTCGACGGCACTGACTCTTGAGGGCAGGGATGATGCTGGAGGTTTTAGCCAACCCCATGACGTTTATTGTTCTTGTTTCTGCCAATGCGTTCATATGAGGAAACAATCTAGTTGCAAGCCGAAGTCGTCGGATCTCCTTAGCCTCTCATGTTATGATGAAACTGAAAACTTAAAAGCGTCCAGTGAGGCAACACCGTCAAGCTGAAACTCGTCGCCGACACGGCCGCTTGCAACGCCGAGATATCTGAGATAAAAAGGACTGTTGACAATCATTACAGAGGTAGTAATGTTCATAGTCAGGTGACCTCCGTCAGTCAACCCAAATTCAACCAACAGCCCAGATGTCGAGTTTGCTAGTCTATCTCCCCACGTGGTGACCCCCACAGAATCAGATGCACAGCTGGAGAGTAGGACGGTCCCATTCTTCGATACAAAACCCGACCGATGGGTATCGCCGGTGGGGGAACGCGCATCGATCCAAACCACGGAGTACGGGCCGATGCGCGCGTGTCCCCAATGCCAAGATCCCACTGCTTGTGTGAATGGCACTGAACCCCAGTTCTTGTCATGGTAACCTGATCCAGAGAAATTCAGAGCTGCATCTCCAAGCTTGAAGTGGGCAATTGCAGAAGCGTCCGGCTGTGGATTCGACCAACCGACACCGGGAAGAACCTGTTGCTCGGCGCCGGGTGCATTCAGTCCACAGGGGTATCTTGACGGCAAAGTCTAGATAAAGATTAGCTATGGGAGATTCGGGAAGAATTTCAACAATCCGAACGAACCGATCTCAATGATAAACTTCCGTAGACTCCATATTTGGGAGAGTTGAGAATGACCTTGAACGATGTTTCGTTCGAGTCCAGGCCTCGACCGCCAAAGGAGGCATTGGCGCCTCCCCATGCCCCATCAATCTCGTGCTTGTCTTCACTCTCGATTATAAGCGCTCCATCGGAGGCAGGAATTGTGTGGCTGAATGCGCTGCCATTGGCGAAACTGCCAGATACGATGACAGACATTGGCCCGCCCGTGTCGGATGAGGGGAATGCGGTTGAACTGGCCATTAAGAACACGACCGATATCGACTCGTTCGATGAGGTAGAGACTGCGTCAAAATACCACCTGTTTTTCAACCAATTTGTGAGTATGATTTGAAGACTGGGGGAAAGGGGATGGGATCTTGAGGCCAGGGGCTTCTTCCATACCAATCATATGTTGTTGCATTCGGGCCTGGGTTGAGTCGCGGGTCGTCGGGACTAGTCGACGCGAAGTCCACGTGAACATCGCCAGACTGAAGTTCGTTCGGGAAGAAAGTCTGTTGGCTTGCAGCTATTCCGACAGAAATCGCGGCGATCACCGCATTAGATAGAAGATTCTTCATGTTTGTCGCTGCTGCTTGACTTCTCTCCCGATGGATCGTAGCACTGCAAGCGCACGGGAGAGGATTGGCGATTTACGAATAGCGACTGACAGAAACAAATGGTTGTCGAAATGAGTTTCGAAAGGAAACGGCCCGTTAATGACGCGTTTATATCGACGGAGCCATCCGTAAGCGGTGGCATCAAAGACGACGCTATCGTGGTAATCGTCCATGCAGCTTTGGCCGTCGCAATTTAGTAAGGTTTGGACCGCTTCATACGGACTTGCCGGCTCTCCGTTGTCCAACCCGAGGCGCTTTTCACGATCCTCCCAGATCTTGAGGAGGCCCATTGTGTAGGTGGGTGACTTCGTCCCGGGTACTAGGTACGTCAGGTTCAATCTGTAAAGGCCTTGTACAGACAAAACCCACCGCCATAGGTACTTTGCACAACCAGAAGCAATATCGTCAGTCCAATCAGACAAAAATCTACATTTACCTAAGAGCCGGACCAATTTTGGAACTGGTGGAGCACGATGTCAATCCCGAGCTTTGCAGTACACTCGGCGAAACTTAGCCCAATCTGGCAACAACTTCCCGCGATGATTTTCCCGGGGAGATAGCACGCAGTGCCGCGTAGCCATGCAAGGCTTTCTACATCGGCATTTCTCCTAAATAAGCAATCATGGTACATAATGTCATTGGCAAGAGTGCGTTGTGTTGTCATGGCTCAGGTCCTCCCATGTGGCGGTGCAAAGGAGACGGTTTTGAGAGCTATCCAAAACCGTCGACCGATGCCGAACCTCGGGTTTTCAGTCTAATGCATCACATATCGGAGCCGCGATGATGAACTGGCCCGCAGACACCAGAATGATGCTTCATGGGATAGTATTTATCATGGGTCTCGACGCTGGACAGTTGGACTGATACCATCACCATCCACCGTTAATCATCAACCCTCATACCAAAGGGCAGAGAACAAACACAAGTATGACTGCAAGCAACTTCAAAGTAATCGTCATTGGCGGAGGCCCTTCAGGACTTGTTACAGCCCATGCACTCCATCTGGCAGGCATAGACTTCATAGTCCTCGAGGGGAGAACCGATATCGTTGAAGATCTCGGCGCCAGCCTTGTTCTTGGTCCTCCAAGCATGCGAATCATGCATCAGTTTGGTATCTTCGAAAGATTGATGGAGATTGGATGCGAAATCAATGTCACCAAGTCCTTCGACTTCTACCGTCACGAGATGAAACATAGCACTAATATTCAGAACATGCGGAAGAAGTAAGTTTGGTCCACCTTTCAATCGCATGCTTTTGGCTGACAATAGTCCTTCTCAAGTCATGGTCTTGCTCCCGTGGCCTTTCATCGAGCGCAACTCGTTGAGACTCTGTACGACAATCTACCAGCTGAGGCAAAAGACAAAGTCGTTCTAGGCAAGAAGTTGGACGGTATTGAATCAGGGCCGAACGGGGTGACTGTTACGTGTGTTGACGGAAGCACATACGAAGGGTCCATCGTGATCGGTGCAGACGGTGTCCACAGCAAGACACGACGATGCATGAGACAGCTCGCCCTCCGCGCAAACCCATCTCAGGACTGGGATCCCGAGATTCCATTCCAAGCACACTACCGATGCCTGTGGGCAAGCTTCAAGAATCCTACAGAGCACGGCCAGAACTACGACACTCAACACAAGGACCGTAGCTTGATGTATATCACAGGCAAGGAGCGCGGCTGGATGTTCCTGTACCAAAAGCTCCCTGAGCCGACGACTCAACGAACGTCCTTCACTCAGGCCGATATCGAAGCATTCGCAGATGGGTTCAAAGATTTTCCGGCAAACGAGACTCTGTACGCAAGAGACCTGTGGGCGAGAAGAGTGACAACCGGTATGGCGAATCTTGAGGAAGGCATCTTGACCAACTGGAGTTGGGGCCGCATCGTTCTTGTGGGAGATGCCTGCCACAAGTTCACTCCTAACGCCGGCTTGGGCCTCAACAACGGCATTCAAGACGTGGTCATGCTCTGCAACGGTCTGCGAGAGGCAGTGTGTTCGGATTCCAGTGGAAAGCCCGGTATCTCAGCTCTCAGCAAGATCTTCAAAGGTTATCAAGAGACTCGCAAGGGAATGCTCAAACCCGAGGCGTCGCAGTCCGCCCAACTCACCCGCATGCAGTCTTGGGCTAGTACAGCCCACTATGTCATGTCCAAGTATGTGATGTCGACCGGCTGGGTAGAGTATCTTATGATCAAAACTTTGGCTGCAAATGGTATTCGACAAGCTCTTGTACTCGACTACGTTCCGGGCGAAGAGCCGATCAAAGGTCGTGTGAGTTGGAAGCATCCTATTCCATCACCAAAGGCGGTTCTGGAATGACAAAGGAGGCGTCAGCGAAAGGGTCACTTTGTTTGAATCGTTTGGGTTGATAGGCAGGTGCAATGGGTACTCAACAAGAGATAGATACTGATAGATTTGTTGTAATAATGATGATTCTGAAACTCAATCATGGTGCTGCCAATTAATCCACCTAAATCTTCAAGGCGAATATTAGTCGGTAGATTGCTTGAGTGAGAGGTATTTTTTGTTTTGCGCCCTACGCAACAAATGGAACAATTGAACAATAACGGTGACCTGGAGGTAGCAGTGTACGATATCGAAAATTCGATGCTGTTTCCTTCGTTGAACACTATGACCTTCTGGTTAAAAGTGTATGTCGACTCAGTTGCATGCATCCATTCCTGTCCTTTCCTCCTCATTCCCTCGCTTCTGATATTGTAAGTCATCCGTGTAATCAGAGGCTCATTCGGCCGCGATACCGCCGGTACGAGTCATTCGCCACTACCAAACAGGTCCGAACATTTGTTCCCTACTAAAGCGTATGATACTTCATGATGGCGGGAACGAGCAGTGGAAACAACAGGACACCGGGCAACTGATTGCTTCAAGATGGTCGAGAATCATCACAGTCTCAGCATCACCTTCAAACAGGTGGGTAAGATTTTGGTGGCGGCTGAGTCTCATCTCTGTGGCCACTGCCCGGCGCTTTCCAGTTTCGTGGTTGGCGGCACAGGCCCGGCTCCCGCCGGCCGGCAAGTTGCGATTGGCTCGTGAGGACTTCAGCAAGTCGGAATGATTGTAATCAGTACGAGTCAACTTCGCCTCAGAGCCGTTCGGCTTCGGAATCAATCAAGGTAAAGGTTCGTGTTTGTTCAACGACGGAAATTACTTCATTAGAATCTCCCGAGTCACTCACTCTGCCCATTCTGCTGGACCCCGGAGACACTATCGAACAGCTCCTGTCTGAACTTCTCACTTTGTCTGGTAGTGGATCTTTGCATTTCGATCTGAAGATGTCAACCCGTTGATGTGGATACTTGCCTTTGGCTCGTGCGGCCGTTATCCATCATTCAGACTAAGGGTCTGTGAACGAGCTTTCTAGATCTTCAGCCTCAATAGCAGACACATGTCTGATTTCGAAGTCATTCACGAGATTTCTTGCCATGAACAGCTCAGATGTCGGACAACAGTGCATGTACACATGCGCTTCCATTCCTCTTCCTGTTGGCTTTCTGAATCGGCGTCCATAGAAACGAAACATTACCAGTGGTTGCAAAGCAAATGAGAAGGCGCTGAATGAAAGCCAACAATGTGGGACGCTAGTGATGAAACGACAGTCAGGACGAACGTTGAAGATTACACCAAAAGTAAGTCCGTCGTTAAGTTCTCTGGGCAGAAATTCGTAAATCTGGGGATGAGTGAAGTTTACCAAAACCCCAGAGCCATCCAGACTTTGTCTGATTTCCGGCTCTAATTAGCCGCTGTCTTAGTATGCGAAGATTGAACTCTTCCAGGGTAACATCATCAGGCCAGGCCCTGATGACCTGAGCGCCCATCAAAACACCTAATCAGGAAATTTCATGAAAGGTCTCCCAAAGGTTAACCGTATGAGCAGAAAGATGGCTGAGAACATCTTGGCTTGATGTGGTCACGCACTGCAACCGACATAATCTAAGGAATCACCTATTGGAACCGAAACCGACCTGGGAATCTTTGACAGCTACGCGATCGACCAGGAACCCCCATAAGTGCAACAGTGTTAAAGACAGACTACCAATGGGAGTGTTCGTCAATCGTTCACGATCATATCCAGGGCATTCTTGGCTTGTCAAAGAATGACGAAACGCACCAATCACGAGCCATGATCCGGAAACAAGAATTGTCCATGTTTGGGCGGTCCCAATACATGCACAATTTCATGCATAAAAGAAATGCTGATAGAGGAACAAAATCGCGATCCTGTCAACAGCGCCTGTGCGAAGAAAAGAATTACCACTTTAGGGCTAGCCTCAGGGGCTTCTCCCGCAGATCTACAAACCGTTCGCGCCCATTAAGCTTCGTCGATACCCGTCCCGGTTGATCTTCCATGCCGGATAAGTCCTTATAAGGCGCTTAATGAAGTTTGCCGGCACTAATCCTGCACGACTTAAGACGAGAAACTGGCTGATTCAAGCATACATCGTCGTCCATTTCTGGTAATACATGGGATGTCCGTGGGAGCCGCTGGGAGAAAGGAATCAGGCCAGCCATGTGTTCGACGTATATCAGGTGAGCCCACCCGACATTGCGACATACTCGGTGTGCTGCCAACCTGTCAAAAGAAACACAAGCGAGTGCGAAGGGGAAGGGAAAAGGCTGAAGGTTGCAAACCGGAACCCGGCAGCTTGGCCATCATCACAAACTTGACAGCCATGCCGAAATCACGAGCGTCATAGTCTTGCCGAGGCGGTGACACCGTCTGGTCCCGTTGGCACTTCTGGCAGGTCGCTGGCATTTTTCTGTGCCATTTTATTGAAGATAAGCGGACGAGGCGCGACATGCTCACTTGCGATTGGCTCATCATGAGCACAACTCTGTTTGTGTTTCAACTGAACAACGGCCGGTCCGCGCAACAATTGGTTTCAGCTTTGATACTACGAGCAGTCGCGGGCAGCAATTTCTAGCTGATCAACAGCCTGTGCCCCTTGCAGAGCCTCAGTGAAGCGGGAGAATTACCCGAAGGAAGGAAGTTTATTGGCTCCCCCGCAACGTACTAGGCATCCCGTTCGTGAGCTTATTGCACTAGTCCCCGTCGTAGAGATGCAGGCACAAGAACGACCAAGTGGCTTATACAGTTACTGATGAACGTCAAGGGTCACCCCTCAAGCTACACATGTCATCCCGCACAACGGCAGCATTCCATAACTCATCCGAGTTATTGCCTGCTGCCATCTGCCTCATTGGGGGCAGACCGTTAGACGTCCGGAGCCGGAATGTGGACTAGCAGCCTGCTTGGGCGCTCCCGTGCCAAGCTGTCTCCTTGAGCTGTCCCAATCAGGACCACCATGCGGCCAGGGACAGCACCAAGAACCTCCATTGCGTCTCACTACCCAAAAAAGGAAACTCTAAGGAGAAAAGTAGCTACCGGCCACACACATCCTACACTCAAGCTTCAACGCCCCAGACTGTCCCGAAAGGGAAAGTAGAGGGAGAAAGCAGGCGCTGAATAGCCTTGCCTAGTTGAACCCAGATACTCATAAAATCGTGCAACAGCCACACTCCATATCCTGTTCGAGTTTTGTAGTCGTCGTCGTTCTCCACACTATTCAAATCCACTCTACCGCTAGCGGCCCTTCGAATCTGTTATCTCTTCGATCGTAGTAACTTAATCAACAACTCAACCTCAACCGAATATGTACGTTTTCCAGATCCTCATCGTCGCCCTCCAGGCGTGGGCCATCACCGCTTCGCCAATTTTCCCTCGCCAACGCGATGTCATCACCGGGGCTCTCGGCATGGTTTCAGACTCTCTCTCCAAGCTCGATACAGCCGTCAAGGGCCTCTCCGCCAGTGACCCCAACTCCGCTGTCGCCGTTCTGAACGCTGCTCAAGGTGCGCAGACCGCACTCGGTTCCGCCACATCTACGATTGACGGCGCAAACAACCTGGGTCTCTTTGGTGCTCTTGGTCTTCAGCAGACTGCCACTGGCCTCGTGGACCAGGTCCAGACCACCCTTGGCGATCTCGCTCAGAAGAAGCCCGTTTTCGACCAGCTTGGAGTCACACCAGTCGTCAGGGACGCCCTTGCACAGCAGAAGGCTAGCAGCGGACAGCTTGGCGATACTCTCCTGGCCAAGGTGCCTGCGATTGCACGCCCGATTGCGCAGCAGAGCACCGGTCAACTCACCGAAGCCATTGACGGCGCTATCGCTGCGTTCTCTGCGTAGTTGATGGTCAGGTACGACGGCCGCGCTGGGTTTCGCGGCGGGATTACACTTTGGCAGACGTCAAGAAGTGGTTATTTGTGAGGGAGGTGGAAGTGAAGTGGCGAAGTGAATGAGAAAAGAGACGCAGGGGATGGAAGGGCCTCAGGCTTGTGGATTCAAAGAGGGTGAAGAGAGGGAGGTTGGCGAGGAATCACGGTGTCGTGAAGCGAGGGGAGACAGCGATGGAAAATTTGTGGAGGCCATGTAATCGAATCGAACTAATTCGCATTCGCCCTCGAGTCCCTCGTGAACGAGACAGCATCATGCAGACAGCATTTATGAGTACTACGGCCACCGAAAACAGACGGTAATTATATTTTCTGCCAACCAAGTCTTCGCAGTTCAATTTCAAATCGTGATGTGAACACGACGATATGTGTGTCTCCGTTATGGAAATAACTCCTACAGCCAGATGTTGCGTAGAAACCTACAGGCTGTACTTGAAAGTCAGCGCTTTATTGGAGAATATATGGCATCTTCAGTACCATTTTCATCATATCCCTCAAGGTTGACGTCTAGTTCCTTCGCGCGACTTGTCAAGGGCATGTCGAAGTGAGTCGCAGAGTCCCTGGAGTCAGCCGAAGCTCCAACTCATCACGCCCCGTCCAACGGCAACTCACGATACTCTAACGACGTCTCATTACCGTCACTGAAGCCTCTGCCAACTATCGTGAGCCCGACAACCTCACAACAAGCCGTTCGAGTCAGCCTTTTCGAAAGCCTCTCACAGACTTTCTCGCCGGGCGCACCCCCGGCGCGAGCCATGAACCAAGCGCAAAGTTTACCAACCAGAGTTGCTTTAGAGGCAAAAAGCGTAAAGCCCAGCTGCAACGATGCTGAGACTCCAGCCAACGAGATCGCCCTGGTTTCTAGGGACCGGGCCGTTACGAAACAGCAGGCATGTCCCTGACCAACGTCAGCCCAACGGCCGATGTAGGGCAGATTTTAGCATCGGTTATCTTTGCCTTTGCAGGAGTGCGGCCCTGTTTGGGTCGGGTTGTCAGGGGTCAACCCTCCTGATCCCGGCGATACGTCGCATGTTTATGGAGCAAAGGTTTCTATACTGGTCACTGTCAGGGTATTCTTGCCGCCATTGTCGGCTTGGCGTTGCGGCTTATGAGACTTCATTCGACCTATCACCTGTTGAGTGCCGGATGATGTCTTGGCGATGTCTTTGACCCCGTGTGGGACGTGCTGCTTGGCAACGGTTTTCCCACAGACTGAGCTTGGCGGGGCAGAAAGCTTTTTCGTCATGACACCCGTCAAAATCTAGCACTACAATGCTCTGCTCACTACACAGAGTTGGCGGCTAGAAGAGGGGTTCTGTGTCACTCCGCACTTACACACGTGTGCCCGGAATGCGGTAGTAATTGATGTGGTGTGGTTCTCTACTAATGCCAAAGCCTTTTTACCTTGCCGTAAGCTCAACCTTCAACGACTTACGGAACTCTCAAGTCGGAACCATTCCGACGTCAAGCCCCGCCACACTTGGCCGCTGCGAGCATAAATTCCCCGCTCGACTAAGCGCCAGCCGGGGAATTAAAGATGGTTTGTCTAATAGATAGCTCTCAGGCCATTGAACTATCTTCCTGCCAGGCAGGCTTTTGGATCCCGCCTAACCCGTTCTAGAAATTTGACAGAAACTCAGAAGCTTCGAAGCTAATGCAACGTGAAATGATCCCACTTCATCCACCCCATCAGATGTGCCGTCCTTGCAGCCGTTCCATCTGCCCGGGTTTTGACAAGTGATTTCTCTAGCAGCAACTTGGTTTTGAGGCTGTGCAACCAAATGTCAACTGGTGGTTTTCATGCGCGGATGGGGCCCCGACGCGTTTGGTCGGCGTCAAAGCGGGTGTCATTGATGTCAAAGAGTCTGACAGGCATAACAGCACACTGACATCCAGCTCACGAACAATGCGATGTGCACGCTTTGACAGGATACTGACGAAAAGGAAGACTAGATGCCATTTGAAAGTTGAGCATGGCACATGTAAGATGACATGAAAGTATCGCGTCTATTCAAGATCTTCTGTAAAGGGGAATGCAGGATTTCGCGCTGTCACTTGGCGCTGTGAAGTGGTCCGATCATCGTCCAAGGGCTGTAGGCCGGAATTGCGAGCCCAAAGACCATGGCACGACGAGGCTGCAAGTCTACTCCCTAACAGATTTCTTTTAATATCGTACAGATTTATGAACTTCATGTATTAATGAAAGTGCATCAGTTGACATATTGCCCGGGCGCAGACGATGCTCTCAGTAGCCTTTTTAGAGAACTCGATGAAGAGGGAATGACTTCTTTTTTCCTAGATCCATAATCATATCAAGTGCTTTCTCCCTCTTCGTGAAGTGCTCAGGAGCTCAAAGTGGTTCGCAGTATCATCGTCGGAAACAGCTTCGTGTATCCATTGACCTGTGTCTGATTACTCGTTCCAGACCTTCCATTTAGCCACGCCCACTTTTTCCCATGCCAGAACAACTACTTTGACTGTGGTTGTACACCTTGGTCTGCTCTACTGTTGTTTTCGTCGTTAAAATCTTCATTGATGCCGTCGTTGGCATCATTACTATCCATCGTCGTTGTTGTCATTGCCGTCGTCGCCATCACTATCTTGGACAAGAACGCCGCGGAGATACAAGCAGATTGAGTGGTCTCTCCCTTTATAGCTGAGTTCTTGACTGTTTTTGGGATCCAAACGAGATGATTTGCAAACAGAAAATCGCCTCAGGTTCGATTGGAACGTTTCGCCTCCTATGGTCCTTGTAATGAAGAGGTATCTGTGAATGTGTGTTGATAACACCAGAAGAGCACGGCACGAACTGCGACAGTTTAAGTAAAATCAACAAAAGTCGCAGCTCCAGATGCAACTACAATCAATCGAGATCTATCGCGTCATACAAACTTCTACATTTAGACCTTTTTTTTTTATAGGTACACGAGGGGCTCCCTTGTGTAACGCGAACTTGGACACTCACGGAAGGAACGATCCTAGAACACCACCTGCTCTAAATCCGAAAGGCAGGAACGGCTCGGAATTTCAACACCTCAGCTTCTTTCTTCTCCGCTCATAACTTCTAGACAACAACAACTTTCCCCCTCCTGCCCTGTCAATACCATCAATCTTCAACACGAACCCAACACCGACCACGACCTACTATGACGAGACGAGGATTCCTAGGCGTACGATGAATACACGTTCGATGACGGCCAGCGCCAATAACGGCGCCAACAACAACACCAACGGCGCGACGAAGCAGAGGCGGAGGGCGAAGAAGCCGAAGAGGACGAAGAGGGAGGATCCCGCCACCAAGCGCTACAGGCTGAAGAGCCTGGATCTTCAGCAGAAGATCAGGCTTGCCCTGGAGGCCAGGCGTATCGCGTCTTTAACCAATCCTCAAATTCCAAGGGAGTTCCACCCTTCCTTCCGAGGCAGTAGAGGTATCCCAGCTCCTGCTGTGTTCGTTGGTCTAGAGCTTATGGGATGGCGCCGATGTCATAACGAACGATGGAAGCATATGACACCCAAGGAACACGTTCGCCTGCAACAGCAAGTGCTTAAGCAGATCGACGCCCGCCCAGCTGAGTTTGACGCATCCACTGGCAAACGAATCCCCTCCGCTCGTTCGATGCTTGGCAAAGGTGGCATACCTCCACCCGAAGGGCTGAGTGTCGATGAAAGATTTGCTTGGCACAAAGCACATAACGCCCTCTGGGGGACGTTGAGCGAACGAGAGCGTTGTGAGATGAAGCAGCAGCAAACTTCCAACGGTCACTTTCCCAGAAAAGACGCGCCCAAAAACAACAGGGAGGACGACATCGCAAGGGAGCAGGAGACACCTAATGCTACAGCAGCCCAGGAGGGCATCGACTCCGTCCGCACGTCGAACAAGCGAGCTCGATCCCCTGAAGGTTCTGAAGCCTCATCAGACTCCTTCTACTACGATGCCGAAGATTTCATCACCGACAAGGAGCCCGCCACGATGCCCCCGAACCGGAAACGAGTGCGATTCGACGGCCCAGAGCCAACGATGGCGACCGAAGCACAGCTTGCGCAGCGACGTGACAGTCGAGAGGCCACCGCGGCCGACGGCCCAGAGTTCGGAGTGGCGGCCGAGGAATCCCTCACATCTAGCCTTGAGGTCCTAGAGCTAGCCGAAGAATCCCTCGCGCCGCGCGTCTTCGTGACTCCGAACCCGAACGTCAACCAGCCTTTCATACGCGTCGTCACCGTCGACTCAGAGGCCGAGTTCACGCAGAAGATGAATGATGGCGACGATACACCGGTCAGCTACTTCGACTTTGGGCCCGAGTTCCAGCTCTCGGAGTACGTGTCTCTCCCTACCTTTGCCCTCATCCCCATCCCTATCTTTTGCCGTCGTCCTCTATGCTTTCTTTGGCGTCGTCCTCCATCCCTATCTCTGCCGTCGTCCCCCGTCTCCACTTCTGCCCCCGTTACCCCTGTCTCTAGATTCCCATCCAGTATTCAACTAATGACATACTAGTCTCCACATCCACGAGATCCTCCTTCGCCGTCCCTCGTTCTTCCAGAGCGTCGTCCAAATAACCGCCGGCTCGCCTGAAATCCGCCTCCCTCTAACCGACATCGGCCTCGTGCGCCTCATCAGCGCCTGCCCCATCCTCGAGAACCTCAGCATCCACGGCGGCATCCACCTGTCCGACCGCAGCGTCGCGGCATTGATCTCCAAGTGCAAGTATATCCGCCACCTCGCCCTCTGTGGTGCCGACTTTGAGCCGAATAACGTATACGGCGCTGCGTTGCATCAGCTGTTCGGGACCCCGGTCGCGACCAGCCTGAACAAGATCGTGCTGAAAAATATCAAGGTATATGATGCGATGGTCAAGAGGCTTCGGGATGAGAGACCTGGGTTGAAAATTAGTCATTCTGGCTGAGCAGAAGGTGTCGAGATTCTGAGGGCTGCATGGTTTACTTGCTCGTTGCTATCGTGTCAGTGTAATTAGCTGGTTGCTCCAGAGAGATGTGAATGACACGGTCAAGTCATCACTAAAGCTGACCACCAAACGTATTTCTAACAAGATTAAATCGGCGTTTATTCGAGACCTCTCCTATATGAGCTGTATATCTATCCCGCCACGTCCCTTGCGCCGCGTTATGCATTCCGTCTATCCGTACTGTACACTTTACGTTACACATTTGGTGAAAGGAGATCGTACTTGACGCATCGCTCGACCTGTGCTTCGTCAGTCTGGTTACCTCATCAGTCGTGTAGGGGGTGTTGCTCACATCTTCGATGCTAGCCTGCAAGAACCGTCGCGTCTCCAGGCCCATCCACACCACTAGCATGCTAAAGTCGCCATGCTTCGCCATCTCCGTGCCGCTCTGCGCGCTCAGCTGCCGGAGGATGGGCAGAGAGCTGCTGAGAAGGTCCATATCGGGATTCAAGCTGCGTCCGATACCTTCCAGAAGGAGAATGCTAATGACGACATTGACGAAATCACCCTCCAGCCGCACGTGGTGCCCGCGGACCATGCCGAGGACCTCCTGCAGGATGTCGCCGATCTTGATGTTACCCAGCGCGAGGGTGCGGCTCTTGACGCCGAGGACGAGGTGCTGCATCTTGAGCGCGAAGATCTCCTTGTCGAGCACGGCGTCGGGCTGGCGGCAGCGCTCGCACATGAGATTGCCGGCCTTGTAGCCGTCGAACTCTGCGACAGCGCGGAAGAGGTCGAGGAAGTTGCGGCGGTTCGTCTCGTTGAGCTCGGTGACGAGGCCCGTGTCGATGAAGATGAGCTGCGGGCGGAAGCCCTCGCGGTCGATCTTGGCGAGCTCGGCGTCCCAGGCGGCGGGGTCTGCGCGGTGGCGGAAAGGACGCAGGCGCGCGAGGACCTGCTCGGTGACGTCGTTCTGCTCCTGCGGGTGGTGGTGCGTTGTTGACCGGCGGAACTTGAGGTCGGGCTCGTCGGACTGGTAGAAGCGCACCATGATGTTGCCCGGGTGCAGGTCCGCGTGGACGAAGTTGTCGATGAGGAGCATGCGGAGGAAGGCGTCGAGGCCCTCGGAGGCGATGTCGTGCTGGAAGACGCCGCCGCCGTTCTCCATGAAGTCGGCGAGCGGGATGCCCTGGGCGAACTCCTCGACGAGGACGTTGCGGGTGGTGAACTCGGTGTATGGGTAGGGGAACCAGGCGGTGCTGCGGTCGGTGAAGTTCTTGCGGAACTTTGCGAGGTTGGCGGCCTCGATGCGCAGGTCGAGCTGGAGCTTCATCATCTCGCCGAACTGGGCGACCTCGTCGGGGAGGGAGAGCCACTCGATGGTGGGGATGGCGTTGAGGGCGGAGGCGAAGAAATGCATGATGCGCAGGTCGCGGCGGACGATGCGCTCGACGCGCGGGTGGAGGACCTTGACGGCGACGTAGGTCGAGGGGACGCGTTTGGGCGTGCTCTTGAGGGCGGCGTCGACGTTCTTGGCGACCTTTTGACGGAGAGGTTTTGGCTCGTTGGGGAGGTCGGCGTTGGGGGCGGCGAGGTCAGCCTTGAGCTTGGCCTTGTATACCTGCGCGATGGCGCCGACACCGAGGGGCTCCTCGTCGAATTCCTCGAAAATGTCTGCAAAGTCGCGGCCGTCGAAGGCGGCAGAGACAATGAGCTTGGTCTGACGAATGGAGTGCGCCGGGGCGTTAGAGTGGAGTTTGGACATGATTTCGCACATTTCGTTCGGGAAGATGTCGGATCGTGATGCCGCCCATTGACCGAGCTGCTCTACGTCAGGAGTTGCGCATGAGATCTGGAGACGAAAAGCTCACCTTGATGAAGGCCGGACCGGCCCATTCCATCGATTGCACCAGGAAGCCGTACCACCACAGTGTTCCACTCCGCTCATTGTCGCGGTCAGGCTGCCGTCTCCCGATCCATATCGCTGGCACAGCAAGGAGGACTGGAACAAAGATGGCGGCAAGATGAAGGAACCGTACGCCGGTGCATATGGGCTCCCAAATGTAAACGTCCACCACGAGTTTCAGCGTGTGCCAGACCCTCGATACCCCGCGATCATCATCAGCGACCGTCTTCTTGATCTCGGAGCGGCTGGCCGCCAACATGCGCTTCTCCCCCGTCTGATCGGTGCCCTCGTTGTCCTTCTGCGACAGCTCGAAGAAGGCCGCCGTGCCCAGCGCACTCACGCCCGCACCACCCGCGCGCAGCGTGTACCGCGCATACTGCTTATTCCGCCATGGTATGCGTCGCGCCTCGGGGCTGCGAAAGGACCCTCGGAAGGTGGAGTAAAGCCGCGCGCTGCTGCTGTTGCTGCTTGGTGCTCGGAAGCCCGGACGTGGACAGAACCGGCCGAGGACGAAGGCCAGTCTCATCTCGAGGGAGGGATGGGGTTGGAAGAGCGGGAGTTTGGTGTCATTCTCAGCGATTGGAGCGGTGGTTGCGAACCGGAGCTATTCGGGGGCGGTCTCACGATGACGGAGAGATGGGAGCTCGTCGCGCGGGATCGCGGGGAGCAGGGGACCGGGAATGGACGCTTTGGGATGGTGGTGACGTAGGGATTTCGCGGGTGGGAATTCTGCGCCGTCTGCACCCACGAAGATCGGGGAAATGTCGGGGAAACATGTGGCTGACTATCGATGACACTCCATTTTTTTTTTTCTGGGCAAGGCGATTCCGCCCGCGCGGAAGGAGCAGCGTTGCGGGTCCATCCAATGGCGCGAAACGGGCGACTGGGACCGCTGGAAATTTTGGCGAACCACTGCGGTGCACGTCGATTACGATTACCACCCACTGGCAACTGCAGAACCCGAATCCACCAGCGGCAGAAGCTTCCATTCCACTTCTTTATCCGCGATTATTCCTTATCGACATCTTTGCGACGCTTTTTTTTTTTTTTTTTTCCCTCCGATCATCCCCAACGAACACCGTCCACCCCCGCCGCAACACCCTCTGGTCCTGTACGATAATACCGAATACCTTCTCTACCTATCTGTCTATCGCACACCATGGGCTGGTTTTGGGCCGATGCTCCTGCGCACCCCCACGGCGGCCTTCCATCTGGCTCGCCTCCAGTATGTTTCCCTCGCCCATGCCCCTCCATGTCTAGATGCTTACACAAAGCCAGCCCAGCTGCCCGATGCACAAGAAGACGGCCGAGGCCCTGAACACGACACCGAAGCCCTCCGCCTGCCCCATCCCTCACGACCAACGCCACTTCGCGACACCACCACCTCCTCCGCCATCAGCATGCCCCGTGCCACACGACCAGCGCCATGCCGGCCCTCCCCCGTCCTCATGTCCCGTCCCCCACGACCAACCGAAGCCCGAGTCCAAGTCCATCCTCTCCCAGCTGAACCCCCTCAATTACATGTTCAAGGACATCTCCCAGGCGCCCGCCCAGAACCAGGCCATGGCCCTGCCCACCGAGCGCGAGCCCTCGACGATACCAAAGGGCTCTGGCGACGGCAACTGGGAGTACCCCTCGCCCCAGCAGATGTACAACGCGCTGCTGCGCAAGGGCTACACCGACACCGACATCACCGCCGTCGAGTCCATGGTGTCCGTCCACAACTTCCTCAACGAGGGCGCCTGGGCCGAGATCGTCGGCTGGGAGGACCGCTTCAGCCAGGGCTTGTACAAGGGCTGGCAGGTCTGCAAGCGCGGCGAGGAGAACTCGGAGGCGGAGCTCGAGAAGATGAGGACCGGCACTGAGGACATCCCTTCCCTCGTCCGCTTCCAGGGCAGGCCCAAGGACATGACGCCCAAGGCTATCATGTGGCAGGTCCTCGGAACCCTCTACCCCTCCAAGTTTGAGTAAGCTGCGCCCATACCGAAGGAGAGAACATCGGTGCTAACGTTCAAAACAGGACCGAGCCCCCCTTCGACCGCCACGACTGGTTTGTTTCTCGCAGGATAGGCGGCACCACCAAGGAGATCCGCTACATCATCGACTATTACTCCGGCGAGGCCGACCCCGACAGCGACGAGCCGGTGTTCTACCTCGACGTCCGCCCGGCCATGACGCCCCTCGGCGCTGCGGAGCGTCTCATCAGGTGGGGCAGCGACGTCTGGTGGAAGGCCTCGGGCGCCGAGGTCCGCGAGCGGGAGCAGCTCGAGCAGCTGCAGCAGAAGAAGTAAATACACGCCACGACCGACCAATCACCAAAGACGGAAAATGCCTGTGCGACTTGTAACAACTTGTTTTTTTTTAGACGCCCAGCATTGTTTTGCGAGGGCCGGTTGATGGCGGCGTTTTGTTATCACGAAAGTATGAGATGCCTGGCGGTCTGAGTGCTTAGGATCCAGAAAAAAGGATATGCCCTTCCTTCTCCCCTCTTCCTAGTGTCTTCTAATCTACCCATACGGGTTTCCTGTACAGTATTCCATCACCGGCGGTCACGTTTCACGTCCTTTGTATCTTCAACGCCGAGATGAAATGGTCAAATAATGATTCAAATTCCACATTACTTCCACTACTTGACTCGCACTACATCCCCCAAATATTACGTCTTAGGTAGTCTTGGCCGCCAGCGCAGTAACCTGGTCCAGCAGCGCCTTATCCTCCTTGGGCGCGTTCTTCAGCACCTTGTCCCTCAGATGGTCAACCTGCTGCCCCGCCGCCGTGGGCGGGTTTCCCTGCGCGGTCGCGATCCGCTGCACCTGCATGCTCAGAAAGAACTTGGGCACCTTGATCGCCAGGTTGCCGCCGACGCTGCGGATGCCGGCCTCGGTGGCCACGTAGGCGTCGAGCTGGTTCTGGAAGGTGGCCAGGTCGTTGGACGCGAGCGGCTCCGTGGTGGCGAACTTGTCGAGGGCGAAGGCGAGCGGCGTCTGGCCCTTGGCGTCGGCGAAGTTGATGGAGGAGAACTTGACGCTGCCGGCGGAGACGTCGGGGACGCCGGAGAGCGTCTTCTTGGAGGTGTCGCAGGTCACTTTGTTCTGGAGCGAGGTGACGGCGTCGGAGACTTCTTGGGGCAGGACGGTGTTGCCGACGATGAAGCAGGCGTTTTGGCGGGGGGCGAGCTGGGGGGCTGGAGGCTTCTGTGAGTATGGATATGTCGGATGAGGAAGGATGGGACTTGGCTTACCTGCCATGGCAGCACCGGCGCCGGCGGCGAGGACGATGAGAGAAAGCTGCATCTTTACTTGATTAAAACAACTTGGTCGTGTCTGAAGAAAAGAAGGGAATGTAGTTTTTGCGGAAAGTGGAATTCAGAACCAGAATTGAAACCTTGCCGGAAGGATAGAAAAAAGAACGAATGGAATACTCTTCAAAACATCTCAAGATACACGGCGAGGGAGGAGGGACATGATCGCCTTTTAAGCATCACATCAGTTGCCAGGGGATGGGAGGGGGGAGCAGGAGCAGGGAGGGCTCTTGGCAAATAAGCATAGGGCGCGGATCGCGGGACCCCCGGTTCGAGTCTAAACATCGCCAAAACCTGCACCAGGTGGTGGAGGTGGGTGGCATCCCATCGTGTGGGCTTTCGTTTACCGACGTCTCCTGACTCTCTGTCTCTGTTCTGGGATGAGCAGAGAGAGAGAGACCGGGATGCTGCGCCTTGTCAGCATGGAGCTGCAAATCTCAACGGATGATGGGTGCCGCGGGAGAGTCTAATTTGGCCATGGTGTGAAGGAGTCCGCGCGAAGCGTGGGCGATGAAGCACGGGCGAGAAAGATACTGGGAGAGCCTCATGGGAGACAGAAAAGGCAGAGCTCGCGCTTGCAACAGGAACAGTCTCGAGAGCTTGTCGGCGCGTGCTACTTTCGGTAAGGCTGTCCCTTGATGGCTGAGCCGCAACATCCACCCTAACCGTTTTCTCTCTCTTCCTCTCCCCCCTTCTCCAGGCTTACAATCCGGTTCCTTGCACCTGTCAGGTCTGGGACGGCGTCGTCTGAAGAGAGATGCGACGTGGTGGGGTGTTCGACTCTTCTTTCGCTTCAGATCCGACGAGCCCCGGCCCCCTGCGCGGCTCCACACCGGACGGTTTCAGGGGATGGAGGACCCAATCAGACACGCGAAGCCAGGGATGGGTGGTGTTGCAGAGTTGGGGGATATCTTTGGGCGGCTGCGACGTGCTTCACGGGGTTTCTCGCTTTTTGGCTTGGGAGGTTTTGGGTGTTGAGGACGGAGGTTGAGACCGCGGATGGGATATGGGATGGGAGTGCTGGACTTGGCTCGGTTGGTCGGCCGAAGGGGGTGTGTGCTATTGAGACGTGAGCGACGTATAGGTGCCGCTTGGATCGTACTTGTTTTCATTTCCCTTTTCTGTGCAGCGTCTGCGGTAAGGAGAGGAAGGTGTTGAATCATAAATAACCCGCGGCACCCATGGTTGATGAGACAGTTTCCTCTGAGCTGGTTTGTGCTCCGCGTGAAGCGTGGTATTGGAAGCTTGGCGTTAGCATGAACAGGTGCTTGACTCTTGGAGATGGGCAGTTGATGCAGACGAGCCGGATCCCGACACGAGTTCCCCCCCGACGTCAATGAATGACAGCGTGCTTGGCGTGGTATCTCTCGGCGCGGTTGTTGAAGATCGCCAAAGTGGTGAGGGAGATCTGTTTCTGGCGGTATTGCATGATGCGCGCGACTGAATGGTCTGGATGAATAAGCAGACAACAACACCACCACAAATGACATGCACCTTTCTACCAGAGCCAATTCGGGCTTGCTTGCATCTTTGTCGTCGACTTTTGGTTATTACCTCCGCGCCTAGCGCCTTCTTTCGAGCTTGGGACCGGTCGCCACAACTCAAAAGTGCGATAGATTGCATAAGCCAGGATGATATCGTATCTGACCCCACACGTCGATTGGCCCAGGCTCTCGCGCAATATCGATCGGGGATGGCTGCAGTGAGCCCACTTCGAACCGACGATGGCGATGATATAAAACTCACGGAGCCTGCGATTTGGCCTGTGAAAAGTCTCATTGTTATTTTGAAGGTAATCTCTTAAAAGCAAATTCAGATCAGAGTCAACATGGGCTTCACCGAATTTTCCTACTTCGCCTCCAAATCCGGCGCCCCCTTCCCGGACCCCGACACGCCGGAGGGCAAGGACATCAAGCACATGCTCGAGACCGCCGCCGCGCAGCCCGGCGCGGGGCGGATCTACTGGGGCCACGCGGTCGAGAAGCCGCACCGGCAGTGGCTGTTTTTGGACTGGGATAGCGTCGAGGAGCATCTTGCGTACCGCACGACGCCGTGGGTCACTCCACTGTGTTTATAAAATGATGAACTAATCTTAAGATAGGGGACACGACGTCGTTGCCAAGAGCATGTCGTCTTACCTCGACTGGACGGACGGCTACATCAAGCACATCGTCACGAAGCCCTGGCCGCCTACGATCCTCGCCGAGGCCCCTGTTACTGAGGTGCTGACGCTTTTCTTCCCTGCGGAGCTGGAGGAGCCTGCCAAGGAAGACTTGAGTAAGCAGCTTGAAGTGTTCAAGGTGAAGGCGCTCGATACGTCGTCTGATTCCAAGGGTATCGCGTATGGATGGAGCAAGGAGAATGATGTACCCATCACGGGCGAGGATGGCAAGGCAGGGAATTTGTTGGTGGCTTTTATTGGGTGGCCGAGTGTTGAGGCGCATCTGAAGTTTAGGGAGACAGAGGCCTTCAGGGACAATATTGGCCTGTTGAGGGAGATGAAGGGAATTGTTAAGTTGGGTATTTTTCATGTAGCTTGCAGGAGTCTATCGTCTACGAAGAAGAAGTAAGAGGGTTGGGTCGTTCTCTCCAGATCTCTCTTCTGATATCGTGGCTGTCTCGCCGTAACCTAATGTCAACTTCACTCGCTCTCACCATGATTGGTATACGGAGACTGGTCGCTTGACATGCGTTGTACACTGGTTGAAAGGGCCAAAGGCTTCACCCAGTAGCGGCAGTATTCCCCCTCAGCTAATCACAGAGATGGCGGGCGATGCCTTGGGGTCAATGGTATCAAGATGGTATCACGATGAAGTCGACCCGGACAGCGGCCAGTAGGAACATTTTCCCCCTGAATTCGAGGCTAGTTATCCTACAGGACTCTCTGCCTCCTATAACAATCCCCTTTCTCCCATATCAGGATCTCTAAACTCAGTGAGGCCGCCATTTGCGCTTAATGGCCTGCCGTTGCTCCCAAGCAGGCCTGCATTCTCTGCTCAGCGGCCGTTGAGCAGCTTTCTGGTTTTGAACCCTTCCCACCCCTTGCTTCAGACAGGTCGTTTGATCCTCGTTCTGCATCCTAGTCCTTCTAGTATTCATCATGACCGTCCGAAAGCCTCGAGAGGAATGAGACCTTACTTACAGGAGCCGTCTCCGACAAGGTGAGGGCCCAAGGCGATCATAGTTGTGATGATCAACAACGGGTAGTAATGTGTGGCCAATATCTTTCGAGTAGTTTGAGTCTGTTTGAGGGCACAGTCACCTTGCGTCGGAAGCGAAGGCGATACCGCATGTTGGGGCTGGTGAAAGGTGGCGTATTCGTCGCAGTACGGCGGAAACTCAGAGAAGGATAAAGATGAAGAGGAGAGCCGTGAGATTGAGAGTGATCTCTCTGTAGGCGTAGGCGGGTCCGAAGATGAGCCTTCGGACCCCAGTATCGAAGCTGCCGAGGGCCCAGCAACAAGAGTAAGCTGCAAGGGTAACGGGGTACTTTGTCCGATGGAGACTGAATCCAGTTCAACATCAATGTGCCATCCGGCAAGCTGCCCCTCACCACCAGGATCTGCTTCACCGAGATCGCATTCACCATCGCTAGTGTCGGTGCAGCTGATGTCGTCGTCTTCGTCGTAGTCGTCAAGTGGTTCGCCAAAGTGTGACTGTAGTATTCGGACTGACTTTTCGCAGAGCCACGGGCCCGCTGAGTATCGAGATGACCGGCCGTATGGCTCGAGTGCCTTGTAGGGGATGGTATGATTTTCTCCAATGTACACGTACGACTTCTTCCGCAACGAGGGGCTTTCGGGACGTCTCTTCAGACGCCGTATGGACGATATGGGGTGGAGGGCGTCGTCGATGGGTAGGTAATGGGCATAGTCCTCCTCGCGGTCGAGAACGTAGGCGACGGGTGTGTCCTTAAAAGACGTCAACTGTAGAGATGGTCAGCAAGACATTATTCGGTGGACGGTCAGAGGGGCAAGGGTCGTCATCAACCATGGCTATCTTCACACGGCCAACGCCATCAGGCCGCGAGGATATGATCACCCCTGGATGGTTGTAGCCTGTTCTCTCCAGGTCGGGCTTCAGTCGAGCGGTAATCCGGTTCTTCGGTGGAACAAATACGATCTTTCCAGCCAGGGGCTCTGTCGTCTCCTCCAGTGGTCGTCGCTTCTGTTGAGGTTTGGGAGGCATCGAGGGTTTCGAGAAATGGGCGGTCGCCTTGGAATCCAGACACTTCGAGGTGTTGCTATGGAAAAGAGGATAAAGGGTATGTCATACTGTCCAAGCTAGGCGAGATGCAAAGAAAGTTCACTTGATAGCATGGTGCTTGGGAGTCGAGAAAACTCTGTACGCTGTCTAATAGGTGGCTCAATAATTCAAATGAGGGCCTGATCGAACTCATCCTCAGCCTTGCTGTTGTAATCTGCCAGCCTTGTTGGATTATGCAGCCATCTCTGAATGAATAACTCCTTGCATACATGCTTTGATGCCATTGAAACTCCTTTGATGCCTTTAATCTCTACATTCCTTGTCTTCCTTGTCCTCCTTGCCTACCAAAAGCCGAACACCAACCAAAAGCCATACCAGAGCAAAGCCTCCCCACAAAGAATGGCCACGAGAATGCTGGCCATCAGACAGAAGAAGCCCTTGTCCAACTTGGTGTTCGCCTTAGCCATCTCCCTCTCCTTAACTGCCATCCTTTGAATCTTGATGGCCATCCGCTCGTCGGCCTTCTCCTTCTTGGCCACCTGTCGTTGCTCCTTCTTCTCTTGACGCTCTGCCTCTCTCTGGTCCCAGAGGGCCCTGCGCTTCTCCTTCTCTGCATCTTTCTCGATCTTCCGCTTCTTTCTCTCAATAGCCCGCTGCTCCCTCAAGTAATCTTCTTCCTCTGTGTAGCCCATCTCCGTGACGAGGATACCGAACGACTTCGAACTCAGACTGGTGCCTTGATGCGCTCTCAGCACGTCGCGGTGGATTGTGTAAGGTCCTCCTTGTAACATCACGTATGCCGGTCTGTAGGCTTTGTTGCTTGGGCTAGGTCCCGCCAAATGGAGCTGTAGGCCCAAGTCTGCGTGGGGAGGCGTCGGGGCGACGGGTAGATACTTCTCACGAAACTTCCAGTGGAAGGCCATGTCCTCCGTGATGTTTCTACCGTTGGCCGAAGTCATCTGTAGTCGTGTTAACCATATTCGAAACCATCAGGTGAGAGTCGCATACCGTTAGAGCTCTCACAGTGCCATCGTCGCGAGGTGCATGGGACATAATCAACACAGGGTGATTATAGACCCCGGGTGGCAGATCGGTGTCAAGTGAAGGGCTGATCTCCTCCTTTTTGGGCAGCCATAAGATCTTGCCCGCCAACGTTCTGCCGTAAACGGGCTTGGCGCCGCCTGGCTGGCCCTTGGATGCCATCAAGGCGAGGTTTGGAGTTGGAAAAATCGTCGGCGAGGCGGATGAAGCTTGCAAGGTTGATATGAATCAGCAACCCCGGAGGTTGTTAATTTGTGGACGTCTGCCGGCTCGCTTCAATCGGTGATGAGAGCTGTGGGCCGAGATGTGGTCGGCAAGGTGTGACAATTGAAAGTGGGTTGCGCAAAAACGTCGGCTGCCAGTTTGGCACACCAACAAGAAACCATCAACCAATCAGATGCGCTCATTTTCCTGGGCTTTTGGCCTCACTGTCAAGGAGGACGCCGGCACGTACAAAGGAGTGAGTCGTTGTGGGGACGGACCAGTGGGTGTGAAGTTGCCTTCGCGTGGCTCAATGTAAGCTTAACCATAAAATAAACATCTCGGGCTCGTGGCACTTGAGCCAACATCTAGGTTCAAAACCTTATTCGAACAATGAATACAAGGGTTTCTGTATATACAAAAGTGATTTTCGATGCTCTGCCCAAACACATCAACCTGAATCAGGAGAGCATGGGCCGACCTTTCTCAATGAAGCTCCGTTCGACAGCTCTTGGCCATCATCTAGCCCGATTCCGCAAAGATTGTTGACGTGGACCTTATAGAGCTGACCACCGCCAGGTCCTGTCGGGTCCTTCATTGCTATGGTAGTGTCGAAGGGAATGCACTTGGTGTCGACGACGGCTTGGTTGATGTTCAGAAGTTCGATCGAGCATGCGTCCTGTCGGGCCAAGGCGAAGCCGGCGAAAAGCGCCGCGGAGGCCGCGACTTGTGCAAATCTCATATTGAAAGATTCGAGAGTTGAAGATTGATTTCTCAGGTCGTTCGAAGTCCCTTGATCTCAATGAATATGAAAGGCTGATATTGTCGGAACGAGCAGGCCAGCCTGTGACACTTGCTGCTTAATCGATCGAGTAGATGAAGGTGAAGAGTGGCAGTAATTCTACTGAAAACTTTAGGAAGGGGATGCCGAGCTGTGGTGTATATGTACAGGCTGTGAAATAGTGAACGCTCGGTAACATGACTCAAGATACTCAACATCCCCATTGATTTTCGCGACTCGATCCAGACCGTATCACGGCTTGGCCGAACCATTCCCTCGGAGCTGTGGGTCCATGTGCTGGGATCTAGAGTAATCTGTAGCAGAAACCCTCCGGCTCGCGAGACGCGTGCGTACAGACCAAGCGGAGAATATGTCATCTCCCCGACCGGAACTTGGTGCCGGGCACATGATCCTGGCAACTGAGTGTGAGCGCTGGCGACAGAACGATGGAAGGAATCTACAAGCAGCTTCGGGCGCACTATTGGCTTTATTGAGGTGATGGGAAATATTGACAGCCTTGCGAATGTTCAAGTACCATTCATTTCTGAAGTTGACGCATGACCTTGCGGCCTGATTTCAGGAGTCCTCGGCTTCTTCAGCTTTCACGTCAAACCAGCCTAACGAACTCTATTATAATTATCGTGTCAGTGCCATCCATGTTCATCTGTTGTTCTTCCTAAATCCCTGTTCATTCAGACGATCGCCAGCCTCTCAGTTTCTGCATTGTGTAGTACTGGGCAAGTGAAATGTTCCTGTTCAATATCGTGCTGAAATTGCTACCTGAGGTGCTGTCACATCTCCAGGACAAGTTAGTTGAATACATCTTGGTGCGATTTCCAACCAATAATTGACCCATCTCTCTTGAGTTACTTTCTGCCATTATCTATTCAATCTATGCGTGCAAACTATTGGAGGGAAAGATGATAACACATTGAAATTACTACCGAGATAAAAGCGTTCAGAGGAGGTGTTTTCCCAACGCAGCAAAGCAAATGAACAACAATGCCTCCCAGGACTTTCAAACGGCAGAAATATGACACATCATACAGATCAGACGGGAGGCGATGATAGATTTTGAACAGCGCAAGTTGTTCACACTGGCGGGTCTCACATCGCAAGCGGGCGGAGTTCCCAATCGAGAAGTCCGAAAGACAGCACAGAGTCCACCCTCGGAGATGGGCCGCTCAGAGAGACCTCATTCTCAATGTAGATGCTGATTAAGCGGCGAAAAGCAGCCGCACATAGAGTAAGATCAACCTGGAGCCAGGGTAAGTAGAGACACTTCCCTGCCAGCTGGAGATAATGGATCACATTGAGCTTTGGCCAGTCAAGCCGCCCAAGTTTTCTTCTTGTAAACTGTTTAGAAACTCGTGTAAGCGACAGCCCTTTCTGGTCTGAGCCTCTAAGACTCCTGAATCGCGAGGTTTGATGTGGGAGCCGGAATGAGGTTCCACAGATAGACAACGAGTCCAATGTCTACAAGCCAACGTGTAGGCTGTCTACAAGATGGTGTTAGAACTGGTATCGTCCGTGTGGCCCCGTCATGATTGTTTGCATAAGAAGTCTTTACATTCCATGTGTGAAGTCATCATGCTGTTCTCGCGCTTTCCTTGATATCCCGAAAAGCATACGAGCTTCAAAATGGCAGTACAGGAAATGACTCAGGTCGCAACGCCAATCCATTACACCGGCATATCGACTCCGCAGCGCCGTTTGCTGGTACTCATCCTCAATGTTGTTACGACAGCTCCGCTACTTTGGGCGTATTTCACCAGTTGCACTCAACCAAGAACCGGCCTTCTTGACATTCTCATTCTAATCTGTGCTACAATTTGTGTTCCATGGCCAGTCGTCACATTCTGGAACACGTTGATCGGACTCTGCATCGTTGCCTTTGGCAAAGCCAGCAAGTCCATCTACCCCTACTTCGAAGCCGACGGCCCCGTTCCAGAACTTACTTCCAGGACAGCTCTGACCATCTTCATGCGAAATGAGGACCCGGAGCCAGTTTTCAATCACCTTCGGGCTATGCACGAAAGCCTACGCCGGGTCAACCGTCTTCAACATTTTCGTTTTGTCGTTCTTAGCGACACCACGGTTCCAGATGTTGCGCAAAAGGAAGAAGAGGGTTTCTCTCGCATTCGACAACGTCTCGGGCTGGGTACGTGTAGCGACCCAGTTTATCGCCGTCGAGAGAAGAATGTCGGTTTCAAAGCGGGAAATATCAAGGACTATCTGGACAAACACTCGGAAGGCGACGATTTCTTTGTGCCGCTCGACTCCGATAGCGCCATGAGCGGAGACCTCCTCAGCCGCTTGGTGTTCAGCATGGAAAAGCATCCTCAGATCGGCCTGTTGCAAACCTTGGTCGTGCGCATACCGGCTGTTAGTGCTTTTACTCGCATATACCAGTTTGGACTCCGTCATAGCCTGCGTGCATACAATACGGGATTCAGCTTGTGGGCCGCCGACTGCACGCTGTACTGGGGCCACAATGCCATCATCCGCAAAAAGGCATTTCATGAGAACTGCATGTTGCCAAAATTGCCGGGAGGGCCACCGCTGGGCGGCTACATTCTAAGTCACGACCTCATGGAGGCCATGTTTATGCGTCGGGCTGGCTACGAAGTCAGGCTCCTCCCCATCGAGACAGAAAGCTACGAAACCAATCCGCCCACCTTCCTCGACTATATCCGGCGGGAATTGCGCTGGTGCCAAGGTACAATGCAGTACTGGTTTCTATTGAATGAGCCCGGCCTGAATCCCATCACCCGCTTTCAGGTCTGCCAGACCATCACCACATACCTGTCTCAGGCTTGCTGGGTCGTAATGACCCTGGCTTACGTTTGGAATGTCGCCCTCAGTGAGATTGGCGGAAGTCATACGCATCTAGGCTTGACTCCACAGCTGATTCTCGTCGTCATTGGCTGCTTCCCCAAGATTGCCGGCCTTATTGACACCGCGATGACTTCTTTCAAGCGCTATGGAGGGATCTACGATTGTTTGCTGGCCGGACTGGCGGAGTTCATTATGATGACTTTGATCGGGCCTGCGACCGCCGTGTCCGTTGCGGTCTTTCTCATGGGCTTGCTTATGGGAAAGTCTATCAGCTGGGATGGCCAAAATCGCAACCGACTAGGACTCAGTTGGCGCGATACCTCTCGTGTACTCTGGCCGCAGTTTGTAATTGGCATCAGCTGCGCGGTAGCTCTATGCGTTAGATCGAAGGATGCCGAATCCATGGCGTGGGCTCTGCCTTTGGTAGTCGGACTCTGTCTAAATGTGCCATTTGCTGTCGTCACGGCATCTCCTCGACTTGGCTGTCTCATGACCCGTCTTCGATGGTTTATGATACCTGAAGAGTCAAAGATGCCTGCGCTACTCTCTCTGCTTGTTGATCCAGAGATAGCTTCCGCAAACAAGGACCGTGCCGGGGCACGCAAGTCGAAATGACAAGCAGCGCAGCTCTCGGCTAGATCATGATAGATCTGAAGTTGATCGCGGATGTACAAGTAGTCTCTTCGTGATGGAAGGGTAAAACCTGTTTTCTGCGCCTCGCCTGTGTGTATCAATAATACCGTGAATAGCAAAATATTCGCCGGTAGCCATTGTAAATGAAAGCCATAAGAGGCTACTGCCAAGGCCTTAGGATTTAAAGTTAAGAATAGACGCAATAATTATATGTGACGTTCCATGGTAAGTTATCTATACCCGACTAGGAAGTTGAGTTTGTCGTGAGGTAACATCAACATCAGGATAGAGTGGGGCGGTATGGTATGTTCGGTCGAGCATGCGCCGTGGAAATGAGGAGAAGTCTGGGGTGGTGAGGGGAAATTCTCCGTTATGAGAGCATGCATATAAACATTAAATCCGATATATCCCCCATGCAAGCAAGGCATGATTCAGAACCACCCGGTCGAACAACATTGGACGGGACGAATTCGTGACAAGCACTCTGTTCGCGACGCAACGGCCGGGACAACATGGTTGCAGATGCGTTCCCAGATATCTTGCAATTGTTTGGAAGGGTTGGAGCAATGATCGGTCCTCTTTTTCACCAGCTGCTCCTCGTAGCCGCATGCCTTGTCCTGGTCATTGGGCCGACCAACGCTCAGGCGCCGCCCGATGCTTATTTGCAGACTCCAGTCCAGCGTCAGCTTGACTGGCATCGGATGGAATACTACGCCTTCATCCATTTTGGACCCAACACCTTCACCGACGAAGAATGGGGCAGGAGTCAGCAGCCCCCCGACGTCTTCAACCCGACAGCGCTGGATACGGACCAATGGGCCAAGTCGTTCGCCGATGCGGGCATGTCCGGCATGATATTGACAGCGAAGCATCATGACGGCATGGCGCTGTGGAACACCTCCACCACAACTTACAAGATTGCCAATGGCGGCTGGGCCAAGAACCGCTCCGCAGCTGGGTTGGAGGCTGACGTGGTCCGTATGGCTGCCGCCTCGGCGAAGAAGTACGGTCTCAAGTTCGGCGTGTACTTGTCACCATGGGACATCCACCGCGACCCATCCATGCCGAAGCCTTTGCTCAATGGCACCATTTACGACGAGCCGCAAATATTTGGCGATAATAACGACGGCGACTACAATGACCTCTACCGCCGTCAACTCACGGAGCTGGTGAACATGACTCTGACAGATGGCAGCCCTGTATCGCTCTTCGAGATCTGGCTTGACGGCGCCAGCGGCTCTAGCACCGTGCAGACCTTCGACTGGACAGGCTTCCGCGACATCATCCGCACGCATCAACCCTCAGCGATCATGTGGGGTCACCAGGGTGTGGACGCTCGATGGGTGGGCAATGAGGACGGCGTGACGGTGCCCACCAACTGGCACACCATCAGCCGGACGCAGGACCAAGAGCACCTCAGTGAGGCAGACCTGCAAACAGGCCTCCGTGACGGACTGTACTGGACCCCAGCTGAGGCCGATGCCCGGGTCCGGACTGGTTGGTTCTGGCATGCCAGCGAACAGCCAAAGACGGGACAACAGCTCTTGGACATGTACTTCCAGTCTGTCGGGCGAAGCGTAAGCCTTCTTCTTGACGTGCCGCCAGACACCACGGGGCAGATAACTAAGGAGGACAACGATGCCCTAATGGAGTTCAAGCGTCTCAGAGGCAGCTTTCTTGGCCGCAACCTAGTCGCTCCCGATTCAAAAGTCATGGCCAGCAGTGTAAGAGGCGGGAACAACTCTACATTTGGCCCTGAAAACGTCCTGAGCTCCTCAACCGATACCTACTGGACCATGAATGACGAGGAGCGTACAGGCTGGTTAGAAATCGACTTGGGTGCAACGGCTCGCGTCGAGGCTTTCATAATTCAGGAGCACATCGCCCTGGGTCAGCGGGTTGGCGGGTATGTCATTGAATGCCTCATGGATGGAGCATTCGAGAACGTTATCAGCGGCACGTCTCTGGGCTACAAGCGCATCGATAGGCTCGGTAGCGCGATGGACACCAGCCGAATTCGTTTTCAGGTAACACAGGCAAGCGCGGTGCCCCTGATACGAAGCATTCAGGTACTCGGAACTAAACTTTTGTAAGTTTCGGAGGGTAACTGGGCTAGACATCGCAGTGTGTATAATTCACCGTTTCTGGCTGTCTCTCGATTATTCCTTCATAGTCGTCCTTCAGTACGTAAAGGCGGCTAATTCCAAACGCATGCCGCAAGTGCAAATCTATCATTTAATATAGACTCCATTGTGATATTATGACATTTGAATCTTGATGTCATCGACGACGTCGAATTGAAATGAACGTCAGTAGGAAGAAGCATCTGCTACACTAATATCATGCCCTTTTCAAACACCAGCATCGCAAGACTAAAGGTGAAGATGATTCTAAGACACTTCTCGAGATGATAAGCGTCCATGGAACATTCAACTACCTTAAGCGCCGTTCAACTGCATATGTTCCATCTGCACATCCGAATTGGTGGCGTTAAGAACAAGCCTAATGTGAGATATCGAGAATACCTCACCCTTGTCTTTGGCAACAATTCTGGCGCTATTCAGAATGTTTTTGATCTTGAAAGGTCAGCGAAGGTCAAACCCCACAACGCCGTCGCGCATCAAATCAACAGTGGAAATTCGACAACGTACCTTTCTGCCATTTACTTCCAGCTTGGTTAGCCATGTAACGTCTTCCTCAGTGACACCAACCGTGGCGCCCTTGTACATGTCTTTCAGTCTTCTCAAGAACATTGTCCATATCTGCTTTCTGGCAGCCTCGTCAAGATCAGGATACTCGTGCGAGATGTGCACTCTGCTCTCGAACGCAGTGTCAAAATTTGCAATGCGATTGGTTGTTAAGATGAGTATCCCCTGGTAGTACTCGAGTTGTCGGAGAAAGATGCTGACCAGGGCGTTTCTTTGGATGTCGTGAGCTTCTCTTTGCTGAAGGAAGACGTCGGCCTCATCAATGAGTAACACGGCATTCCACTTGTGTGATTGCTCGAGAATCTCGCTAAGCCGTTGGTCGACGGTCGTAGGATCAATGCCAAGGTCTCCAGCAGAGACACTGTACAAAGGCCTATTGGTGATCTCAGCTACAGCCTCAGCTGTCAACGTCTTGCCACTGCCTGGAGGTCCACTGAAAAGGCATACAATCCCCTTGCCTTTACCTGAGATGATGTCGTCGAATCCATCGTCTTGTGACGAGTGCTGCTTTACCATTGAACGAACTAGAGTCTTGGTTGGCTCATCGAGAACAAGGTCTTTGAAGGCCTGATCGTCCCAGTTGATGTCGACAAGACGAGACGTTGCGAAGCCTCCTATTCAAATTTGCAATTAGCTCACGCTCATGTCTTTTCCGTGTTGACTTTTGATCGGCTGGTGATAACGCACCCCATTTCTTATTACCGAAGCAAAACCCGAACGCCACCGGCGAGCAGATAGTGAGCTGCTCATCTGATAATTCTTCCCGCAATAGCCCTCTGTGCACTTCGGGCATAAAATTGATGTTCGGGTTAAATGATCGAAAGCCGGCAGGATCGATCATGGTCCTTCCCTGAGATGCAAACTTGAATGCGTACGCTTCCCTTCGAGAATCACGTTTCTCGAACATAGCTGGACCGCTGGTTTCCATTACGCGAGGCTCACTGAGCGCCACGAAACGACGACCGTGGTGCAACGCCTCCACGCGAATCTCCTCCGCTTTGGGATGGTACTTGAGAGGAAATATGCGTAGATCTACGATCTTGCGTGTTCCGGAAAACTCTTCGATCATCATGAGAAAAGGCTCGTAGGCCAGTCCGAACTTGACACCATCATCCACTACAATTCGGCAACTCAGCTGCCAAAACGGTGGTCTGTTGAATGTAAACACCTGCTGGATAGAGCGCAGCTGAAGAAGTTGATTTTGCTCAATGAGTCGATGATACCGGTACACCAAGATGTTGGGAGGGAAAATGGCCCATAGAAGATCCCACGTAATCTCACCAGAGTCAAGCAATTGCAGGAGATTACCTGTGGTTGTGGCGAGTTCTTCCTCGGCGAACTTCACAGTTTCCGTCAGGTCTGCTATGAGCTCCTCATCTATTGGCGTGGCTTTTCTAGCCCTGTCCAACGATTCATGCAATGCCTGTTGACTGTGAAATATTGTTTCGAGTGAGACCTGAGTAGACTTCATCAGCGTACCGACTCATGCTGGTTGACTGCCACTCAATACCGTAACTTACAACTGGAGGATTGGTCTTCAGAGAGACTTCCTCAACATCAGCATTAATTTCCTGCATCACCCGCGCAACGTTCTTGGATTTGATGTCGACTTTCGTCTCAGTGTGCTGCCCCTTGTCGTTGATAATTCTACGCACCATCAAAACAGCCTTCTTTCTGTTTTGTTTGCCGATGGTGGACTTTTCTGATTTGATCAGGCGATATTGTCCTTTCCGGCTACGAACATGATGGTTGTCAGCTTTCCACGGTCGTCCATCAAACAATTGTCCTGCGACTGAGAGCGGCAGAGTACCTACACATCGAATCTGCTATCATGTTAGCGCCTCGAGCTAGCAGTACAAGCATGTTGAACTGACACTTCATCGTAACGTAGAATTCGGCTCCTCGCCTTCGTGACCGGGCTCGCCCCATCCTTCTTGTTAGAGACTTCCGGGACGACATCAGTCATCTTGCACTACAATAAGGTGATGAGGTTGAAGTGGTATGAACGTGTTCGTGAATGGTAGATATGTTTGCGCTTGGGCTTTGGACGTCGACAGTTGGATAGTAAATGCACAGGGCACTGCAGGAAAATGGCTGGGATATATGACGGCGCCTTAAGGTCGTCTTAGGCGGGCGATTCAAAGGTAATGCCCATGCAGTACAATGGCAGGTATGGGCATGGTGTGTAGACTCCACTACCTAAGTAGGTAAGGTAAGTAGGTATGTAAGACAATTTATGTGGAGAAGTGGGGCCGCGCTTGGTCGCCTCATTCTGCCTACTGTTGCCTAACGACATTCATCGCGACGAACCCAAGCCTTGATCTGACAGTTGAGAAAGTCCTGCCTTGCTGATATTTGCTTGTGATAATAACCGTGGCATGCTACGATTGGAATAACCCCGGAGGCCGCTGCAGGTGTTGTTACGGGCTGCTCCGATGTAGGTGTCTTCGTTGCCATTCATTGGACCTGACGCCACGCCTGGTTTGCCTTGCAGCATAACGCCCGTACATGTAGTCGACGGAGTGGGTGTGCTGCGGTCGGCTGAAGCTGACACCGCGCAGTTTCGAACCAGGTGAAATTGTCGAGCCTGCAGCCAGGCTTCCCCCCTCTTTGCCTCCCTTGCGAGAGATTCGAGCGCGCTAAAATGTTTCAATTGGCGGCCTCCTTATCAACGCCCATGCCAACCCGGAAACCATGTTATGGAAACGCAAGCTTTATCTGAACCATCCCCCCTCTTCGAAACCGCCGCAGAACCGTTACTTTGTAATCGTACACTGCGTCTCCGCTCAAGCCCCAGGAAATGAAGATTCTCTAGCGCATCATGGACCCTTTCAGTCTCACTGTCGGAGTACTGGGGATACTCTCAGCTGTGACATCATGTCTTAAGACCGTCGGAAATCATATAGGCCCTTCCGCAATGTCCTCAGAAGAGCTTCGAACCACAACCAAAGCCCTGTACGACTTCCACGGAGCAATGAAGAATCTTGAGACGCATTTGGAGCTTCACAGGGATGACACAAACCGGACCAAGTCTCTGCAGTACCTCGAGCCGATAGTAGCACGGTCGTATGAATCTCTGCAAGTTATTGAAGAGTATATGGCTGGCTCCCGATCGCGAAAAGCCTTTGGTGGTGTTAAGTTTGACAAAAGGCTTAAACTGTCGCTAAAGTCTCTGGATGACTATGGAAAGATTTTCAATGTTGCAATTCTTTCAAGCCATGAGTAGGTTGTCCCTTTCCAACATCTTATTGTGTACTCCAAACAACATCTAAGGTTTCTCTAGAAACATCATACTGGAAGTTGACGCGCATCTGCGGACAATCAGTGACGATGTCAAGGAGGTCCAGGAGGTTCAGAAGAATAGTTCACAAAGTATTGAACCGCAGACTGAGACATCCCATTCAGCTCGACTTTGGCTAACATAATACAGATGACGCGTACTTGACTGTTAGAGCATGGCTCGGGGCGAAGACCGCGAATGATAGAAATAGCCAGACTCATCACAACAATTTGTCTGTTCGACATGATGGTAGCGGCGAATGGCTTTTTAGCCATGCCGCTTTCCAAAATTGGCTTAATACCAAAGAGGGCGGGACGGAACTGAAGTTCTGGCTTCGAGGCTCGCCTGGAGCGGGCAAATCTTTGCTTTGCTCCACAGCTATAGAGCATATCCGTCAGAGGCAACACGACATCTGTTTGTACTACTTCTACCGCTTCGATGATCAATCCGAGGTTAGCGACAATTCCGAAAACGACTCAGGCATCTACGTGAAGGCAGTAGCACTTCTTGTCGATCAGCTGTTTCGTCACGTCTGCCGATGGGACCAAAGTATGGCCAACATTGTGTATGACTATATCAAAACAGAGGAGATGACGACCAACACACTTGAGGCTGTTGCTAGACTGATTTTCGCTGACGGGTATCGGTACGCGCAAGAGATGAAAAGCATATCCAGCCCAGAGCCAATCAATCTTTATATCTTCATCGACGGATTGGACGAGGGAAACCATTCAAGCACGGTTGCAAGTATCCTGGGATTACTAGACAGATGTGGGCGAAGCCACGCGGTTCTACAAAAGCACTGGGTTAGCAGTCGAGATACCACCTTCTTGGATCAACAACTGGAGACATGCCCATCCATTGTCATAGACAAACATGCAGAGACCGACGTTCAGGATTTCCTGACACGGAGCGTACGTAAGTTTGACAAAAACGCCAACAAGGGACAAGAGGTGGAAGGCGAGCCACGTAAGAACTCATTGAAAACTATCTTTGCATGATTGCATCACTTACACCGTTTATACAGTGGACGATTGGGTATTACGACAACTGAAAGAAAATTCCCAGGGTAATTTTCTTTATGCAAAGCTCATGGTCGAGGGGCTGAAGAAAATGTTCAACATTGACGACGTAGTGACTTTCATCAAATCAGGAGTTCCCAAAGATTTCGCGAATATTTACCGCCGCATATTTTGCCAATATCAAGAACATGAGCACAAATACATCAGGTAGGAGTGTTTCAGGCCTGACTTTTGAATGGATCCAGGAATTATGCTGACTATCTATACATGGTCAATAGTCTACTCTTCTCATTCATTGCTTTCGCCCGGAGGCCGCTGCATCTACGTGAACTTGAGGAAGCCACGACACTGGCCCTTTCAGACCCTGGAAATGGTCTTGATCCTCGAAAAGCCCCTTTCAGTCTGCAACAGTGGTTTGGGCCATTAATCCAAATTCAACATGACCCGAAGGGGATCAGCGATCCCTTATGCCGCCTCTGCCACTCTACTGTTCTCGACTTCCTCCTTGCAAATCCAGAGGTTCTTCGTGCTAGAACTTCCAGTCAATGTCCTTTTGGTTATAGTATCTCCGCTTCAAGAGTTGGAGATATCTGTCTACGATATCTTTCGCTTGAAAGATACTCAAGACCCTTGGAATTGCCTCTCGACGGATGCCATATGTCAGGCTCTGCCCTATTTGACGATGTCAAGAAGCATGCTTTTTTGACATATAGCGCAAAGTACTGGGACAGACACATGGAGGATTTGGAGCCAACGCAGCAACGACGAAAAGAACTGCATGACTTCCTAAGGTCTTCCAACTTTCAGACCTTGCTTCAGATCCAGAGCGTTTCTGTTTCGGCTCATTTTACCCAATTCAAGATGTTTGGTGACAGTTCCCCCTCTAGAACCATGCATCGAAGAGTATTTCCGAGCTGGTTTGGATGGGGCCTCAAGTCTAAAGATCTGGAATACATCGAAGAAGCAATAACTGTGCGGTTTGACTATCGGCACTTCGTCAACGACTGGGGGTATTTGCTGGACCGTGGCATCTGCGAGAGTGCAACTTCAGGAGAGTGTCGGTTTCAGCACTTCTTTGGAGAGATCAACAGGTGTTTGACGGGTCTTCTGGGTCCGACACACTTCATGACCAAATTGAATGAGAGACATGCCAGCTTCATGCTGACAACTGAGCCATTCAAGTACCACATGTCAGAGCAGTTCGTCATTGCCGATGCCCTGTCCGCGACAGCATCTCAGTTCATGATTTTATCCTCGCCCTCAGAGTAAGCATAGGAGCTACAAGTCCACATCTTACCCGCACCCAGGAGGATAGCCCGTGCTGACAGCTGGTGACAGGGGTTCAGATCAGGTTGCTTTAGACATGTGGGACCTGAACGACGCTCCTCGTCGTGTAGCGACCAGCATCGTTTCCCCTGCCGGGATTGACTTCAAGTCCGATGCGGCGCGGTCTGTCGCGTTCTCCCATGCCTTCGCTGAATTTTTGTTCGGAAACCGAGACGGGAGTGCTAGGTTTATTTCTGACCAGCAAGCCGTAAATCCCAGCTATGAACCTCTTTCAACAGACATTGACTCGCGCGATGGAGTAATAGTCGTTGCAACTCGCAGTGCGCACAAACACACGCGAAAGCACGCGTTGACGAATAAGAGCATCCCCAAGTCGACCAAGGCATCCGGGGACTCGGAGTCTGATTCTTCAGAAGATGAGACCGATGATAATTCGGATGATGAATATCTATCCAGCTCGACCGACGAGAATTCAGCTGACGAAACATGCAGCGAAGGATCCACAGACTTTGATTCAGATCAATCTGAAAGCGAGGCGTCTGAAAGCAATTCGGAAGCTGATGATAGATATACTGACTCGTCTGAAGAGGAGGATGACGATAGCGATGTGGAGTCAGAACACGAGACCGTCGCAGCTAAGCCCGACGAATCGAAAAGAACCAGGATAGTGCTCAATTACGAGCAACCAGAAGACACTCAACTGAAACTGGATGAGGGTTTGCTCAAAAGGAAGAATGGAAACCGTCCGACATATCCAGGCATGCCAGGTCGCTTGAGGGATTCGAAAGACCAAATCACCGCAGGTGTCGTCGTGTATGATGTCAGATCAGGGCAGACTGTCCGCATGTTCAGATACAAGCATGACGCTCCGGCAATGCTTTACCACTCGCCCCCGGCGTTACATCCGACAAAACCCCTCCTCGTGTGGCCTTTGGGTGGTGGGGAAGTGTTGTTCGCTGACTACGAGGAAAAGACGTACTTCACCAGGGCCGCAGTGCCCACAACAAACGATAGTGAGTTTAAGGCCGGCGACTTTCTTTCAATCAACGACTGACGACGCAGCCCGGCATATTTGTATGAAAGTCCGTTTCTCGTCTTGCGGAGGCCTCCTCCACATCGCCAGCGTGGAGGGCCGCGTGCCGAGGACGAATGCCGTGACTACAGAATCCGCAAATAAGAAGTCGGAGATCGCGCTGTCTCTATTCCTGACCACCCACCGTCTCTCATCGCGTAAGACCACGCACAGTCCACCAAGGCTGGTTCATAAAGTAAAGCTTACTCTCGGGCATTTTACTGGTCTCTCACTTGCGAAGCTGCCTTTCACCTTCACCTGGAGTCCAGAGCATCTACACTTCACTGTGAGCGGCACACAACTAAATGTGTTTCGGATCAATCTTTTGCGGCCTACTACACCATCGGTTCCCGCGGTTACTGTTCCCAGGCTCCCAGTGATGCTTCCACTATCTGCGTCAGCTAGACAGGTTTATTACATACCCCCGAACATTGGAGAAGCTGGCCGAGACACAGACGGGCGAGCCATCGTCATGATGAGTAGCTACGGCGCCCGTAAAGAGCCAGTGCAACTGAGACATCGATCATTGTGGGCCACTCTCCGTGGTATAGGTCACGTACCACACAAGGAATTGCCAGATTATCCATGCCCGGCGGTGGGAATTTTCGTAAAGGAATCAAATGATCTGGGCGGCTGGGTTGCTCTAGACACGAGTTCATACAGAGACGATGACCTAGGTATGGCTGCGACGGCTGGTGGCGGGCAACGTCTTGGAAACGGAAAGTTGACAAGGAAGATTGAGGTATTCAACTGGCGAGATGATATTGATTTGGAAGGAATTTGTGATTGGTGTAACACCCCGTTGTCATTTAAGTCTGAGTATGCGTAGAAGGAGGGATGGAGAGGAGGTAAATATACCTATGATTCGATTGTAAGTGAAAGAGAATCTTCCGTCTCTTGTATATAGTCCTGGGTATGTTCCAGAAGGCGCGTATCAAATGCGCAAGTGGTCAAAGAGATGTCCCAGGCAAGAGAGGCTTTGCATGAGAGAATGAGATCAGGTTATTGTCATTGCGTCACGGAAACCTCCAAGCACCAAAAAAGCGTAGGTGGCAAGTATATTAATTACACAGAGGATTTCGGAGTGGGAAAAAAGAATATACATACAGTGCGGTGTCCCTTATACGCTGCTTACAAGCACTGCTCAAACAAGACTTCTTAAATTGGGCAGGACAACACTTCAAATCGCCAGATGACACATCAGAGTTCATGTTGATTGGCTCATCTTCTTGGATTGGTTGGCAAGGCGGTGACTTAGTTTAAATGGAAGAGAGGGAATGACAATTGCCCGCGATTCTTCATCCGAAATGAATGGCGGCGACACCAAACACGTTTTTCAGGGGATACGAATGTATTGAAGTGGAGGAAGGCAGCATAACTGACATCCTATAGCTAAATTGAGAATGACAAGGTCTTGATACCAGGCTCGTGTGGGTTCTCGCACGTGTGGACTTCAGACATGCCAGACATTTGACTGACACCCATACCAAGACTGGTCTTTCCGTTATGTCCTCGGAAAGAAGACCTTGGTGTTCAATGATTGCTCATGTCCAAATGCTCCAAAATACATGATGGAACTGATTGAAACCTGGATTTACTGCTTTCCAGGCTTTGACCTCGTTGAATCTGGACGACGTGACGAGCTTTGCCTCGACAACAGCTAATACCCAGACACCCAGACAAATGATAGTTTCCAACCCTACTGCTGCAGCGACAGACTTCCATTTGTTCCCCAAATGATCTCCTCCCCACGATGTTGTCCCACAATCGGATTGCTGTCTGCAAGTGGTCTGAAGAGCAGGCGCACCGAAAAGGATGAACGGGATGAGAACGATCAGCAGCCGATAAAGCCATGTGAGTAACGAAATTATGGTGGAGTTTTGTATGAGAGAACCTGCACGAGAGAAGAGAAGAATCAGGAAAATTACCGAATGAATGATGATTGCGTTGGAAGCATCAAACATCCAGGCGTTCGAGGTGTGCATCACGGGGCAGTAGGTATTGTCCAAGTCTGAGACAAATCCGCTGATCATCCACTCCTGCAGCTCAAGGTTGCTTCCATCTGGATCCCAATCTTCCATGTCATCGTTCTCGTTACCAAAGGCGACATCGTAAAATTGCAGTGGTATCGCCAGGCTATCACCAGCATCTCGTCGGTTGCCAATGTCCCCAATCCTCCATTCATAAGGCTGAATCATGATGAACAAGGTTGCAACCATTACGCCAGTTCCGCAAATTGCATAGATACTAGTTAGGTGATCCAGTACCAGATTTCCATTGTAAAGTAATGTGGCTCTTTGCCCGTATATTATGCTTGCGGCGATTGCCTGGTATACGCCCAGTAACAAGATGAGAATGCGCGTCACGAAGAGCACGCGGCTGAAAGCCCCGGTCTTGCACTTATTGCATCGGGACACGTGTGGGGGTGTCATCAGCGATAGTTTCAAAGAGCAGGCTGACGGCTGGTGGTCGTAATATTGGATACAGTGCATATCTAAGGCACAGGCGGTGTAAAACCAGCGTTCTTCTTCACTCTCCATGCGGTCGGACGCAGTTCTTGATTGATACTGACGACGAAGAAGGCTCAAGTTCAAAGAGATCTGACAAAAATAGAGGGCCGGGAAAAGCGTAAATAGAAGCGGCATTATGTAGTTTTGTCGATATGAAGTGGGCCTCCCGATGACAACGCCTAAATGACAGTACGCAACAACAGCAAATAGCCAGGCATGCATAAAAGATGAAACAACATTTTTCATGTCCCTTTCGTTATCCATGTTGAAAGGTGTTTGGGAAGATGGCCAGTTTCCTTGAGATCACGAAGATCATATAATGATGGGCCTAGAGTGTGTGTTAAGCCTGACAAGCGAGTTGAAATGGGGGATCATGAGCAGTTAAGGCAGTCAATGCGACCACCTAGTAGCTTTTAGGCTTGGTTGATACGTGGAGGAACCATGATAACTCGTTTGGGACGGCATTAGACCACAAGTCTGCCTTGGAATGAATCGCATGTTGTCATTGGCTGGACCTTCTTTTGTTCACTGCGGCACGCAGCATGCAGCAGCTAGCGCTACGTGGATCGTCGGGAAGTCCGCCCAGGCAGCCCTACAAAGCCCCGCAGTGGTGCTCCTTTCATTGCGGTACTATCCGAGTTTCTCAGCTTGTTCCTCATGCTAGAATGCTTCGATAGAGATTCAAATGTTGTTGTTGTTGTTGTATTTAACGCCGAGGCGGCAAGGGCGCAACCGCCCTTGCGGCCGACCTCCCGAAGGGTATATGGCGTGAAGGGCCGCAGGCTCAAGCTATATACTCTAAAGTACACTCCTCTTCCTAACGTCC